TTCTGCCTGCTCTGCTCCCCGCTCTGGCTCTGGTGAATTCTCTCACCCTCCCGTGCTTCTGACTGTACCCAGTGCTTGTATAAATAAATAAATAAATCTTTAAAAAAAAAAAAAAAAAAAAAAGATTTATTTATGCATACAAGAGCTGGGGTACAGGCCAGAGATGCGGGGTGGGGTGGTGGTGGTGAGAGTATTCACCACAGACAGAGTGGGGAACAGAACAGGCAGACTGACTGAAACACACTGCTAAGGGGAGCAGAGGGCGAGGCAGGAGAGGTCTGCTTTACCACATGGCTCGCTCCCTTGCAGGCCAGGGATCAAACTCGGCCAGGGATCGAACTTGTGTTACAGAGGCTGCGGATTGCTTCAAAGTGAGGTGCTTAACCCCTTGTTCCACCAGGGAGGCCCCAAAAGTTATTTTTGATATAATACTATTTAAATGCCTAAACTTTTCCAGCTTTTAGTGTCAATTTTTAAAACATCACATCACAAAGAAATATTATGAAAGTAAAATAATAGTAATCTATTGCTAATATACTCTGGAATATATGCCAAGGTTAGCACTGGCAAAATGAAGGATATCTAAACCTGCCTGCCCTAAAGTGACCTTCGTAAATCTTCAAAGTCATCTTCCTTAATCAGATATATATACAATGTTTCATAAAGGCATCATACCAACCAAGGCAGCAAAATAGGAGCCAATGTTTACATTTTAATCATTAGAGATAAAATTGATACTCAAGAAAAACAATTGGTCACCTTGAGAAGACGCTAGTAAATCAAGTTATTATTCTGACAATGAAGAGGGAAAAAAAAAAAATCAAGCATTTATTTTGCCTACCTCCCCTTTAAGAACTGTCATGAAAGCGATGAAGGAAATTTCTCTATATAAGTTCTACTAACAAAAGAAATGACAGTATCGGAATATTATCTCACAAACTCCTAATGAAATAATTATACACACAGGCAAAACTGTCAGCTGAAACACTCCTTACTTATTCTAGCCTCCACCTATCAAATAGAACCCGAAACAAGTTTCTAGTTTATAGACACTGGTACAAAGTAAATTAAAATCAAAGGAATTCAACCAGAAAAACACAGACAAAGGAAAATTCTGATGTCAAAACCCGGATTCATCAACAAACAGAAGAAATAAATGGTGAGAAGAAACTTAATACATTAAAAAACAACATTTTTAACAAAATACAACGTGTATATACTATGTTTAAATATTGAGGGAAACAGTGAGAAAGAACTCATGATACATTTTAATACTAACCAGATAATTGATGATTTAAAGAATCACCTTATTGTAATTGTATTTTTAACAGAAATTCTTATTTTATAGACATTTTAAACTACAGAAAAGGTCACTGTTGTATGGGATTTGCTTTAACTCAGGGGCTAATATAAAAAGATTACAGATAAAACAATATTGATCATGAACTGAAAATTATTGAATCTGAGTGACAAATACAAAAGGCTTCACTATCATTATCTTCATGTTTGAAAATTTTCAAGCTTAAAAAAAAAGATTAACTAAAAAGTTTATGATAATCCATAGAATAAGGACCAAAAATCCCATGTCCTTCAGAGTAGAGGGTTCCTCCTTCATGAATTATCACCATAGTGCACTACAGTACACCTCTCCGCCCAACCAAACCACCCTAGTCCATGGTACTCCCTCCCCCACCCTGCTCCAGCCATTTCACATCCTCCTCCCACTCTGGAGTCCTCAGTTCAGTAATCAGCTTTCAGGGGTTAGTTTTTTAAGTTTGGTTTTATCTAACTCTTTGTTTGATTTCTCCATATTCCACTTACAAGACTTCTGACTTATTTTCCTTAGTGTAATCCCTTCCAGCTCTATCCATGAGGCCTCAATGGCATGAGAAACAAACAAAAATCTAATGGCAAGTTAGACAAGCAGTGTCCCTGCACAGATACATACACATGTACATACACACACAGAGGTAAATTTTGTTCAGTTCACAAAAAAAAAACTACAGCACAGGCAAAACTATATTCCATAACTGCCAATTCCAAAAAGAGATCTAAGTTGAAGGTAAGTTCAAAGACAATCTGAGCAAGTATGAAGTAATTTGAAAGCACATCAAAGGTATTAAAAAAAAATCTTAGGGCCTCCCCTGGTGGCGCAGGCAGTTGAGCTCCTTGCTATGAAGCTGTCCGCAGCCTCTGCAGCGCCCAGTTTGATCCCGGCCAGCCGGTGAGGGTCCCACATGGCACGGCAGACCTCTCCTGTCGCGCCTGCTGCTCCCCTCAGCAGTGTATTTCGTCAGTCTGCCTGTTCTGTTCCCTGCTCTGTCTCTGGTGAATCCTCTCACCCTCTCACACATCTGGCCTGTACCCTGGTTCTTGTGTAAATGAATAAATAAATCTTTAAAAAAAAAATCTTAAAAGTTAGGTGGAAAAATTCAGGTGTACTGATGAACTGTATGCTAGGAGAGAACAGTAAGTCCAGAGAGAAAGTACAGAGAACAAGTGGTTATTTGGTAATCATCCTCCCTAGGGAACGTAAGTATCAAATCATTAATGTACTCTAATTCAAGGTATTTGCAGAAAAGAAAACTGTTGTCCAGTTTGCAAGTAACTTACTCATCAACTAGTAAAACAAAATCATAATTTTAAATTAAAAAATTTTAAAGACTTGAAAAAAATTAAATCTTAATTGCACCAGTGATTTAAATCTTAAACATAAAAATAGGATTTCTCTTCCTGTCCAAGAATAGCCTTCAAAATTTGGCCATAAAGGCTGTTTATTTTTTTAAAGATTTATTTATTTATGCATACAAGAGCTGGGCTGTATGCCAGAGGTGCAGGAGGATGAGAGAACTCACCAGAGACAGAGTGGGAAGCAGAAAAGGTAGATCTACTGAAATACACTGCTGAGGGGAGCAGCGGGAGAGACAGGAGAGGTCTGCTGTGCCATGTGGGTTAGCACCCTGGCTGGGGCTCGAACTCATGCTGCAGTGGCTGCAGAGAGCTTCACAGTGCTGAGACTAAGCCCTTATACCACCTGGGAGGCCCCCTAAAGGCCCTTTATTTACTTAAACATTTTCACTAAAGAATTCACATTTATCCTAACAGACCCTAAGTATAAAATTCTGTGTAAGCTAGTCAAGTATGGAAACAACCTAAATGCCCATCAACAGAGCAGTAGATTAAGAAAATGTAGTGTCCAGACACAATGGGATACTACTCAGCTACTCTTGCTACTTACAACATGAATGAAACTAGACAGGATTATGCAAAGCAAAGTAAGTCAGAAGGAAAAAGACAAATACCTGATCATTTTACTCATATGTGGTATACAGACGGAGGAAAAAGAACTGACAAAACTAAAACAAACTCTGAACATATGACTGCGTAACTGAGGGTACTGGGAGGGTGAGGGGGATACAAAGGATGGATACAAAGGGGCGAAGGGGTTGAAGGGCATAGGACTACACGTGCTTTTATGGTATGGGTGGCAAAGAGCAGACATGTGAGAAGGTATGAACTATTCCCCTAAACCATATACAGTATTGTAAACCGTTACCACAATAAAGGAAAAAAAAAAAATTGGTATGTCAATGAACTACTTTCTCTTCAATAAGCACAGTCACTTAAATAAAACATGAACTCGACCTGGAAACAACATAACTAATTAATAAGACAATGTAACCCCATTTATCTTTTATTTATATGAAAATTGTAAAACCTAGTAAGTTTGATGTACTTTTAAATAAACCATTTTCAAACTACTGGGCATTCATACTAAACCGCATTTTAATTTTTGGTTGACATGTGTTAGTAACTATTTCCAAGTGCTCAGTGAATTGGATTCCATTTTTTATTGGAAGTGTGATCTATTTTTGAAAAGACATTTCTGGCATTAAGTTACATGAAGACTAAAAGTTATTTTAAAAATTCAAATTAAATATTTCAAAGTACACGCCATACAATAACTACAAGAAATATCAAACCAGAAATTCAAAGAAAATTTCATTGTGATGGCTAAAATTTAATATTACAGACAACTGAGATCACTTGTTAAAGAATAACTTGCTTTCTAAAGAGCTGAAAGCATAAAAAAGGAGCCTGAGGGGATAATGCAGAAACATAAGTTGAAACTTGAGAACTTCACCACACAAGTCAAAGTAAGTTTAGTAGATTAGAGATGTTTCTCTGACCCTTGCCAGAATCTTCAAAGTAGTAAAGTAACTAGCTCCCCACTTAATTAAAAAAAAAAAACACATTTTTAAGTAGTATCCTTCTCCTCCAATAGCCTAAATCAAAGCTAACATGCAAAAATTCACAGAAAGGAAAAAAATGGAAATTATTTGAATGACAAAACCCAAATAGTTAGGATAATGGAGAAATATATAGAATTCTCTCAGGCAGTGTTACGGAGTTCTGGGCTCAGCTATGCTCCCCACCAGCCCCTTTAACCTCTGTATCAGTTCCATCTCGGTAAAAGGGGATAACTACAACACCAACCTCACAGGATTGTCATGAGGATCAAATGAGACAATACTCATAAGGTACTAATGTAGTGGCAGCCTTACAGTAACCACCTCAAATCAATAAATCTTTTTATAAAATCAATAACATTTTTCATACAATTTTAAAAAGTTCACCATGAGAAAAATACTTACTGCCCTTCTCTATCCTACTTCCACTTGTGGGGGGAAGGAGAAAACACCAGCAAAAATGGAAATATTTTCTTTTTCTCTTATACTCTTAATTTTACTTATATAATTTTGGGATCACTGAAGAGAAACAGAAAACAAAAACCACATCCTACAGTTTTTAATACTATGCTAATGCTGTGCCTGTGTTCAAACCTCAAAAAGTAGAAAACAGAAAATCCCATATTTTAAATTTTGTGGTCATTAATATAAATACATTATTAACCATTAAATAAAGTGATAAATAAGACCAGTCACAAAATTTTATAACAAAATCTTTTAAAATTTAGAAATAAAAAGGAAAGCAGTTACCTTTGTACAATATAGCATCCAAAGTTCAAAGAGCCTCTCTCTGGATGCCATTCTGGCTTTCAGTGTGGCACTTTAATTTTTCCTCAAAAAAAAAAAAAAAGTTCACGACTACAGCATGTTTTTATTTTCCACGTTTTTCAGCCATTACAATAATAAAGCTCAAAGCAGTAGGGAAAACCAAAGAAGTGAAACAAATGGACCGTCTTCTAGTCAATAAAATTCGGTTTCAGCAGTTACTCCAAAATATCTTCATCAGTGGTAGTTGGGCAAAGAAGGACATCTGCGAGAGGAAATAAACACGCAAAGGTTTGCTAAGAAAAAGGCCGTATTAAAAAAGCAATCTCGAATTACCAGAACTAAAGATTCCCCTCCTTCACTTTCCACAAACTGGCAGGGTTTTACATTCATTGATCAGATTTCACAAAACGTCACCACTATCGATATAACAGTTATTTTTCAAGTCAGCGTCCTTGGGGCAAACTCCTAATGCCATTTACAAGGCACCCAGTGATGACAAACAGCAAGAAGCTGCCCAAACGAATGTTATTTCCCACAAACGCAAAAAAAGCACATTCCCGAGTGGAGCATTTCAAAGTCACAGGACGCCTCAGAATTTTCTAGGCTGCCTCTTAGAAGTTGCTGGGAATGTGGCCGCGCTGAAGAGCAGGGCGTGGGGCGAGGACGAGGAATTCCCGGTTTGTTTAACCATCCTCTCGGAAAGCGAAAGCCGACCTGCCCCCCTGGACTCTTCACCTTTCCGCGCAGGAAGACGGGGGCCCCCGCGCCCGCGAGGAAAACGCCCCGGGAAAGCGTCCAGCTTGCGGCGGGGGCAGATCTTTAAATTTCCTCCTCGCCTGTGCGATGAGCTCACAGGAGGCCCACTCAAGGGGCGCCCCTGAGGAGGTGGGGTGAGGTGAGTCCGGAGTCTTCCCACCTGCCCCTCGCGCCCCCGCCCGGCGCGCCGGGACACGCCCGGGTCCACCTCGCCCCTCCCGGCTGCCCCCCACCCGGGCGCGCGTGTCACCACACACCTAGGCGCTCCCAGCCCTGCCACGCGGCTCCTTCGCCCCGCGCCGCCCCCCGACACCGTGCTCACGCAGGGGGCTGCGCCGCCGCCGCCGGGCCGACGTCAAACTTGCTTCCTTCGCGGGTTCCTGCGACCAAGCCCCGAATCTCCCCGCAGTCCAGCAGGCGGGCCCGAGGGGGCGGGGCGGCGGCGGCGCGAGGCGGGGCGGCCGGGGCCGGGAGGAGCCGGAGGCGGGGCTGTCCTCTCGGCTAATCCCGCCAGCCTCTAAGGAGTCACCTGGCCCAGAGGCAGCCGCTGCTCATTGGTCTAGAGCACAGGGAAGGGGCGGGGTTACTGATGCCCCGCCCCAGCATACCTGCGCAGCCGCAGTCGTCCAGGCCCTGAAGCCCCCAGGGCTGGCGCCGGTCGGGGCCCTCGGTTCAGTCGCACCGCACTGGCTGGACGTGGAGAAGGGCGGACGTGCTGACGTCTACCCCTGCCCCCGAAGGGCGTTCGGCAGTAACGTCACTTCCGGGACTCATCCGCGGGAGGGGACCCCGACGGTGATAACCAAAGGGCAATTCGTTTTGATTTCTTGTGAGAAGGCGCTTGGGCCTAGGAGTGGATAGTAAGAACAGACGCTGCCCTTCCATCCCCCAAAAGATACTTTTTCCTAACCGTTGTTTGAGCCGCCCACAGTTCCCGTCGCCGCGTGTCCAGTGTTACGTTACTACCACGGCTGCAGACTTGAAGGTTTTGCTGTTTCAGGGGAAAAGAAGAGGGTGGGTGAAGGGCTGGGAACGCCACTTCTTTTACCAGTTGTAGACGACGTTCAGAGAGGGTTATGAGGGGGAAGGAGGACGCATAAGACTAATCAGCTTTGGTAAACCTTAACATTAAAAAAAAAAAACCTTTAATTGTGAAAAATGATGAATACAAGCAAGCTAGTATCATGAAACCCAGTCCATCACCCAGCTTAAAAATAACCAATCTGGGGGCCTCCCTGGTGGCGCAGCGGTTGAGCGCTGGGTTGCGAAGCTGCCTGAGCCTCCGTAGCGCCGGTTCGATCCCCGGCCGCCGCCGAGGGTCCCACATGGCACACAGACCTTTCCTGCGGCCCGCTGCTCCCCTCAGCAGTGTACTTAGGTCCCTCTGCCTGCTCTGCTCCCAGCTCTGGCTCTGGTGAATTCTCTCACCCTCCCGCGCTTCTGACTGTACCCAGTGCTTGTATAAATAAATAAATCTTAAAAAAAAAATAACCAATCTGGGGGCTCCCTGGTGGCACAGGCGGTTGAGCGCCGCACTGTGAAGCTGTCTGCAGCCTCTGCAGCGTGGGTTCGATCCCGGCCCGCCAGGGAGAAACCCACATGGAGCAGCAGACCTCTCCTGTCTCACCCACTGCTCCCCTCAGCAGTATATTTCAGTCAGTCTGCCTGTTCTGTTCCCTATTCTGTCTCTGGTGAATCCTCTCACCCCCCACATACCTCGGCCTGTACCCCAGTTCTTGTATGCATAAATAAATCTTAAAAAAAATAAAAATAAAAGATAGCTGAAAGACACTTTCCCGCTTGGAGGATATTTTTTTTTTATTTTTTTTACATCATTGTTCATTTTTAAACAATCCTTGCTTCCCCCCACCCCCTCAGGTGTAGTCCCCATAGTTTCCTTCACCAATGCACCCATGCACCATCACCTCAGTCCCCTGTGCTCCTCCCTCCCTCCCTCTGATCCCTCTCCAGCCTTTTCCCTTACAGTATGTCTCTGATTTATAATTGTCTGTTTTTGCTTTGTTGTGTTTTGTACTATAATTACTTTTTTACACTGATGTCTTACTTGGTTCCCCTATATTCATGCTATAAATGAAACTATCTGATATTTTTCTTTTTCCTTTTGGCTTATTTCACTGAGCATAAGTCCTTCTAGCTCCATCCATGTTGCTGCAAATGGCATGAGTTTATCTTTTTTTGATTGCTGAATAATATTCCATTGTGTATATATACCACATCTTGATCCAGATTAGGGGGATATTTAAACTGGAGTTATTTTATACAACAATGTGTCTTAGAGACCCTTGCAAAATACACTGAATATGTATTTGTTGGGCCTTCCCGGTGGCGCAGGGGTTGTCTCTGTGCCATCAAGCTATATGGCCAACCACTGAGGCAAGAATTCAATCCCCGGCCAGGGAGCTAACCCACTTGGTGCAGTAGACCTCTCCTGTCTTGCCTGCTGCTTCCCTCAGCAGTGTATCTCAGTAGATCCTCAGTAGTGCTCCCCACTATGTCTCTATCTCTGGTGAATCCTCACCCCCCCTCCGCACCGCTGGCATACACCCCAGTTCTTGTATCATAAATCTTTTTTTAAAGATTTATGATACAAAATTTTTTTAAAGATTTATGATACAAGAACTGGGGTACAGGTCAGAGAACTGAGGTATAGGCCAGACGTGTGGGGGGTAAAGAGGATTCACCAGAGACAGAGTGGGGAACAGAACAGGCAGATTGACTGAAATACACTGCCGAGGGGAGCAGCAGGAGAGTCAGGAGCAGCTGAGGATAGCTCCATAGGTTGCATCTTAATCCCTTGTGCCAGCAGGGAGTCCCCCCAAAAAAGAAATATTTTTTTAAAAAAAGAATATTTGTTGACTTGAGAGATTGCTTCAATTAGCAACTAATCTAATTTGAAGTACTTCTTGCCCTTACATTCCCTCACATGTTCTAAAGTGAACTCTACTGACCAGTTTGGTATTTAACTTAGTTGTTTTCCCTGCTCTAGCTCACCTAATTTTTTTTTTTTAAAAGATTTATTTATTTATTTATTTATACAAGCATTGGGTACAGTCAGAAGCGTGGGTGAGAGAATTCACCAGAGCCAGAGCGGGGAGCAGAGGAGGCAGAAAGACCGAAGTACACTGCTGAGGGGAGCAGCGGGCGGCAGGAAAGGTCTGTGCGCCATGTGGGACCCTCCTCCAGTGGCCGGGGAGCAGCCGGGGATCGAACCGGCGCTGCACAGGCTGCGGGCAGCTTTGCAACCCAGAGCTCAACCGCTGCGCCACCGGGGAGACCCTCACCTAAATTTTTTAAAGATTTATTTTATTTATTTATGCAAACAAGAACTGGGGTGTAGGCCAGAGGTGCGGGGGGTGAGGAGATTCACCAGACAAGAGTGGGTAGCAGAATGGGCAGAAGTACTGAAATACACTGCTGAGGGGAGCAGCGAGCAAGACAGGGAGGTCTGCTGCGTCAAGTAGGTTAGCTCCCTGGCCAGAGATCAAACATGTGCTGCAGTGGCTATAATAGCTTCATAGTGCTAAGGCTTAATCCCTTCTGCCACCAGGGAGGCCCTCATCTAAATTTTGAGGGCACCAGGACTGCTGGGATCTTCTTTATATTTTCTTCTCAGGTGATTTCTCTGTTCTCTAGTCTTAAATACTATTAATATGCTGATAAGTCACAGAATGTTTATCTCCAATCCTGACCTCTAGACTTCTAAGTAACTACTTAGCATTTCAACTTAGAGTTCTTTTCTTTTCTGAATTTATTCCTCCCCAATAATCTGTTCTTCATCTCAATAACATTCACTACCATTCATATAGACTAAAACCCTGCAATTAGCTCTTTATTCCTCCCATCCTTCACATAATCCCTGTCCTCCACTCCCAACAGCAGTAAGTGAGCAAGTTCTGATGATTCTGTCTCTAAAATATAGCCTGAATTTGCCCATTTCTCTTTGCTTTCTGGTTAGACCCTCTCCAGTCCTCCAGCTTATGTCAACTGAGCTGTCGACGGATCTCTTTGCTTCCTGTATCACTAACACATTAAGTCCAAATGACCTAAGTTCTCCTCTATGTATGCAAATGCGGCAAATTCCTAATTGCTCTCCTCATTTCTATTCATGTCTCACAACTATTGTTTACCATAGATTTATAGCTAACATGTATGTGATAAAAGCGTAGTAAGGCTGTGCTTTAAGTAGAATTAAACAGAATTACACATATTTAGATATCAAAACAATATACATTTTTAGATGTCTAAAGCCTAAATCAGCTAATGGGGCAAACCAATGCAATCTATTCTGGAGAGAGTAAGATTTTCTATTTTCTATGGTCCTAAAATTTAGGCAAACGAAACAAAAACAAAACAGCATGAAAAAATTAATGATCATCTGGTTTATAGTTGCTTGTTGATTTTGATTTTTACTTTATCATAATTAGTCTTTTTCCTGGTCCCTTATTTAGGTTTTCTAAATTCCTGCTATGAGTGAGACCATCTGGTATTTACACACTACAGGGGGAGTAGCAGGGAGTAGAATCAAAACAAGGGGGTTGGGAATTGTATGGGGCCTATAACCAAGATGAAAATGCATACATTGTGCAAAAATGAAAAATGATGTAAAAAATATATAAAATTTAAAAAATGAAAAAATTAATAATCCTCCTTTTCGAATATGAAACTTCTGCTTCTGCCATTACTCCAAAACTATAAAGCTGTATTTAAAGATGTCAGAGAGCCAAAATAAGGGAAAAGAAGAATTACTTATATCTTAGTACATGCATTGTTTTAAAATGTTGGCAATTGGCCAAGTTGAGAGTACTATATGAATATCTCTATACCCAAATGTAATCCTAACAGGAGTTATTGGTATTTATGCCTAAAAACTTTCAGGTTTCAAATTGAAAATAAATCTGTAGCCAAAATTCTTCAAGTAATAAAATGTTTATTCAGCATCTTCAAGATGAACAAAATTACCACTACTTCCAGAAAAAATTATAAAAACAAGTTTAAGAAAAAAAATAACAGGATTTTTTAATGAAAAATTAATTGTAACAAAGACACTATACATTAAGTTACTATATATGTGTATGTGTGAGTATACATACACACACACACACACATTTTAAAACATTTTAAACCTGGTATAAATTAAGCAACATTTTTCTCATATTCTTCACATGATTATGTATTTTGACAGTATATAAAGAAGGAAAACAAGCTAGCGGGCCTCAAAATTAGAAACTCTAATGCAGGGTCAGATCTCTAAATCTATGTTTTCTATGACTTTTGGCAGTTTTAGAAAACATTGACTTTGCACAAGATATAAAAGCTTTATCTTTTAAGTATGTTACCTACTTACACAGAAAACTATTATTGAGGGAAAGACCCACCATGACTATGTTTATTTATAATTCACTGTAATATATACAAAGTTCACTTGGAGGCTTGGAACATGAAAACAACAGTGAGGAAACAAATTAGCTGCAATTATGACTTTTTGACTGCTTATTTTGAATATCAACATACTAATACAGATGTACTTTGTAATACATGACACAAAAAAGAGCATTAAGTCAAACTTTGCTGTAGAGCTGTTAGGAGAATGCCAAATATAGATACTAAAGACTTTGTGCACTTGATTTAATACCTTGTGCATTTAAAAAATAATTGAATATTTTAAACATGTAAACATTTTATAAAAAGGGATGCTAAGCACCTTTAAAATACAATACTGATATACTGTGACTGAACATGCATTTAAAGGACAAATTAATTTTTAAAAACTAATTTAGAAACCATTTTTAAGGAGTTACTCATTGAAATACTTACATGAAAATACTGATAGTTCCATTTTTTTACCTAAAAACCAAAAGAGTATACAATTAGGGATTAAATATTCCTTAATGTTCTCTTTTCTATTTTGTTTTGGGGAAGGATGTGCTATAACTTTCTGTTCTTGTGACAAAAGCAAAACAGCAGCAGGAGAGACACTCACATAGAATGAAATGAAAGAAATATTTTTAAACTATGTTTTGTTCTTGGTCAAGTTCCAAAGCCTGAATCCTCTGACATCGCTCATCTCCATGAATAACTTACTATAGTTCATATTTTAACAAGCATTTCTCCTTAACAACTCAACATCAAAAAAGAAAGGAATGTCTCCAAAGTTATATAGTTCAATTGGTGAAATATTTAATAATAAACCATTACTGTTATTGAAAGGTGAAGATCTATTTAAAATGTTGAAAAAAGGTTTCCATAAAAATTGGAATTAACAAATGAAAAAATATTACCTACAATGCAACACTAAAATATAAATGAACTGGGACGTATTCCTATTTTATTTTTGGACTTATTCCTTTTAAATAAATGAAGATTAAGAGAAATCCAGGTTTGATATAACTAAGAGTTATGCTTAATTAGCATAACATAATCAGATTTGACAGCCTGCCCTTAGGGTTAGGGATAGGGTGAGGGCTAGGGCAAAGTGCCAATTTTTTCAATTCTTAGCAAAAAGTAATTCTACTAAAAATCATATATGTAATTGAATATTTAATCTGTATGAAATAGGGATATAAATAATACATTTTAAACAGGGTATAAATCTAAAGTGGAAGGAATTTTAGAATTCCATTCACTTCTATCAGAACAGTGCTTCATATTTATGTATGCTGTGTACCTAAAATTATTAAAGTAAATTAAGAATGGGAGATTAGACTTAGAAAAGGCAAAAATGACTAGTATTAAGGTTAAATTTTGTATTATATTCTGCATGCTTTGAATATTAAACATTAATATCCATTTAAACCCCTTATTCATTTTCAGTAAGATTTCAAAGTACCCGCAAATGGACTCTGGGGGAAAAATAATTTTAGGCTTATTTATTTACAAAAAAAGCTCATGGTTTATTTCTTCACAAAAAAAGCTCATAGTGAATATACTGATTAGTGCTTATTAGGTAGATGCACTTACTCAACAAGCAAATATAACATTGAGTTGTTTTAAAGTTTTAAATATGAGCTAAATTTCAAATTACAAATACTTACCTTGAAATACTATAAATTCTAATACCATCAATTCAGTAAGAACTCCAGCACAGAAAAATAAACACAACTCAAATTCTTTTCTAACCAGAGTTGAATCTTCAATACAAAATGGGGGAAAAAAGTCCTCTGCTGATATCAAAAAGTTCTCCAATTATCTGCAAACACCAGGGAATTCTATTATTCTTTTTGAATTATCTCAATTTCTATATCTTTACCCATAAGTAGTGTTTTCCTTTAATGCTATATAAATTGATGGAATATACATTTATTTCTGTTGCTTAACAGATTAAAGTTAAAATTCTTAGTACTTACCAAGCAAGACACTTTAAGTTTCTACTAGATGACTATTAATAAGGTATTAATTTGTACGTATAAGTATAAAAATTATAAGGGAAGAAACTAAATGCAGCTATACAGTTTCCAGATGTGACTACTGGGCTTTGTGTCACCATGTAAAATCTATTATTTTATCTTTCCAAATGAGATAGACTCTCATCTGCCTGCAAATTGAAAAAAAAAAATCTACACAACTTTAAAGAGAATAAGTTCTTTTAGAACTTAAAAAAGGTACACACACACTCACTCACACATACACACACTCATACACTTTTCTGTTATGGTCCTTTTAGTCTTTTAACATCCAAAAGTCTGTATTTTCAGAGGGTTACTTAGATAACTATTTGTGTATAGACATGGATAAATTCAAATTTTCTTTTGAAATACTGGCCTTATCATATAATCAAAAAGCATAAGAATTATACAAAATAGGAATAAAACATCTCTTAAGGTAAAAATATGGAATTGGCAACAAACATTATCAGTTTTAAATCCAAGCTGCTCATCAAATCAGTCTTCAGTTCACTTATTACAATGCTGTGCTTTTACAATATTCACCTTCTTTTTTATGACATCAGAAGTCACCAGACTTGCAAACTATGAAGAGTTCAATAATTTATGTAGCAGATAATTTTTTACAGTCCAAATTATTTTTTGCTTCCATAGACAATGTTGGTTCTTTGGGTTCTTGCTTAACTTGGCTCATAGAAATTGTACCTTCTGAGTTTTCTTCAACTTTAAAACCAAACATAAAAGGAAAATCCAAAAGGTTAATATAATTTATAACAGTGGATTTTAGAATTATACAAATTTAGAAGCCTGGCAAAAACTAGCACTTTGAAAAAAGAAAAGCAGCTGGTATATTTGAGAACTCAGTCCTGACACTTAACAGTCATATGGATTAAACTCTTTTAGTATGCTTCTAGCAATGAAACAAAACAATCTATAAAGAACTCTATAAATTTATTCTCTTCTACTGTTCTGTTAAAAAAGCAATCCATACATTCATAAAATTATAAGGAATTTTATTGTGTTTAAATTTAACTGTCTTTAAAAATATGTGAGTAAAATTCAAGAAGCCTTCCACTATTTGAAAATTATTTGTAAGGCAAATAGCAGGCATGTGTACTTCATAGATGTATTACTATTTGGTTTGCATATATGATCACATATCAAGAAAAACATTCCCTCCCTAAAGAAAGTGCACACATTAAGTATTTTAGAAAAAACATACAATGTCTTAAATGATAGCTCTGACTTAGCTGCCTTAACTATATTTGCTTACTTATAACATTCAAAATGCATTTACCATTTTAAATTTAAAGTGCTTATGACCAAATTAATCGTAATGTAGCAGACCAGCAGCACTAGTGTAAAATGGCTAATTGGATGCCTCGGATCAAATCTTACTCTTTTTCTCAGGAATACTGATTTCTCAGTTGTGATAGAGAACCAAGATAAAGGGGATTATATTTGCTTAGTAAAGTGTGTGAACACACCGAATAATCACTATATATGAATATGTTGGAGTTTAGCCAAGGCACAGAGAAAGCCAGTAGAGGTTGGATTTGAGTGAAATAATACTTTGATAAATCATGCAAGTTCAAACCCAAATACAGTTTTCTATAAAGCAGTCTCTGAGTTTCCAGAAATACCATGGGAAAACACAGAGGCAATATGTCAAAAGAGAAAAATGCTTTGGAGGCCAACAGATCTGAGTTCAAATCCTTGTCCACTTATTAGATGTGATCTTCGCACAATTACTTAACCCCACTAAGCCTTGGTTTCCCCATCTATAAAATGGGGACACCACCAACTATTTCATGAAGTTGGTGTGACAATTTATTCATGTATATTGCTTTTCCCTCTATCCTAAAGTTTCTCAGTAGTTGAAAGTATAGCAGAATTACGGATAAAATTTCCTAAAAGTAATGCTTTCAGTAAATTTAAAAGATAATGATTCTTTTCTGGAAGTAACTAACTCAGTTTTCCTTACCCAGAAGAATGATGACTAAGAATGGAGGGGAAATACTTTATATATTCTAAGGATAATTTCTAAGATTATGTTTTGTTCTTCATTGCAAATCCTTTCCCACAAAATGTCCCAACCAGAACAAATTTGTGTGAAAGGAATTGATAGAGGTCAAGGAGAAGTTAAGAGATTATTATTACTGGGCCTCCCAGGTGGCACAGGTGGTTGAGCGCAGCACTATGGGGCTGTCCACTGCCTCTGCAGCGCGGGTTCCATCCCAGCCCGCCAGGGAGATGACCACATGGCATAGCAGACCTCTCCTGCCTCGCCTGCTGCTCCCCTCAGCAGGGTGTTTCAGTCAGTCTGCCTGTTCTGTTCCCTGCTCTGTCTCTGGTGAATCCTCTCACCCCGCGCAAATCTGGCCTGTACCCCGGTTCTTGTATAAATAAATAAATCTTTAAAAAAAAAGATTATTATTACTATGTTTACCTGGCTCATTACAAAGAGAAGGCAAAAAGCTCTTAGATGAAAGCCCAGTCCCTAAGCCTTACTAGTTCCCTTTCACTTTCCATAGAACTAAACATTTAAGTCTATATTGAAAATCTTCCTTTCAACCTTCTTATCTGCCAATTTCATTCTTTTTTTCTTTCTTTTTTTAAAATTTTTTTAAAGATTTATTTATTTATGCATACAAGAACTGGGGTAGAGGCCATCCTGTACACCCCGGATGTGGGGCATGAGAGGATTCACCAGAGGCAGAGTGGGGAGCAGAACAGGCAGATCTACTGAAATACACTGCTGAGGAGAGGCATGCTGCGCCATGTGGGTTGCTCCCAGGCTAGCCAAAGATCAAACTCATGCTACAGTGGCTGGTGATAGCATGATAGCCCTGTCTTTAACCCCTGTGCCACCAGGGAGGCCCTCATTCCTTTTTTCTTTATGCCTGTGTGCACATCAAATTTTCCACAATACTTCTACACTAAAAGCTTTCCTTTTTGTTTTATTTTCACGCATTCTAAAAAGACCTTAGTAATTTCATATCACCACAGATTTTCTATGTAAAACTAAGTAATTAGGGAGTAAGTAATTTCAACGTAGAACAACTTTTAAGTTTAAAAGTTATTAAACTCATACTAATGAAATGTTTTACATCTTTCTCATAGTTTTACTTATTTATATATAAAAACCCACTGAGTAAAAATGATAGTTTTTTTCTGTAGTGCAATAATGATAGCCCATAAAGGTTTTTAAAAAAATAATATATGCTAATTTTAACTTACTAAGAGCTGGATGATGGTCTATAATCTGTATTGGAATGGTCTGCACATCTCCCAGCAGAATCTGTTGAACACTTCTTTCCAGATTCTCTGTAGGCTCAATATCTCCATCTTCCACCAACTGATCCACTGCAACCAGATTTTGATCTGATCCTGGAAGGTTCTCGATTGTAGAGGCAACACTATTGTTTTGGGTTAGACATGTATCTGTTTGAAGGCTATGACTCTGACCAAGCAGTAGAGAATTACTATTCATTACATCACTTCCTATTGAATCCAGAAGTCTTGAAGGACTGGAGGAAGAGTGGTTATTTACTGATACCAGAGTTGGTGATCCATCAGAAGTGAATCTTGGTTGCAACTGCAAACCCTTTTAAACCGAAAAAGAGTTACATCAAAATGTTTGAATTTATTATGATTTTTCTATATATATTATTCTTATGACATAAAATTAGAATAAAATGAGTATAGTTACTACAAATATAAAAGGAGAGAAACAAAAACCAGAGGAAAAATAGTACAATGAAATTTTATCAACTCAAACTTTTTCAAAACATATTGTTAAATTATCATCTTAAATCAAGACACAAAAAAAATCAGAAAATTAATAATGAAAATATCTTTGATCATTATTGTAAGTCTGTTAAAGTCCTCAGGAGAAGAAGAAAGACCAAAGAAGAAAGTCCTCAATTTTGGCTGTTTTGCTGGATAACTACCTGTAGTTGTGTAAATATTTTTGGCTGAAATGAGGAAAGTGAGGACAGCAAGTGGGCTGGCTCTGGAGACAAAGAACCTCTTGTCTGATGTGTTTCTCCTTTGGTGGTAATTGATTCTCCTGGTGAATTTCCTAAATTACAAAAAAGAAACATACTATTATACTAATTTTCATGGTTTCTAGAGCACTGCACATTATTAAAACCCTTGATTTAAGGGGCCTCCCCAGTGGTGCAGTGGTTGAGCGCTGGGTTGCAAAGCTGCCCGCAGCCTCTGCAGTGCCGGTTCGATCCCTGGCCGCTCCCCAGCCACTGGAGGAGGGTCCCGCATGGCGTGCAGACCTCTCCTGCCGCCCGCTGTTCCCCTCAGCAGTGTACTTTGGTTCTTCGGCCTGCTCTGCTCCGGGCTCTGGCTCTGGTGAATTCTCTCACCCTCCCACGCTTCTGACTGTACCCAGTGCTTGTATAAATAAATAAATCTTTAAAATAAATAATAAATAAACAAATGAATGGCTGGGGGGGGGGAACCCTTGCTTTAAGAATGGCAATAGGAAATAAGGTGAAAGTATTGAAAAAGACTAAGAAGTTGGGCCTTCCTGGTGGCGCAAGGGTTAAAGTGTCAGTCCTATCAAACTATTGCCAGCAAGCAGCCCCTGTGGCATGAGTATGAGTTTCATCCCTGGCCTGGGAGCTAACTCACATGGCACAGCAGACCTCTCCTGTTTTTCCCACTGCTTCCCCTTAGCAGTGTATTTCAGTCAATCTGCCTGTTCTGCTCCCCACTGTCTCTTGTGAATATTCTCACTCCCCGAACCTCTGGCCTACAACCCAGTTCTTGTATGCATAAATAAGTAAAATTAAATCTAAAAAAAAAAGATAAAAATAAATTGACCTTATATGAATGGGCTTATTTCTAGGTTTTTCATTTCTAATTACCTACTTTACTCTGCTACAGTCACCCACTCGCTACTGTGGGCATGCACTGGATCATAAGATCTCTTTCAAACATCCCATTGTCTGAATATAACCTCTTATTCCTCCAGGATTTTGCTCAGGTACTGCACTGCAATAGTTCTTCAACTTCATGTACCTCCAGTCAAAGGATTCCTCAGTTTTCTTTAGCTCCATCAACCTCTTCTTTAATAAAATTCTCTCTCCATCTAACTTAAAGTCTTAGATTTATAATTGTAGTCATTCTATTGTAAATTCTCTAAACTCTGTTGTCTTTGGTCTTATCCCCATAGTAAAATGCTAACTCCAGATGAAAATGACTTCAGTACCCATATCTGAGAAACTGAATACTACTGGAAAAGAAACTTGCTATTTCTACTACTAATTCAAGATCACCTATCTCTGTCGGACCTTCACTTATACCTAACAATCTTACAATGTTTCTTTTACTATTTATTAGGGATGACAGAAAATCTCTCTTTTCCTCAAATCTTGGCCATTCTTCCTGAAATCTTTTCTAATTCATAATTGTCTTAAAGAGAAAAGAGACGCCTTGAGGTAGAAATTTCCACAACTTTCCGTTACCCAAACTAATGACTACCTTTTTCATTTTCATCTATCTCTCCAGGTCTTTCATGTCTTAAAATACCTTTCCTCAACTCCATAATTCCTTCATTGTTAACTTCTGGAAAAAGTGGTCTACATTGTCTCCATTCATCTCCTATTCACTTTTCAACCACCTAATATGGTTTCCTTTCAATCCTACTCCATTGAAATGGCTGAATCTCAAGCATTTAAAAACTAATCTCATGATCTTTTTTACTCTCTCCCACCACCACAATACCCTATTCTTATGCCAGTGTTGCCAAACTCAGTAAATGCCACTATTAGTCAGTTACTCATGAAAGAAACACAGAAGCCACTCCAGATCATTCCTACTCTTTCACCTCACATACCTAGTCAATCAATAATCAAGGTCTGTCCACTTTAAGATTTTAAAATTCTACTTTTAAAATAACTCTTAAATATGTCTGATTCTAATTTAAATGCAACCAACTGCAGTCTAAACTACTATCACGTGTCATCTGGACAGCTGAAAGAGACTCTTAACACGTGTTTTGTTTATCCAGTATTATCTCCAAGCATTGTCTATGCTGAAAAGTTTTAAGTTCCTTGAAAGTATATGATCTTTCTTATTTATTAGCCTTCAAACATATACATTGACTGGCAAATTCCTATTCATTCTTTAGTTCTTAGTTTAAAAAATCACTTTGTGAAGTGATATTTCCCTATGCCTAGGACTAGGTTATAGGTCTCTTTTACTATTTCTACAAAATTTTGCACAATTCTCTCATGGCATTTTTCACAATAGTAATTAATTAGAATATAATGGTTTAGTATCTTTTTATTAAAGATTTATTTATTTTTACACAAGAGCTGGGGTACAGACCAGAGGCGCAGGAGGGTGAGAGGATTCAGCAGAGACAGAGTGGGGAGCAGAACAGGTGGATGACCGAAATACACTGCTGAGGGGAGCAGCGGGTGCGACAGGAAAGGTCTGACACGCTATGTCGGAATCTCCCCCGCTGGCTGGGAATTGAATCCACACTGCTGAGGCTACAGACAGCTTCACAGTGCTGCGCTCAACCCGCTGCACCACCGGGGAGGCCCTAGTATCTTCTTTTTTAAAGATTTATTTATTTATGCATACAAGAACTGGGGTGTAGGCCAGAGGTGTGGGATGGGGTAGAGGAGAGGATTCACCAGAGACAGAGTGGGGAACAGAACAGGCAGACTGACTGAAACACACTGCTGAGGGGAACAGCGGGTGAGACAGGAGAGAGGTCTGCTGCACCATGTGGGTAGCTCCCTGGCCACGATATCGCTGTGTCTTTAACCCCCGTGCTACCAGGGAGGCCCTGTTTAGTATCTTTTTCTCATTAAACTTTAAATTCAATGAAGCAGGAAACTTACTTCTCTTTTATGCACAGAATTTATCACACTGAGTGAAATATGGGCAGAAAAACTGAATAATGTTAAAGAATTTAAAAGTTATTCTGTCTCTAAAGTAACTCTTTTAAAGGTTAATAAGCTGAAGAATGAAGAAATAATTGCACTATATATGCTATTTACTTATTGATTCTAAAGCATTTATTTAGGAGTTACCTTTTCAGCAGGTATAATGCAAGAAACTAGGTATGTCAACTTGAATAAAATACAATCCATGTCCCTAAGCAGCTCAAGTCACAATGAAAGATACAGATGACAAAACAAAGGGATACCATGTTAAAAATTAATTTAAAAGATAACATGTTAAATGAGAGGTAAATACAGAAGAGTAAATACCTAGCTTACATGAGGGTAAAGTTAAGAGAGCACTCATTGAGATTGCCATTTTAGGTTGAGAGGAGTTTGCCATGCAAAAGAGGAGAAAAAATACTTTTAGTAGATAGACCAAAGGGTGGAAACAGCTTTAACTATTGAGAGAACAGAGGAGTAAGAATATGTAAAAAAAGAAAACCATAAAAAGTGAACAATAGTTTTCTGATTAGGCATCTTAGTATAATTACTAGTGGAATTAGCCTAGTTTTACAATTAACTATTCTAGCAATCAATCCCAAAATTTTAATCATTAGGAAGCATAAAAGCTGATGATTATAAGAGGAAATTTAAATAGCTAGAATTATTTTGACAAATTCTAATATAATTGGTCTTGCCTCTCTAGATCATGGTTCCTTATCTACATAATTTGATTAAATAGTATCTTAGAAGTCTTCAGTTTTAACATTATTTCATAATTTAAAGGTAACTTACCTTCTGCAAATGTAACTGTCACAGTCTCTCTCAGAATATTCCCATTATCTGTAGTCCACTGAAGCTGAAATGGGAACATTTATTTCAGTAGAATTAACAAAGCATTTTTATTAAAAAAAACTTCCCATCATCAATACAATTGTTATATTCTATTCAGTCATAGTACAACTATGCTTTATCCTGCAATTACTCTCTTCATGTGTTCACATTCTTAAAACACAGTTACACTTAATTATCTAAATATATTACTCTCTCAAGTTCAGATAACAAGAATGTTGACAGCAAATGCAGATGACACGGACTACTGCTAACCAAAGCTGTCCAAGTACCTGAATTTTGGGTAGTAAATAATTAAGAGTTTTGGATGCCAAAGAGTTTTGGTTGCTAGTAGCTCTAGCTTAAACAAAGTCTGATCTAGTTATTGAATTTGGATAGTAAAATTCTGAAGAGCGACAGATACTGCATCTGAGATTTTAATGCTGTAATCACTGTGCTTCATAATTAGCAGTTTCTGGGTAATTATAGTAATTTCTTCAGAACAGGTAAAACATTCTTAGAAAAATACTGTATTCAGGAAGAACATACAGTATCATGGAATGAGGTAAAATTTTTATTTATAGATGATATATGGAACTAACATTATCACTTTGTATAATCGAGACTGAATTGTCCTATTTAAAGTTGCCCATATATTTAAAAAAGGGAGATGTAAGCAGTATGTACTTAATAAATGTCTGTTAAATGAATAAGATATACCTTTCATGGAGATAAAATGTTGATTTTTCATAAGAAGGTTACTACCATTATTTTCTAGACTGAGTTGGAAATTCACTCACATTTCTACTCAAGAGAATACAAAATTTTAGTCAAATCATCACCTGAGAGTTCACAGTGTTTACATCTCTTAAGAAAAAGATACCATTTTTGTTTAATATCAGTTATTTATATGGTCTAATATCAACCACTGTTATTTGCCTAAATAGTACTAAAAACTGAGAAAGATTTTAAATAAAATAAGAAATTACTGTTGTGATCATACCGTTGCTGGAATAATCTCTGTGTTATACACATTATCTCCATTTTTCAAGGATTTCTGTACTTCATGGATGTGATTTTTTATATCATTTACAGTTGGAAAAAAGGATAAATTATGTCTTTCAGGCACCTCATCAGGTTTGAACAGTTCCCTTTCCACAAATTTTCTGTGGAAAATAAAAGGTAGAATAAAAACATAAAGAATCTAGCAACATACTATGAATTAAATAAGATAAAGACTTTCTTTTAGGACAAACTTCTGTGAAGAATGGTGTACAGTTTTATAAGTAATCTGTCTCCTTGTACTTTTTTTTTTTAATTAATTAATTAATTTATACAAGCACTGGGTACAGTCAGAAGCGTGGGAGGGTGAGAGAATTCACCAGACACAGAGCAGAGAGCAGAGCAGAGCAGGCAGATTGATGAAGTACACTGCTGAGGGGAGCAGCGGGCGGCAGGACAGGTCTGCGCACCATGTGGGACCCTCACCCGGCGGCTGGGAATCGAACCGGCACTGCAGAGGCTGCGGGCAGCTTGGCAGCCCAGTGCTCCACCACTGCGCCACCGGGGAGGCCCTAAGTAATCTGTCTTTCAATTTTTCATTTTCCATTAGACCAAATCAGAGAATTCATGCAGATTAAGGAAATAGCCTACTTTCTTTGGTTTAACATCTGTGTATCTTAGAATAAATTTTGACATCTTTATGAATTTAAAGGAATCACTATTTCCAGTTTAAATATAACATGTTTTTAAATACTTACTCATGAGTCAGACACTATACTGAACCCTTCACATCAATTATCTACTTTTACTGTGCAGTAGGTACAATTATCATCCCCACTTTACAGACAAGGGAGCTGAGGGCTGCAGAAGTTAAATAATTTGCCCCAAATTATATACATACCTAACAAGCAAGCGACCTTTGGGCCTACACCCAAGTTATAAGACCATATCAGAACTGCATTACACTCTGTTCTTTTTTTTTTTTTTTTTTTTGGGTATAAATTAATTTATTTTTATTTATTTTTTTTATTTTATTTATTTTTTTTAATATTAAATTTTATTTTTATATTCCCCCATACAATTGCAAACGCCCCATTCTGACCCCAATCCCTCCCCTCCCGCCCCTCACCCCCCAAAAAGTGTCTCTGGTTCATAGTTTTTTGTTGATTTTGATTTTCACTTTCTTATATTCATTTTCCTGGTCCCTTATTTAAGTTTTCTAGATTCCTGCTATGAGTGAGACCATCCGGTATTTTTCTTTTTCTTTTTGGCTTATTTCGCTGAGCATGATCCCTTCCAGCGCCATCCATGTTGCTGCAAATTGCATGTGTTTATCTTTTTTGAATGCTGAGTAATATTCCATGGTATATATGTACCACATCTTCTTGATCCAGTCATCTATTTTTGGGCATTAGGGTTGTTTCCAAAGCTTAGCTATTGTAAACAGTGCTGCTATAAACATAGGGGTGCAGGTGCTCTTTGGAATTGATGTTTCTGTGTCCTTTGGGTAAATACCTAGGAGTGGAATTGCTGGATCATATGGAAGCTCTATGTTTAGTAGGTCCAGAAATCTCCACACAGCTCTCCATAGTGGTTGGACCAGTTTGCACTCCCACCAACAGTGCAGAAGAGTTCCTTTTTCTCCAAATCCTCGCCAACATTTGTTGTTGCTAGTTTTTTTAATATGTGCCATTCTCACTGGTGTAAGATGGTATCTCATGGTAGTTTTGATTTGCATTTCCCTGATTACAAGTGATGTTGAACATTTTTTCATATGTCTGTTGGCCATTTGCATTTCCTCTTCAGAGAAGTTTCTTTTTAGCTCTTCTGCCCATTTTTTGACTGGATTATTTTCTTTGTTGTTGCTGAGTCTCATCAGCTCTTTGCAGATTTTTGTGATCAGTCCTTTATCATTAGCATTACACTCTGTTCTTAAGATCAATAAATAGTAAACAGGTTTTATAGTGTATGGCTTTACAAAATTCCAGCTGTTCTAACAATGCCTCAATGGAAATTAATATAAAATGTCTAAGAAAGCTGCTAATAAGAAAAGTCACATATTAAGAAATAATTCTTGAAGATACTCATTGTGTTATTCAGATCAGACTACATAATAATCAGTAGGAAAAAGGTCAGTTAAATAGCAGAAATCATGGTGAAGCAAACAGGCTGTTTAGACCTATTATTCAGTTCTGTCTTTGCCTCTTAAACCAGTTAAACACTCTGAGTCTCCATATTCTCAGCTGCAGAATGGGGATAAATATACCAACTTTATAGAGTTATAACAATGAGATTGTGCACATAAAGATAGCACAATGCCTGACCCACACATAGTATCAAATATTAGTAATTATTATATCCTGACTATCAATAAAATTAGACCAGAGTGCTACATACAAAATTTCATTAATCAAAGAACTACCCATCTTCTTTTGTTGCAATAAAATTTAATTGCATTTCAAATAGATACAAATACCTTGTCCTAGATTTTAAAATCTTTGGTTCAACAAAGGATTTTTTCTGTAAAAGTATTTATTATACAATTTAAAACTCATATATCACTTAGAAATAGTCCAATTTACCAAATCTGAATATAGGGAATCTCAAATGAATAATTCGAATTAATACTCATGGATAGCCAAGCATCTGCTGGAAAAGATCAGTTCAGAAATAAGATTATTTTAATAAATTAATGAACTATACTCTTTATCCACTGTAATAAGATATATATACTACAAAATACACATAATGCTAAGTATATTACTTAAATCAACAAAAATGAAAAAAGTGGAAGGACAAGTTGTTTTTATTGTACCTTAGCTGTTTCCTTACTGCATATACTTGTTCTATTCCCTGTGAAACTAATTCTTGAATTTTATGTGCGACTTGAGGATGTAGACGTGAGGGTAATGCACAGTTCTCATCTCTAATTGCAGTTTCCTCTTCTTCAAGAGAGGACACAGGGAAGGGGGAAGGTGACAAAGGACGGCAAGGAGTCTCTAATTCATGATACTGATGAGCTTGCTGTGTAGGTAACTGTACATACCATCTGACAACAGAAAATATTTAAAATTTCATTAGTCAACAAAGACAAATCATAGCTTCTTATGTTAATACTCATCAAGAAAAAGAATACTCTTTTAAGAAAAAAAATTGAGTGCATCAGACTAAATAAATTTTAAAATAAATAGAAGTAAAATATTAAATGTCTTCTCTTAACTCTTGTAAGATTAGCTTTATACCCAATTAAATTAAAATCTTGATAAACCTTTACAAAGTTTCCTTATAGCCCAAAACTTAAGGAGGGAGCAGGATATATGTATTTACTTAAATTTCAGATTAAGTTAATTTTATCCAATAAATAAGAGACTAGCTGAAAGGTGAATAAAGGTCTTTCATACTGCAGTATAAACACTAGAAAAATGAGCTGATCTAATAGGATACTGTTCTAATGGATATTTTGTATAAAATATTTGTAAAGACTGATGCTACATGAAAAGGAGGCTACTTAAAAATCATACACAATGTTCTCCAAGCTGAAGGATGTAATTATCTTTTCATTTTTCACATATGTGAAAGTATTTTAAAATCGCACAAAAACTATTCCACAAACATAATCTCATTACACCTGTACTGACACATAAAAGAAAGCCAGTATTTCCTGGTATTTAAAACCTGAAGCATAAAAGATAAAAAATGGAACTTTATGAAGGACTTATAATTCATTTCTGGCTGCCATAAGAAATGAAAGATGTGTTTTAAAACTATATAGATGACACCAAGTTTGGCTCCTAATAACTATCTGAAACAAAATACTAGATATACAATGAAACGTATTGCTAAATACATATTGTTATTTTGGGAAAAAACTTCCATGTAATATACAAAATGCTTTGGTCAGAATTATCCATATCATGTGGCTTATCAACTTACTGGCTTAAACAGAGGGAAATAATTTTAATACCCAAGAAACTACTAGTGAGGCATCTACTTTTTAAAACTATTTCTGAATGAAATAATTGGAAAACATAATTAAAATTTCTCTTAAAGAGTTCCAGAAAATGTAAGAAACTTATAAGAACTATAAAAATGTCATACCTAAGAACACCACCAGCATCCACCAAGTTCTTCTTTAGCATGTTAAAGGCTTTCTCTTGCTCCATTCGAATTATCTTCTTGTCAATTTTGGGGTCCGTAGGAACTCTATATTCAGGAAATTTCTGTACCTTTTTAATGTAAATCCTTTTTTTTAAGAAAAAGTAAATTTGTTTCATTATAATCTAAAAAAAAATCAAACTTATCAACCTGGGTTTAAGCATTAAGTTGAGAGAAAATTCAAATAATCTAGAGGGAATTCAAAGGATTATATAAAAGATATGTACTATCCTCAGTGCATAATATTTAGCAAATTAATAATTATTTCAGGAAAAATTATCTAAATGTTTATGGATATTAAGGTATTTGTTTTTGGTTTTGTTTTCAGGATTTGCCTCCTCTCCATTCTCTGGAAGCTATAAGCATCTTATACCTGGATTTCTTTTAATGGAGGGCAGCTACTTCTAGGACTTTGTGTCTACATACTTTCATTAATCACATCTACTTAATATAGCAATGTCATAATAAAGCTACACATTGGTGCTTCTCTGATCAAGGATCTATCTAGTACTAAGTATGAATTTTATGACAGTATTGGAAGCATTCTACATTATTCTAGCTTATTTATCTAGACTTACTTTCAATTGCTTCAAATATAAAATTGTTTTTTCTGGGAGGGTTTATAATCTCAATGTTTCTTTCCGGTCTAATACCAAATATGCAGTCACCCATATCTTTATAGTTCTCCTGGTCTATAATACCTTCCTCCTCTAATTCTTTACTCAAATTCAATTAAACTTCAGTATCCAAGTTAAGTTATACTTTCTTGTTCATTAGTTTCCATGAATATATTCCTCCTCTAAAGACAGTTCAACCAAACATTTGATACTATGTACTATGCTCTTATGTTCTCCAATAGTTTTCAGTTTCCTAATCCACCCAAACAATTTTTTTAAAGAATTATTCCTTTATTGTAAGATTTTTATTTATGTTGCATAGAAAAGCTAGGCTATAGGCCAGAGGTGCGGGAGGGTGAGAGGACTCACTAGAGAAAGAGTGGGGAGCAGAACAGGTGGATCTACTGAAATACACTGCTAAGGTTAAGTTAGCTCCCTGGCTGGGGATTGCATTCAGGCTGTTGTGGTGGGCCCTGCAGTGGTAGTGCTGAGCCTTAACTCCTAGGCCACCAGGGAGGTTCCCCAAAAAATATTTTAAATTGTCTGTGATTAAGTAAAATCTTATCTTTCTCTTTTAGTCTCCCTTCTTCCCATGGCACCCAACACAGTTGGTGGGCACAGCATACTCAAAGAAAGAAGACAAAATGATTAATAATAAACTTATTTTCTCACACACAGAAGTTTTCTCCTAAGTTATACCTAAAAAGTTATATTGCTTATGTTTAAAATGCAGCTGAAATTTGTTTCATTGACATGTTTAAATATTAGCTAAAGTTAACATTTTAATACATGAGAAACCTTAAAAACTGCTGTTAAAAACTCGAGAATGCTGAGGTTTGAGGACAAAGATGTAATTTTAAAATAAAATGTTTCAAAGATAAACTAAATTCAACTATACATGTTATAACATGTTTAGTTTATATTACTATACATGTTATCTCTTAAAAATTTATTTTGTCTGATAATATCTAAAAAGAAAATTAATAAAGGACATTATAAAAATCTTTAGTTGGCTCATATTTTTCATTCTTACAAGAGCAAAGACTACTCCGTAGTCCTGTCTAAAGCAGTAATATCCATACTAGTAATGAATATAATTGGTAAAACCTCTCTAGAAAACACTTTGCAATACCCTTAAACATTTAAAAAAATTACAACTTTCATCCTAGCAACTTAAAGGAATTCATCTTACTAATACACTTGTACAAGTTTACAAATAGGTACGATATTATTAACTGCAATTTTGTATACAATAAAGAAGACTTTTCAGAGCCTACAGGTCCATTATTAAAGGACTTACATAAATGATAACTCATCCATCAATGGATGATTAGTTAGTAATAGATGATTACTAACAAGGAATCACAAAATTAATAGTATATATCAATTAAAAAAATAAAGAAAGAACTAGTGCTTTTATGTACAGATATGGAGACAACTTCAACATATATTGGGAATGAACAAAAAATAGGTAAATTTAAAAAAAAGTGAAGTGTAGTATAGTATATGTTAATGTAAATTCATAGTAGGAAAGACAGTATAATACTACAACTTTGAAGAAGGAAAATGCTAGTAAGTTTTACTAGTATCTTCAGCATTTATGAGGGTCCAGGAGGACACACACACATTTATATACATGTACATATATGCATATACAGAGTACCTTTGGAAGGTTACTCAAGAAACTGGTAAGTTTTTGCCTCTTAAAGAGGGATATAAGGAGCAGGGGAAAGAGAAAACATTTTACTTTTTGGCACTGTTTTAAAGTTAATAAAAATGTGCATATTAGCTATTCAAAAATATATAATTCAATAAAGAAAAAGAAAAGAAAGCTTACCGAGCTGGACAAGTGGCTTTGTAGAGTTGACAAGACCTGCTTTCCTGTTCACTGATTTTTTTTAACTGGAAACCTTTTCTTCTTGGCCCATACTGACACTCCATTACCACAGCTCTACTCCCTGTGGGCCAAAATCAACTAATGATATTAATTCAAGTATCCATCTGTTCTGGATACTAGATTAAAAATAATTTGGTGGTACTGTCAAAATTTATGCTTTTAGTTATTCAATTTAAAGGAAAGACAACATCAGTAAGTCTCACTAAAGATGTACTAACACAAACATTTAAAAGTTTATTGTAACATTTACCAAGTTATGGTAAGGAAATTAGCAAATATCACATTTACTGAATGTCTACTGATATTTACACATAAATGATTTTTAGTAATAAAATTTACTACTTTATACATAGAAATTAGCAAATGTTATATGTTAATGTGTATTGTTATTTAAATTTTTATTTCCTTTTATAGTTATTTATTTCCTTATTTCTAGATGGGCTGTTAAAATAATTTGATAATCAGCCCTCTAAAATGGCCCCCAATGAGCCCTGCATTCTAGTACTCAGGTCCATGTATGATTCCTCCCCTTGAGCATATGTTAGACTTACTAACATATTTCTAATGTATAGGGCAGAAGTGATAGGATGTTATTTTAGATATTAGGTTATAAAAAGACTGTGACTTTCATCTTGGGTACAGCTTGCTCTTGCTTGGATTGCTCTCTCTGGGTGAAATCAGGTGTCATGTGGTGGGGCAGCTCTGTAGAGAGGCCCACGTTGCAAAGAATAAGGCCTACCAACAGCCACCTGAGTGAGTTTGGAAGCAGATCCTCCCCCAGTCAGGCAGTGAGCCGCTCCAGCCAACACCTTAAATGAAGCCTTGTGAGAGAACCTAAGGCAGAACCACCTTGCTATGCCGTTCTTGGATTCCTGACTCATAGAAACTGAGATAACAAATGTTTGTTGTTTTCAGCTACCAATTTTGAGATAATTTGTTATATAGCAATAGTTAATACAAATAAATAGAAGTGAAAACTACGTAGCTCAATCTTTTAAGTTGAATATTCTTCTCCCCATAGGGTATAGCAAACTTTTAAAATATAAAAACCATACCCACTAGTTATAAATCAAAATTTTGATAAAGCTGCTATTAAAACTTTAAGCCTCCATTTACAAGACACTATAAATAATGGTAAAAGGAAAACAATATTTTGAGAAACATTATAAATATATAACAAAGAATTAAATTGCAGACTAAAGAACCATAAATAATTTTCAAAAATAAAAATAAAAAACTAAACATAAAAATGGATGCAAGCTATAAATAGGCAATTCAGAAAGAACAAAAAGGATTTTTTTTTTAAGATTTTTTTTTTATTTATGCATACAAGAACTGGGGTGCAAGCCAGAGGTGTGGGGGGTGGTGGTAAAATTCACCAGAGACAGACGGGGGAGCAGAACAGGCAGATCTACTGCTGTGAGTGGAATAGCAGGTGAGATAGAAGAAATCTGCTGCACCATGTGGGCCAGCTCCCTGGCCAGGGATTGAACTCATGCCTCAGTGGCTGGTGATAACTTCACAGCACTGAGACTTTAACCCCTCGGCTACCAGGGTGGCCCAAGAATTAAAAGGATATTAAATGAACAAATGAAAAAGATGTTTAACTTTATAAGTAACTAGGGAAATGCAAATTAAAACAATACAAAAATATTATCTTACACTCTTCACTGTGGCCAAAAGTAAAACCAAAAACCAAAAGAAGTCTACAACAGCTGAATCCACTGATCTACCTTACCACCGCAAAAGGGTATGACACACAGGTAGCAATAAAAAGTACAAAGCACACCTGTAAAGTAGTATCACAAAAATCAAACCTTCACTTAATTAAGCCTCTAAAACCAACAGTTTACAGGAAATAGAAAAGATAAGAGAACATGTTAAACTACACACAGAGATGAATCAGCAAAATCTAGAATGTAGTAAACTCTACAGGACAAACTACCTGGGGGAAAGAGAAATTTTCAGATGAAAAGAAATTTAAGATATATATTAACCAAAGTAATACATGGACTATGTTTGGATGTGAATTTGAACAAACCTATAGAAAAAGAATTAGAGGTGGAGAAAAGTGAACTACTTTACGACATTAAGAAATTACTATTCATTCTTTCAGAGGGTGATAATGGGATTGCCTCTATAATTTTTATCTTTTATCAATACATGCTTTAGTAATTATAGATAAAATAATATGATATCTGGATATTGTTGTAAAATCACCTTGGGAGTGGGAAATGCAGAAGCAGGTAGGGGTAGAGATGAGAGAGGGTTTGTAACAGAGTGGTCACCAGAAAAAGGGAAAGTTCCAGTTTCCCTGCCCCACCCAAGGGAGGGTGGAGCTGAGTGGGGAGTAGAAAAAGCTGGACTGAGACTAGGGAAGGAAGCAAGAAGGATGGAGAGCAAGAAGATCTGGAGGAGGCACATGTAGTAAGAGACAAGAAAAGAAGCTACACTTGCTTTTTGGTCCTGGATTGGTTAAAACAGATGTGGGTGAGAGACCCAGGGGAAAGTTAACAATGGCAGCGTTAATCTTGATTTTGCTCTTTTCCCTCCAGACTTATCTGGCTGTTTCTGACTCTTTTCTATGGGTACCCACCAGAACGTGCTTTAGACTTGTGGCAGGCTTTCAGGCCTCAGAGGCCCTGCTTTGGGCAAAACCTGTTTGGCTGGGCATTTACCCATGAGAGGGATGGGTGACTTAGGGTGTTTGCTTTGGAAACTATATTCTTCTCCATTCTCCCCCTTTTCTGTGTTGCACACTAATTGTATTAAAGTTCCTTTCCACTAAAGGTCTTACACAATGGAGTATGTTTTGTCTTGATGCAGCAGATGACAAATGATTTAGAGCGGACAGGTTGGGGGGTCTTGGGGTGCCCCTCTCCCTGTCCCATAACAGATTGATCATATGCTGACACTGTAGTTGTTGAAGCTGGAAGATGGAAGATACTTGAAGTCATGGGATTCCATGTATCACTACCTCCACTTTGATACACATATGAAATTTTCTATAATATAAATATTTTTATTTATTTTTTAAAGTTTTTTTTTTTTTTTAAGATTTATTTATCTATACAAGAACCGGGGTACAGGCCAGATGTGCGGGAGGGTGAGAGGATTCACCAGAGACAGAGCAGGGAACAGAATAGGTAGATTGATGAAATATACTGCTGAAGGGAGCAGCGGGCAAGACAGGAGAGGTCTGCTGCGCCATGTGGGTTTCTCCCTGGCCGGCTGCACTTCACAGTGCAGTGCTCAACTGCCTGCGCCACCAGGGAGGCCCAATATAAAGATTTTTAAAAGTCTAACAATGAAGTGAATGAGGAAAAGGGAATTGCTGAAATGAATAAAAATTGGAATAGACTGTCAATCCCTGAAATCTAAAAAGCTCAGAAAACAGTTTTTGAAGTCATTTGGCTGCAAACCCTGACCTTTGTATTGTTATTTAATCCCCTTAGTCTGACTATCCATAAAGTATTACTTTGGCTGATTAAGTGATAATGTTTATAGAATATTTGGTAGTACTCTATAATATTACCATATTATATTCTAAAAATACAGAATTTTGAATTACATCTAATCAAATCAATTTTAGAGAAGGAATTTTAGACTTATAAAGATACTAATGAGAATAATTTGAAATAATCTCGTGAAGATGAAATGGGCATATTTTACAACTCAGCTATTCCACTTCAATGCATACACTCTTGAAAAATGTACATCTTTTCAACATAAAACATATATTGTGGAGGTTAGACTATAGCATACTATGTAATATTGAAAAGTTGAAAAAACTTAAAAGACTGGTAGAAAGATAATTGTGTTTTGATCATGTGCTGGAATATTACATAATAGTTAAATTGAATTAAGCAGAATCTGGAAGTATCAGCATTGGATGGATTTTAAAAAACAAGGTCGAGTGAAAAGTTTATACAGCAATGTCAACAGCTGGATTATATATATTTCAAAATATTTAAAGCAATGCATTATTATAAATAAAAATACGTATGGTAAAGTAGAAAAAATATAAACTGAAAAGACAGAAACCAAATTCATTTGTGGCTCCATGGTGAGTTAAGAAGTGGATTAGAACTAGGGAATGGGAAGAAACTGAATTTTTTATACAACACTGGTGACACCTGGACAGAAAAAGCTGCATTTATCTCATCTCCCTTACATTTCTCTTTACCCTCAGAGGAATAGGAAGAGGCTCTTCCTTTTGAATCAGTACCACTACCATTCTGAAATAAATCACTTATTTTTAGGTTCCTTGGGGTCTATTTCTAGGGTGACTCAGTAGGAGTTTCTTAAAACTCTACTACTTTAATAAATACTAGCTTAGTGTTTGAGAATACTGTATGTAACACATCTGACAAGAACATTAATATTAAAATATATAATATCACCAGGTAGCTTATAAATTCTATACAGTAACTCCAGAGTTCTTAGTCACCTACAATGAACAGAAACTTGCCTCAGAAGGAGAGATTATCCGGATTGGATATAAAAGACTCCACCAGGCAAGGGTATTTAAATAAAATTGCTCTATTGTTTAATTTTTATTAAATAGGTTTACCTAGAATTTCAATATTTATATTTTCTATTTAAAATGTTTATGGGAAGTATTACTTATCTCACACTAATAGATTAAAATGCTATTTTATAACATAAAATAACTGATTATATTTGCTGTAAGTTTTCCTTCTAGTAGATGCAGTTTCATCTACTAATATTCAGTTAGCAAAGTGAAAATGTATCACTTTAGAAAAGCCATATTTTCACAATGGATCATGGCTATTACTGATCCTTTTAAAATAACACTTTCAAAAAGTACCTGCATTGACAAATGGAATTCCATCATATGGGACATACTGGGACTTCCACATCAAGCGTGTAGCTGGCTTGGCTGGACTTGGAGATTGGCGAGTCCCCCAAACACTCTGTGTCTGCTGCTTGTGAAATGTTAGAATACTTTCTAATTCAGTCTCACTTACGCAGTAGCCCCGGTATGAATCTCCAATTTTCTGTATGTAGTATAAATTAAAAGACAAAATTATTAGCAAATGTTTCACTGCACAAAAAATTTAGTAAGACGGTTATATAAGATGAAAAACTCATCAGTTTTCAAAAGAGAATGTCATTTCTCCCCTCAGATCAATGGTCTATTACAACCAGTGGGTCTGACTGAAATTCAACCAGTTTCATCAAGTAGATAATTTCCAGGTATTTGTTAAGAGAATATAATGCCAACATCATTGCCATACTACAAGTCCGTAAATAACATCTTTTTGTTCAAGATTGTTTTGTTAGAATACTGATAAGGAAAAAAACAATCAAACCCCAAGCACTGTCTGTGTGAAGTTTGCACAGTCTTCCAACATCTGATACTCTGTGGGAGCTTGGGTTATCAACGTGTCTAAACTATTCTGTGTCTTCGTCTTAATTATTCTTTGCTTTGACTATTCTGTGTCTCTCAGTGTGCAGAAACAGGGAAAGTTGATAAGGAACATCTCAGAGCAAAAGTCCTAGTATGAGGATCTATACATGCTAAAAACAGCATGTGCAGATACATAAACCTAGATGGTATAGCCTATTGGGAACACAGTTGTACACATGTTCATCACTGATTAAAAGTAACACTATTAAACAGTGTAAGACTGTGTGTGTTTATACATATTACTTAGGAAAGTAACAACAGTTATATTGTCCTAATAAATATAAGACATCTCATTACCAGACATTATTAGAAACTTTCTGAAATATTAAAACTTAAGTTATTATTTTCCAACCCATATTTTAAAATCTGATTTAAAAAATTAAGCATTTTAATGGTTAAATAATCATATATATCATGACCTGGTTACAAAAACAAGGGAGAATTAAAGAACAGAATTAAATACAGATTTGAGAATAATTTTTATAAAGAATTATGGGTCAACAAAATTGATAAGCTCCCCAAGAATAAAATGTAGAGAAACAGGACAAGATCAAACAATGACCCCTAAAGAAGTTCCACTGACTATATGAAAGAAGTACAAGCAAAGAAAGAGAAGAAATAGACAAACGTAGAAAAACACGATAGTGAAGTTTTTTGTTTTTTTTTTAATAGAGGCATTTTTTTTTTATTTGTTTGTTTGTTTTGTTTATACATGCACTGGGTACAGTCAGGAGCGCGGGAGGGTGAGAGAATTCACCAGAGCCAGAGCGGGGAGCAGAGCAGGCAGAAGGGCCGAAGTACACTGCTGAGGGGAGCAGCGGGCGGCAGGAGAGGTCTGCGCACCATGTGGGACCCTCCTCCGGTGACCGGGGAGCAGCCGGGGATGGAACCGGCGCTGCAGAGGCTACGGGCAGCTTCGCAACCCAGCGCTCAACCGCTGCGCCACCGGGCAGGCCCTGTTTTTTTTAAAGATTTATTTTTATTTGTTTGTTTGTTTGTTTATACAAGCACTGGGTACAGTCAGAAGTGCGGGAGGGTGAGAGAATTCACCAGAGCCAGAGTGGGGAGCAGAGCAGGCAGAGCAGGCAGAGGGACCGAAGCACCCTGCTGAGGGGAGCAGCGGGCGGCAGGAGAGGTTTGCGAGCCATGCGGGACCCCGGGGAGCAGCCGGGGATGGAACCGGCGCTGCAGAGGCTACGGGCAGCTTCGCAACCCAGCACTCAACCGCTGCGCCACCGGGGAGGCCCATGATAGTGAAGTTTTGTGGAAGAAAAGGAAATAGAATTGCAAGAGAGAAAAAGTAGCAGGGGGCCTCCCAGGTGGTCTAAGGGTTAAATCTTAGTGCTATCATGGCCTGAATTCAATCCACAGCCAGGGAGCTAACCCACACATGGCAAAACATACTTATCCTATCTTGCTCACTGCTCCCCTTAGCAGTGTATTTTAGTAGATCCACCTGTTCCACTCCCCGCTCCTTCTATGGTGAATCCTCTCACCATCCGCCCCTACCCCCGTACCTCCAGCCTACACCCCAGTTCCTCTACACACACAAAAAAATTATTATTGAAAAAATAGCAAAGTGTGAATGGATTTCTATGCTCTCTGCCTTAGTAACATTTATACTCTCTAAGGAATAAAAGAATAAAGAAAGCATACACATGAACAAAAAATTATATATACTGCACCTCAATTAACTGTATTCAAAAGGACACTTGGGGATAAAATGTAGTCACAATCAATTAAGTGAATCTAGGCGAGGACTATTAAACTCACCTCACAGCTCCTTAGACGGCAGGCCCAGATAGGTGTGTTAGAAGAAAGTGGTTGTAGAGGAGCCAGAAAAGGTTCTTCAAGCATTCTGAGACGGGGAGGAATATATATGTAAATATTTACTACAATCTAAATATACATATATAAACACACATTCATTACTCAACCACTTTGTCTGGTGTCAATGACAATACATTATGGTTATCAATTATAATATATTTGGGTTATCAACAAGGAACTATAATAGTAAATACAGACTAACCGGGTGGGTATATTATCATTTACTGTAATCATTCAGCCATATATTACGAACTGCTAAAGCAAAGACCTTTTCCATGTAATTAAGTCCCAACAAATTCAAATATTTTCTCTCTCTCTCTCTCTCAAGGCTTATTTTTGTACTCTTCTCTTTATACATCTTTTAATCAAAAATATAGGCTAACAAAACATCTTCAGGTGACTTGTTAAAGGTAACCTGATATTACATGCCATAAGACTAATATATTACATTAAGTTCTAAGACTGTCAGAAAATACTAGTTCAAAAATATTCTCAGAAAAATTAACATAAATATACAAAACCCATGTCTATATTTCCCTAAATTATAAACAGTGTTATCTTAGGCAAAAGTAAAAGCTGAAATAGATGTTAACAAAACTTTACCACAAAACTTTACCACAGAGGAATTAAATGCATAAAAATATGATGAAACCATTAAAAATTTTAGGAAATAGAATGGGTATTTCTGAAATCTAAAAACTGTTAGTATCAGATGCTTTCAGATTGTTTCAAAGGTAACAGGCAAGTATAACTAAGGAAAAGTAATGCTTTGGACACTTACAGCTTCTAGAGTAGCCTCTTTGTTAGGTAGTAAAAGTAAGTGAAGATAAATTTGATGATAGTTTATTTCTTGAATTTCTGAACTTTTCTATAGTCAGTCAGCTTTAGATGAGAAAACATAAATAATATTTCCATGATGATGTCAAGAAAAGGAGAATGACCTCCCTTTTTCCACTGACTTACCTGGTTACTGTCTTTTTGGGCAATGTGACGGATGCTTGTGGATGAAGAATATAATTGCTGGTATTGTCTGCTAAAGCATCCACTCTTACAGTTGGTAAGTTTCTGTCGTTGGGTTTCTCTTCAGAAACATCTTGACAATAACAATAAGAAAAAAAATTACTATCTTGAATAAGAACACGAGAACGTAGATAGAACTCATATATTTGTAAGATAAAATATTCTCTGAAGCCAAGATAACAAAATTTATAATATTTTATTGAGAATTTCTCTGATAAATTTGTTCACTTTCAAATTATAATACTGACTACTAAAATTCTGCAGTAAGTTTTGGAACTTATACTGAATATCTAGGATATTAAAGTGATAGAAATAATTGTTATATTAAAGTTGTACAATATAATAGAAAAATATGAAATTAACCTTTTTTGTTTCTATACTATGTTTATAGTGTCTTCTGTGAATTTTTTATTAAGTTTCAATGACTGTTAATAAACACAAAGAATCATAACACAAAGGTAAAAATATTTACCCTAAATCATTAAGTATGAAAGAGCAACAGGACATTGTTGCTATGATGTTAGGAAAGAGAGTCACAGGTAGAAAAAGGAGGAAAGCAAAGAAAGTGAACTAACAGGGATATTATAAAACAAGTAAAGAAAGAATAAAATAAAAAGGGGAGCATGATTCTCCTTTCTGAATCTGACGAAATGAAGAGGGAAAGAGCAAAGAGGATGAAACAAATAGTTAAGGGAAGTCAAATGGCTAACAACAATGTTGATTAAAAAAAAGTAAAAACTTTGCCAGAAGCTATTAGCACTATATTTTTGTTATTGTTGCTGTATTATAACGATTGCTATAATTAAGAAGAATTTATTTTATGCTCACTGGTCATTTGGGAGGAAGTAAGAGTCAACCAGCTTCACAGAATTCCAAAATGAAATAGACAGCTAACCTAGACAGGAGTTGAAAAATGAACTTGAAATTTATTTGGGCTAAGAAACTTTTTTCTACTTATTCAGTTCACAATTTCACCTAAAGAGATCAATTTTAGCAGACTTCCATGAGATGATTTTCTGAAATATACATTGTTTTTTAAAATATTCTCAAATTCTGTAAATTCTCAAATTCATTATTACTCACCCTGAAGACCATTCACATCCACAAGTTGCCCCTGAGGAATAATCACTTGTGCCATTCCTGTCTGGGTGGATGGAATTACATGAAGAACCTGTCCATTTTCTGAAGGGCTGGCAACAATCATCTTGGTAACATTAAAAAAAAAAAAAATCAAATAAATAAGCCAATATTGTTTTAATAGAATTATTAAATAAATGGTGGACATGCTTATCTCGATGTTGGTTATAAATTGTTAAAGACATGCTTATCCCTTATGTTGGTTACTATTATTTCCCTCATTTTATAGATGAAAACACTGAGGTACATAAAACATTTTTCCAAGGCCTCACAACTGAGCAGTGATAAATCCAGAGATCAAAACAGGAAGTTTGACTCTGCGTTCTATGATCTTAACTACTTACGGTCTTAATCACTATTTACTCAATAATCTGACTAGGCTCTGACTAAGCTGAATATATTTACTTTTTCTAGTTTATATTATCCATACATGTTTGAACTATTTAAGTCAACTAATAATAAAGTCAACTGCTAAGACTAACTACTACATTTTGCTAAATATGTTATTGCTATACAGTTACTTATAAACTATACTTACCATTTGTGCATTAGAATCCCCCAATGACTGAAGTTCATACTGAACAGGTTGCCCATTTTGGTCTACCAGATGGAATTGTTCTGCAGAAAGAGCCTGTGTCTGAGTCAGGGTCCCAGGGATATCCTGTGATGTGAGTGAATTTTCTGTTTCATGAGTAGTGCTTGGTAAAATTCTAGAAGAACCATTTTGTCCAAAGGATGGATCCCTGGAATCCATACAAGTCAGATGCTTTCGCAAAGGAAAAAAAAAAAAATTACTGGGTTGCTTATAAAATAAGTTACTACTTGTCTTAATAGAATGTTTATAATGAAAATAGACATTTATTTTTCAGTAACTTATTCACTTTACTTCTTCCAAGAGTCATCAATTCAGACTGATAAAGACCGAAAGCAATTAAGTGAGATTGTTGATTTTAATTATATTTACAATTTTTAAAATAAAATTTTCCATGTGAATGCATCCTGAAATAATGCATTTTAATTCAATGTAAAAATTATTCTTATGCACAAATTTTTATGACTATATTACTTTAAGCTTTCTACATAAAATATATGGATAATTGAATGCTAAAATTCTTGAGTACATAAAACACGATACTTATCCTCAAGCATAAAATGTTGCTAAATGGCATGCTGTTTTCCCAGTTGAATCCCAACCTCAAATACCTGAGAATCTGTTTTTGACTCTTTGGAATCATTATGGTTGACTCTTAATAAATCAGACTGTTCCATGCTGAAGTCATATTCAGTTCCATATTCTTCTATTATTTAATAGCTGAAAAAGTTCAAGTATCTGATCAACTAAAGCATTTAACGTTTATAGAATGCCTATTTTAAACAAATTTGTCATCTCCCCTATTGTATTTTCAATTTAATCATATCCATTCTATAGATAAGAAAATAAACATTTTTATTAAATTACATAGCAGGGCACGAGAATACATTCAAAGCAAAGGTTAATGTTATGTATTCCCTTCATGCCAGCCTTTATTATACTTCTGTGTGGACTTATTAAGAATGCTGTTTTGTGATTACTTCAAATATAAAAATTCTCATTTTACAAAGATTTAATGCAAATAAGGGCTTTAAATGTTTTAAGTTAGGTGCGGACTTTTATAGAATTAGATAATTTTAGAAAGAATTTCTTGGTATAGATAGGGATTATACACAACTCTCACCTTATTATGCAATCGTACCACTTCATATTGGCTTGACAAACTTTGAAAATGAATAAATACATATTGCAAAAAAGCCTGAGCCATGTGAGACCTCCTAAGGGGTTCTCAGCAGGTGGTGATTTTGTCTACAGACACACACACACCTGGATACTGTGCAACATCAGGAGTATTTTTGGTTGTGATAGCTGCAGGGAAGAGTGTTACTAGTATCTAATGTGGAGAAGCTAGAGGCATTGTTAAACAGTTACAGTGTACTAAGTGCACAGACAGCTCCCACAACAAAAATGTCAAGGGTGCTGAGGTTCAGATACCGTGGCATAACATATGAAAGTAATTATAGGTCTCTATTTGCTAAAAGGAATGACATTTATCCCTCAAAATTGGAATAAGGTCAAAATAAAATTCATAAAGAATATCAAAAATATAAAATAAACTTCATAAAATCATTTTAAGAGACTTTTATTTTTCAAAACATAGCATGAATTCATTTTTCTAAATCTTTAGAATTTTTTTAATACAAATAAAAATTGAACTTTTTTCTGGGATATAATTTTATGGATTTTAACACAAGTAACCACCACCAAATCAGAATAGAGAATAATTCCACCCCCAAGCTCTACATTTATATCTGTACTTAAGATTTATGCAATATATATATTGAATACATTGAGAAATTATTTTTCTGGATAGGATCAAAACGTAATTTGTAAAGTTAACATTATAGAAAATCTACAGGGTTTGCCATTTCATATTTCCAAAATAATCTATTCAAATATAAATTATAATAGGCTATGAAATCAGTTTCACTTTGATTTTTTTAAAAAGATTTATTTATTTATGAATACAAGAACTGGGTACAGGCCAGAGGTGGGGGGTGTGTGTGTGTGTGTGAGAGAGAATCCACCAGAGACAGAGCAGGGAACAGAACAGGCAGATTGACTGAAATACACTGCTGAGGGGAGCAGCGGGCGAGTCAGAAGAGGTCTGCTGCCCCATGTGGGTAGCTCCCTGGCCGGGGATCAAACTCATGCTGCAGTAGCTGCAGACAGCTTCACAGGTTGCATCATAACCCCTTGCGCCACCAGGGAGGCCCCATTTTGATTTTTTAATGTAAGTACTAGTATGACACAATAAATGAAGATTATAAATTTGGCCTAGCTATAAATACATATTTATCGAATGCTTATTATACCTAATAATTATTAGCTAGAATTATTAACAATCATTCTACTATTTTATAATATAGAAACTTTTCTTTACAGAAAAGGAAACTGAGGCTGACTGCTCAATGTTACATGACTATGATTTACTTAGCATTTACCATAGTAAAGCACTATACCAGTAGTGTTTTACACATGTCATTTTATTTAATCCCTTCAACAACCTTGTGATTCAGTTACTTACTCTTAATTTACATGTGGAAATAAGGCTCAGGTAATCAAGTAATTTTACCAAGATTACAAATATATATAGCTAGCCTACATGCATAGATCCCAAAGTCCACTCTTCATTATTACAATATGAACTCTTTCAGGATAACAAGGCTCCCTCTTTCCTTCATTTGTCATAGCCTCAAATTTCTTATTCTCTCTGTCTTTCTCTTTTTGGATAGGTTAACAAATTAAAGATGCTAAAAGAAGCTCTCAACTTCTCCTGCTTGAAATTAAACTTAATACAGTCTGACACACAAAAAGTGTGTCAAACTAGTGATCCCTGGCCCCTCCCCAAATTACAGCTCCAACAATGAAGGCTTTGTAGTCACTGAAAAAAAAAAAAAAAAACTCACTATATAAAGACTCAAAAGTAGAGCCTCAGAAGGAGAGACAAAGAATTTCAAAAACTTACTCCCACTTTCCTAATAGGTGCCCAGATCCCACTGTAAATTATCACTACAGACCTACTCCTTTAAAAAAAAAATTATCTTATGTACCTAAAATTTCATCAATGGGATTTTCACTTGAGTTAATAAGCATTTTCTTAAGAAAAAAACTGTAGAAAGAGTATCAGTCATTAACAAACTTGTATAACTTTATGTAAGAATAGCTTTTTTCCTTTCAGATGAGTTAAAAACAGATTACCCAGAAAAGTTAAATTTGCAGCTTAGAAAGCAAATACATTCAAAGCTCAGAGCACTTCAGAGGCAGTCAGCAGGCTTGAGTTAGATGCTGCAGTGAAGAATGAGAGCAGGATAGGTGTCCCAGAAAAGTGCACTAGTAAAGGACCGGGATGATGTGACCGACGGAAGATTGCCAAACACAAACTACCTGCTTCAGAATTTTACCCAGACTGGAATTTTTTTCAATGGAAGAAAGATAACTACCTTTCAGTGGAACTGAAAACTCAAAATTTTCCTTTCAGTATATATTACAGTATATTTATACTACAGGTAACAAGCTTTTGTGGTGACACTGAGGCAATAGTATTTAAAGTTCTTTTTACATGGAAAACAGGATTTCAGTATTCTATTGACCTAACCCATTGTTGAACTGGACATTAAAAGTACATTTTAGGGCCTCCCTGGTGGTGCAAGAGGTTAATCATCACACTATGAAGCAATCCACAGCCTCTGCAGCATGAGTTCGAGCCCCGGCCGGCCAGGGAGCAACCCACATGGCACAGCAGACCTCTCCTGTCTCGCTCGCTGCTCCCCGCAGCAGTGTATTTCAGTCAATCTGTCAGTTCAGCTCCCCACTCTGTCTCTGGTGGATCCTCTCACCCCCCCCCATATCTCTGTCCTGTACCCCAGCTCTTGTATGCATCAATAAATAAATCTTTAAAAAAAACCCAGTTTTTCCAATCAATGTGCAACAGTAGTATATTATAAATTATCCCTGTCAATTAATCTGTTAAATTTTAAGAATGAAGATATTAACATTAAAAAGCTAGATATAAAATGTTCTTTTCCAACTGGTAATTATAGACAGAAAAAAAAGCATATTTTGACTTTTCCATTAATATGTAATAGACAACAGTTAACTTTTACAAGCTGTTACTTTTAATTAGTTAAAAATAAAATTATTACCCTTCAGGCCGTAGCTCAAGTTTAAATTCCAGGTCTCAAGCATTCTCCTACCACTGGTGCCCTATCTTGTCCACTGAGGTTCTTCCTTTTTTTAGGGGCACTAGATCAAGATAGTTGCAGCATCATTTGTGTGAAAGCTTTATCTTCATAGCAGCATCTTTTCTGTAATGAAAAGGCATTCAATGTATATTTTCTTTTCCTACATCTAAAGAAAATGGCTAAGTTTTGTTTTACAGGCTTTGTTATAAAATAGCCATTATCAAATTAGTAGAGTAGAACTACTCTACTAATTGACTCTGTTGAAAAGAAAAACTAGGAATGACTTTACAGATAACTGTGTGCTTTAGGGTAGGTGACAAACTTTCTGTGTCTGTTTCTTTATCTAAAATTAGGGATTTGGACTAAGGTTTTGTTTCAACTCTCACATTCTATAACTGCTACCAAAACAAATACCTTTACAGAAAATTACATTTCTCTCCACAATGGAAGTATTTGCTAGCAGGCCATCTTTTGGAACCATAGAAGTTTGAGATTAAAGGCTCCCCTATAATATCCTGGGGTTGATTTGACAAGTTTATTTCTTAAGCAAGTAGTTACTGACTTTTGACAAATAGAATAGAAAGAAGAATGTATTACATATGTAACCTAGGCAATTACTGAAAACACACATTAAATTTGGCTGGCAAATTGCTTTCTAGAATGTTTCATATCACATTTAAAAAAGTGAATTTTACCTTATATCAAAAACAAAGATGAGGATAAAATGTCACACTAGAAATTCAATATTTTTATTTATAGGGAAATTGTTTATACCTATTGAATACACAGCAGAAAGGCAGAGACTAGTCAGTTGTCACTCATTTCTCTGTGTACCATTCTTGGCTACTGCTGTCTTGAGTATGCTCAATAGCATTCGTATTTGTTTAAAACTCTAGAGGTAATTCTCTGCTGCAATTTTTAAAAACCTTTCCTAACACTTGATTTCCTGTTAAGTTTTCGCTAGACTTTTGTGTAGTAAAATGTATCCATTAAAACCATTAATCTGAAGGGAATAAAAAACCCAAATAGGATAACTGAATGATGAAGCCACTTGAAGTTGTCTTAAATGTTTATATCAATTTTAGGTACTTTAATTACTATTTAAAGATTCTTGAAATCTATTCAATATTAGTGTTCTTGAAATCTATTTAATATCAGTGTTCTTGAAATCTGTTCATTATCAGTGAAATCTATTCAATATCAATCTTATTGACTGCATGAATAGTGCTCAAAAGTACTTCAGAAAATAATATTTCTCTCATTTTTCAGGATAGGTAAATAACAAAAACATAATATTCCTTCAATGATGTATACCAAAAAAATACTATGAATCAGTGGTGACAAAAATTGTATCAAGATTCCTTGTTTAGGGGCCTTCCTGGTGGTGCAGGGGTTAAACACAGCTAATCAAGCTATCACCAACCACTGCAGCACCATTTTGTTCCCCAGCTAGCCAGGCAGCACCCCTCATGGGGCAGTAGACTCCTCCTGCCTTGCCTGCTGCTCCCCTCAGCAGTGAATTCCAGTAAATCTGCCTATTCTGCCCCCTCAACTCTCTCTGGTGAATCCTCTCACCACCCCCCACCTCTGTCTTACACCCCAGTTCTTGTACACATAAATAAATAAATCTTTAAAAAAAAATTCCTAGTTCACAAATACCTTACAGAGTTTTTATAAGGATGGGTTTTGAAAGTTATCACATATTTTAAAAGTTTAAGTGTATGCAAATATAGAACCTATTTTAACTTTCATTTTTCAGTGAAAAAAATTTTAATGTTCACAATGTCTCTTATTTAAGATTTGCCCTCCCTATAAACTTTCCCATAGTCTTGGCATCTATGTACCTCTTACCCTGTACATACACACATCTTTTCACCTCTTGCTCTTTGAGAGCTTTACAAACTTTTTTTTTTTTGGTGGGACCCTCCCTGGCGGCCGGGGAACAAGACTGGCGGGTAGCCTCGCAGCCCAGCGCTCAACCTCTGAGCCACCAAGGGAGGCCCTTTACAAATTATTTCATTTAATTCTCACAACGATTCTATAAAGATCGTATTATCTCTGTTTATAGATTAAAAAAAAAAAAAACCCTAAAGTTACGTCAAGAAACTTGCTCAACATGCCATAACTTAGAGAAGAAACCTACAATAAAAAGATATGTATTTTCCAAGCTGTGGTTCTCCAGACAACTACATGTCTTACATGAGGACCGTACTAAATTAATCAAGTAGGAAATCAATGACTATACATTTTTTAAAGATATTTTAACAACGGTAATTATCAACAATAAAAAAAATCTGAAAAAAGAACTTAATTATTTGAAAGCTAATTTCAGGTTCTATGAATTTTAATTCAGGCAATTCTGTTGTAACTCAAAAACCACTTATGATTAAAGGAGAACGGTGTTTAAAACTGTAAAAATTTTTTCCACTTCTACCAAACTCTGAAAACAGAAAGAGCAAGACTTCAATTAAGAGTGTTTCAGGGCCTCCCCGGTGGCGCAGCGGTTGAGCGCTGGGTTGCGAAGCTGCCCGCAGCCTCTGTGGCGCCGGTTCGATCCCCGGCTGCTCCCCGGCCACCAGAGGAGGGTCCCACATGGCGCGCAGACCTCTCCTGCCGCCCGCTGCTCCCCTCAGCAGTGTACTTCGGTCCTTCTGCCTGCTCTGCTCCCCGCTCTGGCTCTGGTGAATGCTCTCACCCTCCCGCGCTTCTGACTGTACCCAGTGCATGTATAAACAAAAAACAAACAAACAAATACATAAATAAATAAAGCATGCCTCTATAAAAAAAAAAAAAAAAGTGTTTCAAACTTCAGGTGGTCTAAATTGTTTAAGGCATGTAATTCTCCTCACTACATCTAATTACATGGTAAAATGAATATGGTCTCAATTTGTATGTCCAGTTCTTTCCTAGGACTTCAGTACAAAGTTTTTCTTATTTTATCGTTCTAACAATAGGCTATTCTCCCTTACTTCATACTTGCAAAGCTTCCAATTAAACGGACATCTAAATGATTATGATGGTAATAATAGTTAACTTTGACTCTGCGGCCATTTGACTCTTACAGTTGACTAAAGTGCCGCCCAAAAACATTGATAAATAAGTAGCTGAGGCAGAATTCGAACCCATTCCAACGCATTCGGATTCCTGAGCTGGCATTCTAAAAACGTGAGTAAACAGAAAACCATCCTCGTTTCACTGTCATTGCCAAGAGATTCTTTCTCGCTTACAATTGTTTACATCGCTTCTTACATTCTATGGTGGATTTAACTACCAGGTGTCTAGTGAAGTACATCCTGAAGCAACACAAAAAGGGAAAGCGTCAGCTGCCTTCACCTGCACACATACCCGCTCTGCCCACAAATTTTGCCATCCAGTATGCCTGATTCTAACCTGCTGTCTCTTGAAATTCCCCTCTTGGAGCTTTTCTGGAGAACGCGTTAAAAAGTGACTTTGAGGTCTGAATATTTCTCCATTCATGCTCTCTCAGAAAAAAAAACAACTTAAATTTAATTAGAACAATTCTCGGGATCATTGATAAGAAGACACAGGCCTCTAGGTGACTTCAAGTTTACAAAAAAAGTAAAGTAAAAAAGCGGAGTACGTAGGAGGACTAATATATAAAAAGGACTTATAAAGGGGGAGGTGACCCTGAAATGGGGGGGGTGAGAGGCAGCGCCAAGGACCCCCAACACACGGGGGGCTCCCGCGGGCGAGTCGGGTCCTGCGCGGCAGGGGCGCGCTCTCGGGCTCGACACCCCTCAAGACGCCTTCTCAAGCCTGCCTCCCCCGGGCCCGTGAGTCCGGTCCGAACCCAGGGTTTTAGGCCTCGCCATGTGGGGCACCGAAGAGGCCCCGAGTCGGGGGACAGGCAGCGCGGCCCGGGCGGGTCTCCGCGGAGAGCGGCTGCGAGCGGCGGGGCCGGCGGTTGCTCGGGGACCCGGCGGGTCAGGAGGTGTCGGAGGAGAGGCAGGAGGGAGAAGGGGGGGTTGGGAGGGAGCATCCGGTCGGCCGGCGCAGGCAGCGCTGCCAAATCTCCGACACCCCCAAACCGCCGCCGCCGAGCGCCCTACAGGGCGAGGAGGGAAGTCCACAAAGTGCTGGAGCAGAGGGGAGAAAATTCAAAACGAGTCTACTCAACCTCGTCTTGGCTCCGAGGCCCCGCCATGGAGACCAGCACAATGCGCAGGCGCAGCTTTCTGAGCGCGCGCCGCGAAGTACCACGAGATTAGACCACTGTCAGCCACCGTCGCGCGCTTGCCCTCTGACCCGCTCTCGCGCCTGGATCCTAACGCCTGAGGCCGGAGACCGAGCTCACGAAACCTCTCGGGGGAGTGAGTTTCCGACGGGGAGTATGCGTGAAATAAGCGCCGAAAGCTTTTAATAAATTAAAGAGACAGAGGAAATATAATATCTGGCTGAAGGAAAGGGAAAAAGCAAATAAGCGATCCCGAGACTAACGTCGTAAAAAAGACTACAACTCCCAGTAGGTGCAGCGTGAGAAAAGAGAATTCTGGGGGTTGTAGTATCTAGGAGCTGTGTTAGAAATATCGGGTCTAATATTGGGCCTTTTAAAACTAAAAAAAAAAATGGGAAAGTAGTAGAGTGCGACCATAACCTTTCAGTATCTTTACAGTTGCTCACAGGCCTACCTTCAAAAAAATAAAAAAAAAAAAATTAAAGGGACAGGTTACCTTTAAGGCCGCTTTGCTAATCGATGATATCTGCATCTAGGAATAGGTAGTTGATGTCTTTGGGCTGCGCCCTGGGAAAAGGCAGCCTCGTGGTGCCGTCTCGCCCCGGAGGCCAGTGGAATGAAAGCGGAAGCCCTATGCTAGCGATAGCGTGATCAGTGTATTTTTTTCCTAATTGAAACTTTTATTTTCCTGTTAAACCTCATTTTGAACAACCTCTTTTTGGAGCTCTAGGCGATCAGAGCGCTTGCTGTCTGTTACTCCGCAGATTTCTCTAGGCGAGTCTGCGTGCATCCCCGCGATGGCTCAGCTGCAGACACGCTTCTTCACTGACAACAAGAAGTGAGTGAGCGTCTTCCCCTTCTCCTCCCCTTACCCCTTCCCAGTGCCCTTTCTAAAGACCTTCGCTGTGACCTTGTGGATCCCTGATTGCCGTCGTTTCGCCTCTCCCCCCGCTCCTTGTTTTACTCTGGACTCCTGGCTTGAGAGCCTTTTCCCTTCAAACCGAAGCTGCCCCCCCCCCGCCCCCATGTCTGTGACCTGCTGACTGTTCTCCGACCTCACCTCCTTTTTGCCTAGCTTTTTCACTCTCTATAATTTGAAGTGTGAGTGTAGGGGGGCCTGAAGGGCTCCAGATAGGCTTCCTGAACGAAGCGCATTATGTAATTTAATAATGAACAATGGATCAACTACTTACATGCTAGTAGTGGTTTTCTTTCCCTTTCATATATTTCTGAAATTTGCTTTATTCCATTTAAGTTTATTTAAAAAAATATTTTTTTTTTTTTGCCTACAGGGTAATTTGAAAGAACAAAATAGTAGTGTATAATAGTTCCTGAAAACACAACTACATTCTTTTTAAATTAGGTGACAGACGATACTTTTCTGAATCAGAAAAGTAAAAAGTAGAGTTCTGAATATGGGATGGTGGGACTGGTTTTTGGTAAGGGTGCGAAGTGAATTCAGTTAAAATTTTGTGTATACATTATATTTGTATATGTGTATGTATACATGTATACGTAAACATTTTTACAACTGGTCCCCAGGTCTGTAGCATTCATTTGAAACCGTGTCATATTCTGCCCTGTGGTGTATATATAAACTATTAAATTTTTTGTGTTTTCCTGGTCTCTCTAACTACATTGTTAAGTCCTGCATTGATGGCAAGGGCTATGTATTAACTAACCTTCTTGCATTGACTGAGTCAATAAATGCCAACTTCTGGGACTGATGGTAATAAATACTTGTTCCCTTTTTTCTTTTTTTGATGATAATATTTGTTGTATTAACAAGCTAGTATGAGCCATAAGCTAGAAAATTCCCACCTCAATTACGATTATATCTTTTATTCTTTGTATGAGTTATGCATTGATCTGGTAAATAATATTCACTCCTCTTGTGTTGCTTATTGTATACATACCTTGTATCATCAATTCACATGAGTATAGTCTAAATACATCCACAAAATTGTGGTGATACAATAGCATAGCCACTGTATTTTTTCAACATTGGAATTTATATTGAGACAATTTTTGATTCACATGAAGCTTCAGAAGTAGTAAGCCATGTGTCTTCAACACTGAGATAAATGATGTGTATGTTTGTGTTTAAGATTCACCAAGAAGGCAGCAAAACCTAAAAATTAAAGACTACACTTATTCCTTTCATTTAGTTTGTTCTGCCTAGTAAAATGAATGGGCAATAGTTTTATTCACATAATATAATTTACACACAGATGTATGTAAATCAACTCTCATGTTATTAGATCAAGAGAGTAAGTGAAAGGAGAAATGGAAAATTTTGATGTCTAGGTTTTGTTACATTTTGGAGACCTTAAATAAATGCTTGCTGCTTTTTGGCATGATAAATATATAACATAATATTATAAGTCAGGGTGTAGTTTGAGGACCAGCAACATCAGCAATACTTAGAAGCTTATTAGAAATAAATAGAATCTCAACTCCACCTCAGACATGCTAATTTAGAATCTACATTTTTAACAAGCTCTGACGTTTCCCCCTCTAAATACACACCAGTTGTGGTAAAATGGAATTTATTGTAGCTTGTCTTGATGAGTCCTATAGATTCAGTCTTAACATTTTTTGAAACTTTCCATTCCCCACAACTGCAGCCTTGATTAAGGCCTAATGGAGACTTTCCCCTTTGTTGGTAGCAACTTTATTCAGGTGTAGTTCACATACATATTGTATTGTGAGTGAAATAAAGTATCCAATTTAGTGATTTAAAATACATTTGCAGAATTGTGCAACCATCCCCAGTCAATTTAAAACATTTTTGTCATCCTTCAATTATTACCCCATACCCTCCCTACCCTGGCCCAAGCTTTCTAATCCCTCCAGCCCTAGACAACCACTAATCTACTTTCTGTCTGGAAATTTCTTAAAAATAGAATTATATAATATGTAATCTTCTGTTACTAGTTTATTAGCATGATATTTTAAGGTTCCTTCTTGCTGTCCATGCTGTAATATGTATGAGTCCTTTTTATGGCTAAATAACATTCCATTGTATGGCTATACCACATTTCATTTCCATTCATCAGGGAAGCATTGGGATTGTTCCCACCTTTGGGCTGTTATGAATAATGGTGGTGTGAACATTTATCTACAAATGAAAATATGTACAAATATTTTCATTTCTCTTGAGTATATACTTAGGAGTGGAGTTGCTGAGTCAAATGGTATTTCCTTTTTGAGGAATTGCCAGATTTTTACAGAGCATTTACAGCATTTTACATTCCTACTAGCAATGACTATGGGTTTTAATTTCCTCACATCTTTTCGAGTACTTAAGTTGTTTTTATTTTATCTATTCTAGTGAGTATGAAGTGATGTGATTTCCATTTCCTTGATGACTAATGTTGTTTTCATATGCCTGTTGTCCTTTTGTATGCCTTCTCTGGAGAAATGTGTTTTGATCCTTGACCCATTTTTAAAATCGGGTTGTTTTTTATTACAGAGTTTTAAATTATGTATTATGTAAGTTATGTATTTTAGCTACAAGTTCCTTATCAGATACATGATTTACAAGTATTTTTCTCCCATTTTTTCTTACAAGAGTTTCCTAATCTGCTTCTTGTCTTATGTTCATCTAATCCACTCTCCACACGTCTGCCAAAAAATACCTAACTCAAGAATACTCTGATGTTATCTATAACTTGGACTATTATGGTGGTTCCTCATTGTCTAAGGAAAGAAGTAAAACCTACTTCACACAGGTTATAAACCACTCTATCTTTAAACCACATCTCTTTAGCTTTGTCTTTAGTCACTGCTTGGAGCAAAATCACGCTTTCTGGAATAGACTGTTTAGGTAGTTGAATCTCTTAGTTACTGTTTTGCTGCTTTCCCCTATCCCGCATTTCTATGTACTCTCTCATAGGGCGAAAATTCACTTTTCTGGGAGTAATAGGAATAGTCCTTTTGGTGCATCCTATCAGATCCTGCCCTCCCATCCTCCTTTTCTCCTGTTGAAATAACCTATCACTTCTTTGTTCTCTCTGTTTGTCATTATAACATTATTCTTACATTGGTTTGTTGTATTTGATGACCAGATTTTAATCCTTTCTGAGAAACAGACCACATCTTTAATTCATTTTTGTTAAGCCTATTAGCAAAATGTCTGACATTTCTTAGATACCCAGTAAATGTTTGTTGAATAAATGCACATTTGTAGATTTGTACATATTTGTAGATTTGAACTTGACATATCATTTCCTTTTTATAGATATGCAGTAGATGATGTTCCCTTCTCAATCCCTGCAGCCTCTGAAATTGCTGACCTTAGTAACATCATCAATAAATTGTTGGAGGCCAAAAATGGTGAGTATATATATATTCTCAGTTTAGAAGAGGACACAATTCCACTCAACTACAACTCATTTTATTTACTTTTTTTGGCTTTATTTTATAATATTGTGACCATTTTACAGTAGTAAACTTTATAAATTACATGAGTTTCCATACTGCAAGATACTTTGAAAAGTGCTTTGAAATAAAAATTTTCAGAAAAAAAATTTTAGTTTAGTCTACATTTAGGCACTATGGAGATCAGGTGCTTGAGATTTAGGAATAAAGGTTTTAGTATATAGTCATGATGTAGAAGTAATCCAGATACTCTGATTGTGCTAAGAAGGGCCGGGTTGGATAGCATAGAATAAGCTCCCTGGTGCACAGGCCCTATCTGCTGCACTTTTCGAAACAAAATGACATCATTATTTAAGTATTTATTATATAAGGTGGTTTTCAAACAGTAATGGAACAGTATATAAAATAGAAAATTTAAACATGAAGAACTGAAAACAAAGTATGACCTTTAAAAATAATTTGCTCATGGAGTCATTTAGAGGCAAGCACATTTTTACCTTGCAGATGTTTCTAATAATTCAAAATTCTTATAATTCTTTTCATAGATATAAAAGAATTCTCATTCTACTTGAAGAAATAAGAAAGTGGGAGTTTATATTAATACCTAATGTTTCCTTCTTCATCTTCAAATAGTCCTATAACTTGTTAAGAGTGAGGGGATATTTTTGAGCAACTTTTTTGGGGAGGGGAATAGAATCCACAATCTTTTCATTCTTTGCAAACTGTGGTTCTTGATTCAGATATGTTCACAAAGTATTTCATATTGGTCCTTGTCTACATCTTCATGTAATCAGATTCTGATGTATGGTTACTTTTGTAAATTTCAAAACTGTATATATTCTACTTGCTGGTAACCTTTGAACTTGAATAAGAATTATTGAAATAGAGATTTTATAATACCAGTATGTAGTTGTTGTTACCCACAATTGTATATTTTTCTGCACTTGTAGACTGAACATTGATATGTCTTTTTATATAAAGCAAATAAATAAGACACTGTTCTTGTGTTGAAAATGCAAATAATTCAGATTCAGATTTTTTTTAAGTAATAATCTAATAGTCAATGGGGAATGAGTATTATAGCTAATACATTCAGAAAGAATGAAGAATTTTTAGCATTTTGGAACTCCAATAATGGATTTAACTAGTGATTATCAACAGCTGTCAAACCATTAATTAGATAGAAGATGGACAGAACATTATATCTGATGGGATCAAACTGACATCATATTAGCCCTGAGGTGGATCATAACAACATAAAAGGAGACATGGACCTCCCCGGTGGCCTAGGGGTTAAGTCTCAGCACTGTCACCAATACAACCTGAGTTCAAGCCCTAGACAGGGAGCTAACCCATGGCACAGCAGATCTCTCCTCTCTTGCCAGCTGCTGCTCTCTTTAGCAGTGTTTCAATAAATCTGCCTGTTCTGCTCCCCACTCTGTCTCTGGGGAATCCGCTAGCCCCCCTGCACCTCTGGCCTATACCCCACTTCTACGCACAATAAAAGAAGACATGGCATAATACATTTTCTGATGAGATATAATAAAAACTACACAATTGTGTGTGTAAATATTTTTGCATCCCCACCAAAAAAAAAAAAACAAAAAAAAAAAACCAACCTAAAATCAAGCATTTAGGTTTGCCTAGTATACAGGATATGTTAGGTGGTAGAGTAATATAATGAAGGCACCTTGGAAATGCAATCAACCAAACCCAAAATGTAGAAAATAAAACAAGACAGATGACTTAGTTTCTTCAACAAATAAATGGCAAGGGAAAAAAAGCAGGGAACTGTTAAAGATTAAACAAAACATACTAAGTAGATTTAACATAGATTTTAGATACTGATTTTTATAGAACATAAAACCAGGAAATGTAAAAATCTGATATTAAAAGAAGTATTTTTTTAACATTGTCATTTTTTTAAGTCATTGTAGAGATACAAACGAAAGCATTTACAGAAAAAATAATGCAATTCCTAAGGTTGGCTTTAAAAAAACCAGTAGGAGAGTGGCAAGAGTATTGATAATTGTGATTTTGTAGTTGTCAAATTGCAATGGGAGTTTCTTACATTGTTGTACTTTTGTATATGTCTGAAATTTTCCATCTATGAAAAAGTTTTTTAAAAATCAAAATTATTATACCAACAATAATAAAATTTAACAACAAAACAAAGTATTTTTGTTTTTTAAAAATTACATAATTTACTAGGCTACATGGTCTGATTGATTGTAGCATGAAGAAATTCTGGAGAAACTCAAAGTTCACACTGGGCTAGTAGATACCTTTATTTTGTAGTTTTTCATATACTATTGTTAATACAACTTTATGTTCTAAGAGTGATGATTTCATTATGTATTTTCTTTAGAGTTACATAAACATGTGGAGTTTGATTTCCTTATCAAGGGTCAGTTTCTACGAATGCCCTTGTTTAAACATATGGAATTGGAAAACATCTCATCAGTAAGTTCAAATACTTAACTTTCTCTATTTTGCTTAAGTTATTATCAGATAATGTTGGTAACTCCTTTTAGAATTAGTCTGAATCAGTCTGTAGCAACGAAGATCCTTTTCACTATTGTTTTTTCCTAGAAATTTTGAAATTTAGTTTCTGTATATTAAATTTTAAATGCCTTTTTTTGTAAATATGCATTACTTAAAAAAATAGATGAATGAATATGGAAAGATAGCTTCATATTTATAGGAGAATTGGTGAGAAAGGGAATAACAAATATACGTGTACTTCTAATATAGGTATACAAAATGAATTATGCACATATAAAAACTCATCAGTTTAGGTTGTTATGATGCATAATAATCCCCCCTACTTTTATTTTCAGATTTTTTAATATTGTTTTTTATAATATAAAATATACTTTATAATTGCTTTTATATTTTGGAGGACAGTTATTTGCAACTGTGGAAAAATATACATAACATTTGCCATTTTAGTAATTTTTAAGTGTACAATTCATTGGCATTAAGTACATTCACAATATTATGCAACCATCACCACTATCCATTTCCACAACGTTTTATCCCAAATAGAAGTCTTGTACCCATTAAACAACATGCTTTTAAGATTTTATGGTTTAAAGTTTCTTATAGCCCCACTCCCCCACTTTAGCATAAGTTTTCTAAGGTGTTACTATTCCTCAGCATACTTTAGGTCAAATAAAATTTTTCAACTTTTGTATGGCTCTAAATTTTTGGGGTTATGAAGGGGACTGATATGAAGGAGAATAAGTTAAACTTTATCTTCATAATGTACTCTCTTAAAACTGCACCACCTGATTGATTTCTGGCTTTTCTCTGTGACTAGGAAGAGGTTGTGGAAATAGAATATGTGGAGAAGTACACTGCACCTCAACCAGAGCAGTGCTTGTTCCATGATGACTGGATCAGTTCGATCAAAGGGGCAGAGGAATGGTATTACAAGATGAATGTTGTTCTATTTTCTTTTTAAGTGCACTGTGTGAATATTTTTCTCTGTTCTCTGTAAAACTAACTGTGATATATTTATCTGTAACCATGCCAAAGAAAGATCATTATATTCAGTGTGTTCAAGAAGAAACATAGCAAGATGTAGTAACATTTGTCTTATGAATAGGTCAGGTGTCTCAGGGTAGTTGATGTTATTTGGTTTGAGTATGTTGCTTTTAAGACCACGAATATTATTAATTTCAGAGAGGGGGAAATAACCTTTTATAGCCACAGATCTGGCCATGAAATGCAGATCATGTTATTTTAGGGCTTTTGGGCAAACAATCAAATCAGGAGGAATATATGGCTCAGCAAACCCCCACTGTCCTTACTTGTAGAAAAATACAAGTAGGAATTTCCTTCAAAGATTGTCTCCCTGGAGTTATTACACAAAGCTATCTTCTCACTGGTCTTAACTATACTTTAATGATTCGACTGTTTTTCTACTGGTTTTCACTGGTTATGTGTAATGGTTTAATTGATTAGTTAAATACAAAGGGCTATTAGGCTTGACAGTTTCTTAGGTTCTGTGAGGGTAGTCATAATAGTCAAAATGAAATCTATGGTTTGCCACACATTTTTATTTTTCAGAAGTAAGGAAAAGTAAATGATCAGTTCTATTGAGTTTTGAAATCTTAATCTTCATATTAAAGAAGAGTTTAGAAGCATAATCCTTGGGGTTTACTTTGTCATTGCCTTAGAAATATAACGAATTTCAGGGTTTGAAAAAGCTGCCTTTTATATTTTATAGGATTTTTCTTCTCCTCACAGGATCTTGACTGGCTCTTATGATAAAACTTCTCGGATCTGGTCCTTGGAAGGAAAGTCAATAATGACAATTGTGGGACATACAGACGTTGTCAAGGATGTAGCCTGGGTGAAAAAAGGTTAGGACACTTTCCCTAAACTGATAGGAATCCAAGAGAGGGAATTAGAAATATACCCTTGTCAGTACTAGAGCAGAATGGGGATGAGGTAGGAAATGTCCTGTCAGTATTTGTGAGATCTTAAAAAAATATATATAATGTTCAAAAAGAAGGATTATATTGAAAAACTGTATGGGCCTCCCTGCTGGCCTAGGGGGTAAGTCTCAGCTCTATCACCTCTGAGGCTTGAGTCCAATCCCTGGCCAGGAAGCTAACCCACATATGACACAGAAGACCTCTCCTGTCTTCACCTACTGTTCCCCTTAGCAATGTATTTCAGTAAATCTGCCTGCGTTGCTCCCCATTCTGTCTCTCCTGAATGAATCCTCTCACCCCCCACACCTTTGGCCTATACCCCAGTTCTTCTACACACACACACAAACTGTATGTTGGTAGCAGTCAGTTCTTACTAAAATTATATAATGTACATTTTCAAGTTAATATTGAATGTGTTAAGCTTACTTTGTATTATCTTTTGAAGAATTTTCCCTTTATTTCATAAATTAACTTCTTTTTCAAGGCAGGCCCTATGAGTTCTTTTAGCTTAACATCTTTAAGAAAAAATTCAATTCTCTGGTTTTGGAACATTATGTGTTTTAAATTTTTGAACTATTTTTCTTATTCTTGTTTTTTCTTTTCTTCAGATAGTTTGTCTTGCCTAATACTGAGTGCATCTATGGATCAAACTATTCTGTTATGGGAGTGGAGTGTAGAGAGAAACAAAGTGAAAGCCCTCCACTGCTGTAGAGGTCACGCTGGAAGTGTGGATTCTATAGCTGTTGACAGCACAGGAACTAAAGTAAGTAGCTAATTCATTCATACTGTGTTGAATTAAAATTTGAGCTTACGAAAAAAATTTTTTTTCTACATGTATTTGTTGTGATTGACCTATCTTCATAACAGTTAGTGACTAAAGAATATGGCACTCACACAATAAGAGATACAAAGATTCACTTCCTCAGCCTGAGTATTTCTATTTTAGAACCTTATATAAAATCCAGAAATTTTAAGAGATCAGAAGAATAAAATTTCTTTATGTAATCTTAAAGCATAGTGATGGATATTTTCAGTCTTTTAGCTAATCACAGTGCTGTCATCAATTACAAATGGCTACTCATCTGAGCTTTAGCAGGTTGCTTCATCATCATTGCTGATCTACTCTTTATCATGACAAAATGATATAAGTTAGTTAAAAGGAAACAAGCCTTAGGGCAACACTCTATTGACTTATGAAGGGTTATAAACGCTCTTATAACGTGCAAGTTCCCTAAGCCACATTAAAGTATTCTGGATTTTAGAGTGTTTCTTTGCAATTTAGTGTGATGGCAAATGGCAAAAGACATTTGATATATTCAAAGGTAAAGATTTATGATTTTTCATATTAAGCCTTAAAGGTTTACATGTTATCAAGTCAAAATGTTCGCGAATTGTGTCTTTTTTGACTATAAGAGATAGATTTATCTTGAAGTTTTTTCAGCTTAAAAGACTATACTTTCTGAGGAAGGAGTGAACAACCACATCACTAAAAGGCTGATGACACATTGGATCTCATGCACCAGTGGAGTGGAACCTTGTATGTGGCCAGCACATCTCCATTTGTCTCTCCAACTTGACTTTATTTCTTCTCACTTTAGACTGACTTTCTCCATATGACAATACAACCTGGCCATCAGTATTTCCCAGGTTTTACATTCTGTCTGTATCTTTTGTCCTTGGGAAAAAAGACTAACTTCAACTCTTTGGAACACAAATTTAAAAAAAAAAAAATCCTAAAGGAGGAAGAGACTTTTTGGCACAGTATAAGGTCAATTACCCATCTTTAGCAACCATGACAAGGGCTTGGGGTAAGAATAGTAAATGTGGCAGTTCCTTTAGTTGCCAGGCAGACTAAGAGTAGTTTCAGGAAACTAGGAAGCCAGCCAGATGACACCCTAGTAGTAAGGATTTCAGAACAAAGTAAAGATTTTAAGTTAAATAGCAGGAAAATAAGTAAGTAAATAAATAAATAAATAATGTGAATTCTTTTCCCCTTCATCTGTTTAGTTTTGCAGTGGTTCCTGGGACAAAATGCTAAAGATCTGGTCTACAGGTAAGTTAGGTATTTCCTTTACTTTGACTTAATAATGATGTTACATGAATTTTAACAAGAGGACTTTTTAACCCATATTTTGACATAAAAATGGGCCAGCACTTTTGAGGACAAGTAAAGAAGCATAGAGAGAAATCAGTATATTTATTTCTCTTTCAAAATGATTTTCTACCCCAGGACCCCGTTTTTTATTAGTGTCACTGACACTGAATTGCTGCAAATATCAACAACATGTTTGGTGCAGTAGAACATAATTGCCTTAGCTATTAGAGTGCCTTATTCACGAACTTGGAAATATACTGAGTTATTTTGATTCACTTTACTGTTAGAGGGACTTCTTAATTAAGCTGGTTTACTTTAAAAAAAAAAAAAGCTCTTAATACAGTTTTACCAAACTTAATTTTCTTTCTCTGAAAACAGATCAAAGGGAACAAATAGATCAGGAAGGACTTTTAAGGGGATGGTGCCTTGATAATAGTAAGAAGATAAAGAGAGAAGAAATGAGAGAGGGGGAAACCCACAGATATTTAAATTAAAAAAAAATTAGTAGTAACCTAAAATTATTTATTGCACAGGTAAACAGATCAGAATACCTTTGTTATGTCAGAGAGTATTGTTGTATAACAGTATAATACTAAATACATACCACAAAGTAAATTGGGTGGAATCAAGAAAAACTAAAACTGTTTTAAATAGTTACCTGTAAATAGATAACCTATATAGTAGATGCCCCCAAAATACTTAAAACCATTTTGAGGCAGTAAGAAGTTTAGAAAGTTTTCCTTTTGATAGTGCAAGGCAAATGAGATTTTGTATATGATTAGTTGTTACTAAAGATGCTTGTAGTCTAGTTTGGGAGAAGCAGAGTAATATTTATAGAATAGTACAAAACAAATGGTGTGTTGAAGATTTTATAGCTATCTCTGAAACTTTTAGTTAATTGTTAAAAAAAAGTAAAATAGAAAATAAACATGACTGGAAGTATATCTTCTTTTAATGTGTTTACATTGTCATTGCCTTCATAAAATAAATGCCAACTGGTCAGAACTCTCTTAAAACTAATAGTAAGCAATTTTTCATAGATATGGTAGTGTGATCAATATTTGTAAGGGGATCTTACTGAAGCAAGATGTAAAACTGGTTAAATTTTAGGACTTAATGTACTTTATTTTTGCTTTCTCCTGAGAAATTAGTCATCCAGGTGTATATATTTTCTATTAACCAAAATAGAGAAGTCTAAGAACTATGTGGGATTGTTTGCAATGAATATTTCCCATAAATTTTAAATATCAGTTGTAATTTTCTATGATACAGTCCCTACAGATGAAGAGGATGAAATGGAGGAATCTGCAAATCGACCAAGAAAGAAACAGAAAACAGAGCAATTGGGACTAACAAGGGTAAGTATTTGTGAGAACTGACTGTACTGTGGTAATTGAGTATCTTTCTCATTTCAAATTGCTTTTATATATATTTCTTTACTTCAACTATAATTAGGGTTTCTTTCAGCAGATTTGTAAATTTTTATTATAAATACTTTACTGTGTTATATTTATCTGTCATTAAATGTGATAGCATTAAGCCAGGCTTACAGATATTTTGTCTGCATTTTGATATTTTGTCTGATTTTTGTCTGATATTTTGTCTGATATTTTGTCTGATTTTGTCTGATATTTTGTCTGATTTTGCATACAGATATTTTGTCTGATTTTGTCTGCATTTTGAACTAGGATCTTTCAATTGTTAAAGCTTGCACTAAAGTGTCTTATTATCTGACTGTTTAATAATAATATTTATTTCCTACACCAGGAATGTAATTCTTACTAGGGTGGTAATTTTATCTCTTAAGTCACTAGAAATCAAGATTTTAATTTAGGTTTTGATTCTGTCATTAAACTATTAGAACCACATAATACAAATTCAGAAAGTTCATCTAGATTTTTATTTGGTCTGTTTTGTTAGGAAGGTATGTCATTTGTAACTGCATCAGGTATTTGTCATAATATGTCCTTATATGTATGAATATGCTTAATGAGAAGGACAATATTAAATGCAATTTAGGAAAACATATTTTTCACTTATTTTCTAACAGCTATAATGAGTATACAGTAAATCAAGTAGAAATTTGCATATTATTTCTCATAATTACAATAATAACAATTGTTGAAATGGGGGGTCATAAATTATGATCATTAATGATTTTATCAAACTTGTAAAATGCAACAATTATGCTTACTGGTTCCAACTTAAAGTAGCTATTTATTATTTCTTAATACATTTAAACATGAACCTTTGAGTTGCAAGAAGAATGATCTATCTAGCAGCTACTTCATTTTCTTGTCAACTAGCTCTGGAAGGACAAATTAAAGGTAAAAGTACTTCATCAATCAGATACTCTAATGGTGGTAATTTGTTGATGTATACTACTGATAAACTTCTAAAGAATATATGTGAGTATAAAAAGATTTCCTGATTTAAAAAAAAAAATCACTCAGAAGATAATTTTTTTCTTTTCAATTGAATGTCAATGAATTTTTATAAATTTGTGTACCCAAATAATCACTATCCAAATCAAAACAATTACCAGCACCCTATAAGATTCCCTCTTGTAATCAGTAATCTCCTAAAGATAATCACTATTGTAACTTTTATAGATTAGCTCCACCAATTTTTAAACTTGATATAATATTTGTGAGATTTTAGTCTTACTGCTGCTTGTTCTTTTTTCACTCAATAGATAACCACTCTATTGCATGACTATACCAGAATATATGTATTCTTTTGATGTATCCTTTTAGGGAACATTCGATCCCAAAATTGGCAAACTGTAGCCCAGCAGCCACTTTGATTGTGGTCTGTTTTATACTGTAGAGAGCCAAGAGTGGTTTTCACATTTTTAGGGGTGCTTTACAACAAAGAATATGTAACAGCAACTACATACGGTCTATAAGAGCTAAAATATTTACTTTGTGAACCTTTACTGAAAAAGTTTACCAAACTCTGATCTAGTCTAACCTCATATTATATATGAAGTAATATCTAAAGAGGTTAGGAGGCCTCCTGGTGGCACAGGGGTTAAGTTTCAGCGTTATCACTGCTATCACTGCTGAGGCCTGCAGTAGACCTGTCCTTTCTCACCCACTGCTGCCCTTAGCAGAGTATTTTAGTAGATCTGCCTGTTCTGCTCCCCAGTCTCTGGTGAATCCTCTCACCTCCCCCGTACCTCTGGCCTATACCCCAGCTCTTCTACACATAAACAAACAAATAATTTTAAAAACTATTTAAAGAGGTTAGATGTGATAGCGTTACCCATTAGATTGTCTCCCATTTCAAAATTCTTTCCAAAATTCTTTCCAGTCTCTTTAACATATTCCTTATATTTAAGACTGGCACTATAACTATTTTTGGTATTTTAGTTTGAGAAAGACACTAGAGATTTGGAGTATTCATAAGTGAGACATTGACATTATTGAAAGATTTGATAATAGAACTAAAAGATGCTTAGGAAATGGGGTGGTGATAATAACAGATTGAGATTAATTTACCTGGAAGATATTGTTATTCATTCATCATTTCCTCTAGTGGAAAAGTCATATACAGAATGGTAGCACTTTACTAAAACCTAGATTTGTATGACACCAGAGCTTTTTCTGCTGACTTACATAACACATGTATGTACAAGAATTTAGTTTTAACATTAATACTTCTCAAAATGAAAATTAAAACAAATGGAGGAAGCAGCAGAATATAATAGAAAGAGCATACCTTTGGAGTAATGTTTGGGCTCAAACTTAAATCTGCCATTTATAAGGTATATGATGTTAGGGCAGGTTATCTTTCTCAGCTTTGTTCTTCATTTATGAAGTAAAACCATTGTCTTTCTTGTATTATGGTTGTAAAGAAGAAATGTTAGGATATGAAAACTAAACCACCTGGCAAAATATTTGCCATATGGGCTTCAGAAATAATAATTTATTTTTTTAATTACTCTAAACTGAAAAAGCTTTTCCTTTTGGGTATCTTTCATTTCTAGACTCCCATAGTGACTCTCTCTGGCCACAAGGAAGCAATTTCCTCCGTCCTATGGTCAGATGCTGAAGAAATCTGTAGCGCATCTTGGGACCACACAATTAGAGTATGGGATGTTGAGTCTGGCAGCCTTAAGTCAACTTTGGTAAGACATATAAATCAGTGGTTCTTCTGTTAACTTTGGGCTCTTAAGTGACAAACTTCTAGAGATGATTACTTTTAACCACTATGGTTAAATGTTCTTTCTTCTTTTTTCTCTCTTTAGACAGGAAATAAAGTATTTAATTGCATCTCCTATTCTCCGCTTTGTAAACGTTTAGCATCTGGAAGCACAGATAGGCATATCAGACTGTGGGATCCTCGAACTAAAGGTGAGTAATGTAAACCACTAGGGTTTGAAAAAGTCTGTGTAAATAAACATCATTTTCTCTTCTCACTAGAGATGTATATAAAAAGTAATTTTTTACAAGTTTTTTGTTTGTTTCTGTTTTCTAAAATTCAATTATTGTAATCTTTGTTACTTTGTTCAGATGGATCTTTGGTGTCGCTGTCCCTAACCTCACATACAGGCTGGGTCACGGCAGTAAAATGGTCTCCTACCCATGAACAGCAGCTGATTTCAGGTTCTTTAGATAATATTGTCAAGCTTTGGGATATAAGAAGGTAACTACTGTTTCTGATCTACAAAAGAAATGCATTGATTACTTGTTATATACGAAGAAAATGAAATGAATACTGAAATGGTTATCCAAAAGCAGACGGGTAAAGAAAGTCATTGGTCATAAGACTTGTTGTTGGTATCAAAAAGAAAACTCAGGATCTAAAGGCCATTCTTTGACAGTGATTGTAATAGTAAATTGTACCATATTAAGGTATGAGCCTTGCATAGATCATGACAGAGGGAATCGTAGGTAAGATGGGGAAAATCTTAGCATGTTGACAAAATAGCAAGAGAGCAGGTGTTGATGGAGAGGAGGCGGATGAGGTAGATAATGGTTATAGCCAATAGAATCTTACAGGCCATAGTAAGGAATTTGGGTTTTATGACAGGAAAGGCTTTGGAGGATTTTAAACAAATGGGGAGGAATGGAAGCAGAGAGGCTATTACTGTAATTCAAGAGATAGAGAATGGTGATGTGGGTGATAAATGGTTGAATTCTGGGTATATTTTGAATATGGCTCTTTGAATATGGCCTGTGGATTGAATATGGAAATAGGAATCAAGGATAATGCCCATATTTTCTGCGTGAGCAATTGGGTGATTAGTGCTGCTATTTACTATGACAAAAAAGAGTAGAAACTTAGGCTAGTGAGAGGAAATCAAGTGTTTTGTTTCGGTTGTTTTAAATTTGTAGTGCCCATAAGATAGCAGCTGTTAGGATATGTATTAGCTATATATCAAAATCAGGGGAGACATTTGGGCTAAGAGATTGAAATTTGGGAATTACCATCATGTAACGGAAAGATAAAGGGTATATAAAGCCATGACTGAGGGGTAGGGTGCCTAAAGGAAAGTAGTCAAGAAAGTATGAAAATGGACCTAATTAAAAGAAATTTTTACAAGTAAAAATTGATATAATTTTTCCTAAATGTACTTGTAATAAATCTCTATAATCTGCTAATGATATAGGAGAAATCTGTTAATGATATAGGAAAAACATCTCTGCTGTTTTTCCTATATCATTAGCAGATTATAGAGATGAGCAGTTTATAGAGATTTAATACTTAGAATTTTCATAGTAAGTGATTATTGGGGCAAGGGTGATACACTAAAATTTTTAGAAAAATATAAGTGATTGTTCATAGATGTTATTTTAGTATTATGAAATGCATATAATGTTCATATTTTCGTCTTTTAGTTGTAAGGCTCCTCTCTATGATCTGGCTGCTCATGAAGACAAAGTTCTGAGCGTAGACTGGACAGACACAGGGGTAAGAATTTATTACTTGGTGAAGAAGAAAATACTAGAATAAATCTGGTGTGTTTATTTTTTAGAAGTGTAAGTTTCAGTATATCTGATATTCTAAGTACCCCTTAAGATTATCAACAAAATCTCATCTTATTCGAAGAAAACAAAATTTATCTTTCATTAGTAGTAGTAAAATTTGAAAATTCTAAGTTTTTTTATCATAAGTATTTTAAAGAGCTTGCTACTTCACACTAATTGGATTAAAGTATTTCCCATTTGGAAGAATCTAGATTATAAAATCTGTTTAAAGAATTACAATGTAAGTATTTTTATATAATACCTAAACTCCTCTAGCCTAAAATTTCTAAACAAAGATCCTAGAGTGGGGCCTCCCCGGTGGCGCAGCGGTTGAGCGCTGGGTTGCGAAGCTGCCTGCAGCCTCTGCAGCGCCGGTTCGATCCCCGGCTGCTCCCCGGCCACCGGAGGAGGGTCCCACATGGCGCGCAGACCTCTCCTGCCGCCCGCTGCTCCCCTCAGCGGTGTACTTCGGTCTTTCTGCCTGCTCTGCTCCCCGCTCTGGCTCTGGTGAATTCTCTCACCCTCCCGCGCTTCTGACTGTACCCAGTGCATGTATAAACAAAACAAACAAACAAACAAATAAATAAATAAAAACATGCCTTTATTAAAAAAAAAAAAAATTAAAAAAAAAAAAAAAACAAAGATCCTAGAGCTACTTGAATAATTTGTAATAATCCATTTATCTGCATACGTTTAATGTACTATCCTTTAAAAACTACAGTGATCACTCCTGAGGGGAGTCCTATACTGTGAAAAAAGAGTAAGGATGTTTAAAATGAAAACCCTTAAATAGGTAAAATTATGTCACCTTTCAAATTTCATTTGTATTATGCTTTTTAGCAAATGCTTCATAGAAAGTACAATAACATACTGTACATCAACCAAATTCAAATGGTGACTCTAAAGGTTTGATATAATGTATTGCAATAATGAAAATTGATGTAATTGGTCCATTTAAGTACTAACTGAATGCATGCTTACTACTCATGCATGGTGTTTAATTAGATTTATCTAATGTGGAATAGTTATAGTTACATTTGTGTTTTGTGTTTTTTTTTTTTCCTCTCCCTTTATACAGTTACTTCTGAGTGGAGGAGCAGACAATAAATTGTATTCCTACAGATATTCACCTACCACTTCCCATGTGGGGGCATGAAGATGAAAAAGTTTGACTACAGAGATTCTACATATGAAATTGATATATCTTCCTTTGGAAAGCAGCTTTCTATGTTTTCACCCTTGATAATAGCTATCACTGTCACCTTTATTTTGTATTTATTATGAAATAGTTTGTGTTTACAGAATATAAAATGTGTATTGTCTGCCTTATGTAAACTCTTGAAATTAAATGTTTTTAATTTCTTTTCAAGGATACTAGTTTGAATAAGGTTGGCTTTTGAAATACTATAAAAGCATAGATTAAAAATAAAGTAATGATTGGTCCAGAATTTTATTTCTGATGGTGAAACTTGTTTATTAACTGTCAAAAAATATCTATAGAAAACTAAATTTTGAGAAAAATTATAATTTGCTTTAGGTATTAAGATATGTAGATGCTGCCAATTTATTAAAAATTTGTTGAAATGTTTTATGTGAAGTGTTCACATTAAAGTTATATCAGAATCCTTTATAGAATTAGCACAGGGTGGTGCTAATTCTGGTGGTGCAAGGGGTTAAGATGCAGCACTATAAAGCTATCCTGAAGCTATTCGCAGCCGCTGCAGCACGAGTTCGATCCCCAGCCTGGGAGGTGACCCACATGCTGCAGCAGACCTCTCCTGATTTGTCCACCGTTCCCCTCAACAGTGTACTTCAGTCAGTCGGCCAGTTCTGTTCCCCACTCTGTCTTTGGTGAATCCTTTTACCCCCCACATCTCTGGTCTGTACCTCAGTTCTTGTATGCATAAATAAATAAATAGCACACAGATTTCATGTTAACAAGAATCTCTCTCCTAAATCTATCCTTAAATGTAGATTAAAAAATAGATTCTTGGGCCTCCTTGGTGGCTTAAGGGGTTAAGTCTCAGCACAATGAAGCTATCCACAGTGACTGTACCATGAGTTCGATCCCCAGCCAGGGAGCTAACCCACATGGTGCAGCAGACCTCTTCTGTCTCTCCCACTGCTCTCCTCAGCAGTGTATTTCAGTTGATCCACCTATTCTGCACCCCACTCTGTCTCTGGTGAATTCTCTCACCCCCCAACACCTCTGGTCTATACCCCAGTTCTTAGATGCACAGGTAAAATAAATCTTTAAAAAAACAGATTCTTTAGACAAAGCCTTTTCAATATTACATAGTAAACATTTTATTTTATTTTATTTTAGCGCTCAACCGCTGCGCCACCGAAGAGGCCCCATAGTAAACATTTTATAACCTTTATATCATTAGCATTTATCTAAATGTATACCGAATGTTTTAAGTAAATGTTTTCTTAAAATGCAACTTCCATCTTTACTGGATTGGTATTCCTCACACAGAGCACTTAAGCTTCTGAATAATATATAGCAAGCCGGTTCAGTGTTATCACTAGACTCAATGCAGTAGATCTCACAGGATGTTCCTGTTATTGAGCTCTAGGAAGCATCTGTACCTGGTTGCATTTGAGAGCCACAGAAAGAGTAGATTAAAACTGGTAGGAGTTCAGTTCTCCCTCTTATGTAGATGTCTAGGCAGGGATAGTCCAGGGCTTATATTGTGGTTTTGTTTTACACTCCTTAGGGGCCCAAGCTCCCCTGGATATGGTTCTCATTCTCTCAGAGGCCAAAAACTAGAGCTCCAGTTACATCATTCCTAAAAGACAGTATATTTTATTTTTTTTAAAGATGTATTTATTTATGTGAACAAGTAGGCCAGAGTTGTGGGGGGTGAGGGGATTCATCAGAGACAGTGGGGAGCAGAACAGGAGGATTTACTGAGATGCACTGCAGCAGACCTCTCCTGACAAGGCAAGGAGGGCAAGACAGGCAAGACAGGAGAGGTCTGCTTCACCGCTTAGGTCAGCTCCCTGGCTGGCCAGGGTTCAAAGTCATGCCACAGTGGCTGGTGATAGCTTAATAGCGCTGCGTCTTTAACCCCTGCACCACCAGGGAGGCCCCAAAAAGACAGTTCATTTTAATGCCCAAATGTGAATAAAGGTAGCCAGAAAACTCACACAAAGTCTTTTCAGTAGTGTTTAGAACTTTCAGAAAACAAAAATGAATATTCCTGTTTTGGATGGTCCTTAAATAAGTCTTACAGGCAGATTTACTTAAAATATCTTTCTTAACTCACTCTCAAATGTAGTGTCCATACACTAGATTGTTAAAATCTAAAATGCCTGTTTATTAGATGTCATGGGCAGAAAAGGAAGTAGCATCAAATACTGGTTCCTTGCCTATTTTCAGCCCTGGTTCTAATGCAGGATACTTTCCTGGCTAATGATGGTGTGACATTAGGGACCAAATCTCTTGGAGGCTTGTTTTCTACTAAGCTTTTCCTTCTGTAACTAAATGTTAGATATTATTCCCTGAATAATTAGTGTATGGTAGGCCAGTAGAAGACCCAGTCCTCTTATAACAAATTAATCTATCTCCCACCCTCTCACCTTTTTCCCCAAAAGTAGAAGTCTCTTGATGATCCATCATTCTCTTAGTTACACCAGACACAGGGACGTTACATGGACTTACCTAAGATTGGAAACGAGTGGACTACTTTTTCTAGCACTGGGAGAAGTTAGAAAACAGAATGTCTCCAGGACCAATACAGAATTATTTATGCTGTCTTGCCAGAGTAATGCAGCTCATAAACCTATTGATACTCGAAGTTTTAAATAATGTCCTGTTTAACAACAACATTTCTAATTTTAATTTTTAGCTCAAAGTATCCAGCTGCCCAATAAATCATTTCAAGGGAAAAGGCTGAACTGTCATATTCCAGAGTCTCCTGGGATGAAGTAGAATACAGGACATGTGCACCACCTTCAAAAAGATCGCCTATTTACCTGGGAGATAATCATTTACAATTCAGTATAACTGTGTCCTGAGTACAAAGAGAGATGAATGTAGAGTGACATTTGAGCCAGATTTAGACAGATAATTGGTTGTGAAGGTAGAGATGCCAGTTATTTCTGGCAGAGGGAGCAGCACAGAAGCATCAGAAATAAAAATAATGTGAAGTAGAAAACATAATATTTCTAAATATACTGAGAAGTTTAATTTTTGTTGTCTTAAATAAAACTTTCAGGTTTTATCTAAACGTGATTTTTTTATGTGAAAAGAAACTTTGCTGAGATGATTGAGTACCTAAAGTTATTTGACTAATTTGAGTTACTTAAGATTTTTATTCTGTGTTGTAGAATGTAGGGGAAAAAATAGTTTTTTTTTTTAATTCTTTTTTTTTTTTTAATAGAGGCATGTTTTATTTATTTATTTGTTTGTTTTTGTTTTTATACATGCACTGGGTACAGTCAGAAGCACGGGAGGGTGAGAGAATTCACCAGAGCCAGAGCGGGGAGCAGAGCAGGCAGAAGGACGGAAGCACACTGCTGAGGGGAGCAGCGGGCGGCTGGAGAGGTCTGCGCGCCATGGGGGACCCTCCTCCGGTGGCCGGGGAGCAGCCGGGGATCGAACCGGCGCCGCAGAGGCCGCGGGCGGCTTCGCAACCCAGCGCTCAACCGCTGCGCCACCGGGGAGGCCCAAAAAAAAAAAAAATAGTTTTTTAAAGCGGTAACTGGTACTCTGTTATATCCCTTTAATTTAGAAGGGCAATTTTGGAGCTATTGGCAGCAATGCATAATGTATCAGAATGGTTCCCAGGATTATTGGGGAAAAGAACAAATAAAAGTTAAAATTGATACAAAATATACATAATTACATAACAAGCCTGCAGTGAAATTTTATGATATTTCTCTCTCCTGATATATTTTAGTTAGCATAATCCCTTCAAGGTCCTCCATGTTGTCACAAAAGGCAAGATCTCATTCTTTTTTTAATAGCTGAGTAGTATTCCATTGTGTATATATACATATTTATGCATTCATCCATTGTCAGGCACTTGAATTTCACTTTTGTAAATAGTGCTACAATGAACATAGTCCTGCATGTATCTTTTTGAATTAGTGTCTTCATATTCTTCAGGTAAATACCCAGAAGTGTGGGATTGCTACATCATATAGTACTTGTATTTTTGTTGGAGGTACCTCAATATTACTTTCCATAGTGACTGCAGCAATTTATATTACCTCCAACAGTATACGAGGGCTCTTTTTTCTCTACATCCTCAACAACACTTACTATTTTTTGCATTTTTTAATAATAGTCACTATAAGTGGTGTGAGGTAAAATCTCATTGTGGTCTTGATTTGTATTTCCCTAATGATAAATGATGCAGAGCATTATTTCATGGATCTGTTGGCCATCTATACATCTTTTTTTGGTGGAAGGCCTATTTAGATCCTCTGCTCATTTTTAAATCCGGTTGTACTTTTTTTGTTGTTGAACTTTACAAGTTATATGTTTGGATATTAACCCTATGCCTGATAGATGGTTTGCAAATACCTTTTCCAGTTCAGTAGGCTGCCTTTTTGTTTTAATGATTTCTTTCAGTGTTGAATGAAGATTTTTAGTTTAATGTAGTCCCATTTGTATTTCTTTTGTTTCTCTTGCCATTGGATACAAATCCATAGATAACACTAGATTATTACTTATGTTTTCTTCTATGTAATTTATGGTTCCAGGTCCTTTTTTTTTTTTTAAAGATTTATTTATTTATTTATTTATACAAGCACTGGGTACAGTCAGAAGCACGGGAGGGTGAGAGAATTCGCCAGAGCGGGGAGCAGAGCAGGCAGAAGGACCAAAGTACACTGCTGAGGGGAACAGCGGGCAGCAGGAGAGGTCTGCGCGCCATGTGGGACCCTCCTCTGGTGGCCGGGGAGCAGCCGGGGATAGAACCGGTGCTGCAGAGGCTGCAGCCAGCTTCGCAACCCAGTGCTCAACTGCTGCGCCACCAGGGAGACCCTGGTTCCAGGTCTTATATTCAAGTGTTTGGTGTAGGACAGTTTCCAGTTTTCCCAGCACTATTTATTGAAAAGACTTTCCCTTATCCATTACATGCTCTTGTTTCCAATATCACACTTACTGTTTTGATTAACATTAGGGAGCATGATACCTCCATTTTTGTTCTTTTTTTTTCCTCAGGACTGCTTTAGATATTAGAGGTATGTTGTGGTTCCATGCAAATTTTATAATTTTTTGGCCTACTTCTATGAAGATTGATCCAGGGGTTATGTTGGATCTGCATGCTGCTTTAAATAAAATGCCAATTTGACCATATTGATTCTTTTGATCCACAAGCACAGAATATTTCCCTTTCTTTGTATCTTCTCTTCCTTTCAATGGTATTTGATAGTTTTCAGTGTACAGGTCTTTGGTTAAATTTATTCTGAGGTATTTTATTCTTTTTGCTGTAAGCGTTAGTATTGTTTTCATCATTTCTTTCAGCCAGTTCATTGTGTATAGAAATGTAATATATTTCTTGCATATGCCTGAGACTTACCCAATTAAATTCTATGGTTGTTTCAACAGGAGGAAGTTCTTTTTCATATACATTTATGTAACATTTCACATTTTAAAAATCATCTTAATAACACATTCTAATTCTAGCCCTACCTGAATAAACGAAAATGCAGTATGGGAGAGCATATGTAAGTAATTACCATGCGGGAATCTGAGAAGATAGCTAGCTATCTATATCCTCCCTGATTGCCACTGATGTTTTGCTTCTGACTTCTCTGATCAGATTATAAAATGGAATACCATGAAGAATACCATGAAGAATTATTCCCATGACATCAGGTTCAATAGATCCCTGTTTGTTTTCTAATATCAACTGAGTTTTTATTTGGGAGATTAACCACGTTTGATTGATTCTGCAAACATAAAAGTAAAGATCATAGCTTTCTAAGGGAATTAGTACTCCTCATTGGGATCCCAGATTCCACATTCCAAGTTATCCAATGATTTTCGTTTTTAGTTAATTTATAGAAACCTGCAAGAAGAAAACACTTTACACAGGATAAATCTATTATTAGAAAAACAATACATCTATAAATGTGTGGACTTGTAAGTAAAATTAAATCCATATAATAGTTATTTTAAATTTATATAATAGTATTCCATTTTCTAAAACAGGTTTTTTTATGAGACACTAATTTTTAACTACTGTGGGTACCTCATTTATTTAAGAGACTAGTACTTGCCATTTAAATGTTTCTTCATTAATCCAACAGCTAAAGGAAGATTAGTAATTCATCCCACAAATATTTATTGAATACCATGAGTTAAGAAGACCTGATAGGAGTGTCAGTAGCTCTACTGTGTTTGCTGAAACCATCCCTATACTGTGCGACCACTTGTACAATTTTACTGAGTGGCAAAGGCAAAGTGATGTGTAAGTGCTTCACTTTATAGTGGCCTAGAAATACGTCATATTTTCCTGTAATTTTCTCCAATTAACTGAATAAAACTAACAGGCATGGTGTACAGTCACTACTCTGACTTTCTGGTATATTCCTTAGAGGCCCTTTTTCTGCTTCATATTGATTTGAAGAAGCTTAATATCCTCTTAAGTTATACTTCATCCTATTGGAACAAGCATTTTCAAAAATATCCAAAGAAAATTACTATGGTGCATGGCAACATTTTGAAAGTCATTTTGCTTACCATATTACTTATTCCTTAAGGAGGAAAGTGTTCTTCTTTAGATATTTTATGCTGTACCTATCTTTGTTTCTGCTTATTTATTGATTGAATAAACAATCATTCAGAACCTACTATGTATGAGACTAGCACAAAAAATATAAGTTTATAGAAATGCATTGTTTTCATATTAGAGAGTCCAACATCTAACAAAAAACAGCCAGGCAAATTATTACAATATATTACAACTGCTAACTGTAGAGGTATGCCACCTGTACAGGAACACTAAGCTTAGTATGAGTGAGTCAGAAAATATTCTAGGACATAGAGCAATCATCCATGTTTGTCAAGAACCAATTCTTACACTGTTTAAGGATCTGGACTTTGAGAACTGAGGAAAGCTGTGAACTCTTAAAATTTTTTGCATATTTTTTCAGGTATTCACCTACTCCTTGAAACCCATGTATCTCATGTTGAGAACTCATGGTCTAGAGACATTTTCAATTCAGATTGACCTTGTAGTGTAAATAGTCCAACCTTTTTTCCATTCTTTTTAAATTTTTTTAATGAAGTAATATTGCATCATAACATGTAAATTTCACTAGGAGTCAACAAATCTGTATACACCATATTAAGTTTGCCACTAAAAGTCTATTTCCATCGTTCAATATGAAATTGACCCACTCAACACCCAAGTTACACACCTCCCTAACCCCTTCCCTTCTGGTAACCACAAATTTGGCCTTATAGGCTCAGAGTTCATTTTTGTTTGATTTCGTTCATTCATTTGCTTGGCTTCTATCTTCCACATGAGTAAATACACCTCTCTCTGACTTATTTCACAAAGCAAAATATTCTCTAGGTTCATTCATGTTGTTGCATATAGCAATATTTCATCTTTTTAAAAGATAGCTAAGTAGGGCCTCCCTGGTGCTGCAAGGGGTTGAGCCCAGTGCTGTGAAGCTGTCCGCAGCCTCTGCAGCGGGAGTTTGATCCCTGGCCTAGGAGCTACCCACACGCCTGCTCCCCCCAGCAGTGTACTTGGGTCTATCTGCCTGTTCTGTTTCCCCACTCTGTCTCTGGTGAATCCTCTCACCTCCCACATCTCTGGCCTGTACCCCAGTTCTTGTAATCATAAATAAATAAATCTTAAAAAAAAAAAGCTAAGTAGTATTCCATTTTTTATATATACCTTATTTCTATATACTCTTTGTTGTTTTAACTAATGCTGTAATGACCATGGGGGGCAGATACCTCTTTGAATTTGTGTTTTTGTATTCTTCAAGTAACTACTCAAAATATTTTCCTATTCTATAGCCAAAGCTCTACTGAAAAAAAAAGAAGGAAATGGAGGCATCACACTCCCAGACTTCAAACTATACTACAAAGCCATAATCATCAAAACTGCATGGTATTGGCACAAGAACAGACATACAGACCAATGGAATCGAATAGAAAATCCAGAAATAAACCCACAGATTTATGGTCAACTAATCTTTGACAAAGGAGCAAAGACTATGCATTGGAGCAAAGAAAGTTTGTTCAATAAATGGTGCTGGGAAAACTGGGTCGCTACATGCAAAAGAATGAAGCTTGACCACTACCTCACACCATACACAAAAATCAACTCAAAATGGATTAAAGAACTAGACATAAGACCTGAAACCATAAAATACATAGAAGGAAATATAGGCGAAACACTACGGGATTTGCACATCAAAGACATCTTTACAGACACATCACCCAAAGCAGTGATAGTGAAGAGAAAGATAAACAGCTGGGACTACATCAAATTAAAGAGCTTCTGCACAGCAAAAGAGACAATAACAAAAACAAAGAGAAACCCCACCAACTGGGAGAACATTTTTGCACCCAACACTAATGATAAAGGACTGATCACAAAAATCTGCAAAGAGCTGATGAGACTCAGCAACAACAAAGAAAATAATCCAGTCAAAAAATGGGCAGAAGAGCTAAAAAGAAACTTCTCTGAAGAGGAAATGCAAATGGCCAACAGACATATGAAAAAATGTTCAACATCACTTGTAATCAGGGAAATGCAAATCAAAACTACCATGAGATACCATCTCACACCAGTGAGAATGGCACATATTAAAAAAACTAGCAACAACAAATGTTGGCGAGGATGTGGAGAAAAAGGAACTCTTGTGCACTGTTGGTGGGAGTGCAAACTGGTCCAACCACTATGGAGAGCTGTGTGGAGATTTCTGGACCTACTAAACATAGAGCTTCCATATGATCCAGCAATTCCACTCCTAGGTATTTACCCAAAGGACACAGAAACATCAATTCCAAAGAGCACCTGCACTCCTATGTTTATAGCAGCACTGTTTACAATAGCTAAGCTTTGGAAACAACCCAAATGCCCAAAAATAGATGACTGGATCAAGAAGATGTGGTACATATATACCATGGAATATTACTCAGCATTCAAAAAAGATAAACACATGCAATTTGCAGCAACATGGATGGCACTGGAAGGGATCATGCTCAGCGAAATAAGCCAAAAAGAAAAAGAAAAATACCGGATGGTCTCACTCATAGCAGGAATCTAGAAAACTTAAATAAGGGACCAGGAAAATGAATATAAGAAAGTGAAAATCAAAATCAACAAAAAACTATGAACCAGAGACACTTTTTGGGGGTGGGGGGCGGGAGGGGAAGGATTGGGGTCAGAATGGGGCGTTTGCAATTGTATGGGGGAATATAAAAATAAAATTTAATATTTAAAAAAAAAAATAAATAAATCAGATGACGTTAATCCTTGTGATGTAAGAGGTCTAATAGTAATCCCAGCAGCATCTATTGAAAAGTTTATATTCACTGACCAGCAGACTCAGTCTCTGTGTGTATATACATGCATATCTATCTACCTGTCTGTCTATCTAATGTATTTATCTAGCCATCCAATCTGTTTACCTATATTTACCTACCTACCATAGATTTCTGTAAAGTGATTTTTAAATTCAACAATTTTGTTAAGTTCTCTGATTAATACTAATAAAGAATCTGGAGAATTTTTTTCTACACAAAAAAAAAAAAAATATTTTCCTATTCTAAAACTTTTTTTTCAGGTTTTTAAGGTGAGTACTTTAAACAGTCCAGAAACTCCCCTCATCTTTGTCTTTCCTAATCTTACATACTTTAGTCCTCACCTCATGTGAGCTTTTTCCTTGCTAGTCACAGTTGTAATTTATATTTTCTACAGTTTAAGGAAAGCTGGTGATTTTTTGAGTCACCCTTTAAAAGAACAGCACTTTAAATTTAAATTACCTTCCCCACATGGCGCAGCAGACCTCTCCCATCTCGCCCACTGCTCCCCTCAGCAGTGTATTTCAGTAGATCCACCTGTTCTGCTCCCCACTCTGTCTCTGCTGACTCCTCTCACCCTGTCCCCCACCCCGCACCACTGGCCTGTACCCCAGCTCTTAATGCATAAATAAATCAATCTTTAAAAGAACAGCACTTTAAATTATCTTCCACCAGTAGGGTAGTTTTACTTTTGCCTAATTTCCTTTTTTTTTTTTTTTTTGAGGTTTTTAGGTTCACATTTTACCTTTTATTCGTGAAGACATTTATGACAACACATTATTATTATGTGTACATCCATCCGAGGTCAGTCGCCAACAGGTACTAACTTAACCCACTTCAAACCATTAAAACCAGCGCTCAGCATGGCGCGTGCACACCGCCCGCGCGCCGGCCCCGGCGCGGAGACGCTCGCGTGGCTGAGGGAAGACCCGGCTCAGTCAGGGGCGCCTCAGAGGTGTCCCACTCGGCCCCCATTCTGATGTTCCCACCGCTTGGTGACCGTCGGCTCACTTACCTGAGAGGCAGCGGGAAGGAGGTACGGCGAGGGCTCGGGGGCGCCTTCAGAACCAGGCGCGGCGCCGGGGTCTCCGCGCTGAGGCGCCGGGGCCGAGGTGCGCGCGCCCGGCCGCCGGGTTTGAATCTCGCGCCTCCCGCAGCCCGAGCCCGACACCTCCACGCGCGGGTGCGGAGGGGCGCGGGCTGCGGGAGCCGCCCGGCGGCGTCGCGGGGCTCGCGGGCGGCTGTGGCGGCGGGAACGGGTGCCGAGAGGACCTCCGCGGGCGAGCGCGGCCCGAGGCGCGGCGGAGCGGCACATCGCGGCGCGGCGTCGCGGTGAGCGTCCGCGGCCTCCCGCCGGCCCCCTCCCCTCCCCTCCCCTCCCCTCCCGGCGGCGATCGCGCCGCGCCCTCCCCGGCGGCCCGGGGGCTCCGCCGCCAAACCCTCGGTTCCCATGACGACGCCGGCGGTGAGGCGCCCGCCCAGCGCGCACGCGGTCTCTCGGGGCCTCGCCGGCTTTCTCGGGGACCCCGGCCCCGGCGGCGCCCCTCGCGGCGGAGGTCCTGGCCCGACTCCCTCTCGGCTCACTCGGGGCAGAGGACGGGCGGGGAGGGGGGCGGGCGCGGCGGGGCCCCCCTGGGCCTGGCGGAGCTTCCGCCCACGCTCTCCCGGGGCGCCGGGGTGCGCTGCGGCCTGAGGCTTGTTTGGGTGATTTCTCTCGAGGGTCGGGACCGCTCCCATTAGAGGCAGGTGCTCGCAGACTTAAGGTGCTTCCCTGCTGACCTTCTTCTTAGGTTGTGCTTGTTTTTGTGTCATTATTTTGTAATGGGCGTGCGCTTGTTAGGAAATAAATGTGGGGGTTCAGGCGAATAGCGGAGTGCACGAGCACCCCCTACCCCCCCACCAGAGACCACAATGCTGCTGCGGCCTGAGGCTGTGGAGCCGGCCCCACAGCACGGATGCTGCTCCAGGAAACTCGCTCCCTTGGTCAGGTGCCCAGATGATGTCATGGGTGGGATACCTGATGCGCGGAGAGATGAAGAGGGGGAAAAACACCCTCCTCATCGCTCACCCGCGATGCCCTGGGTTTGCCAGCAGAGGGGGTGGGATTATTTTTCATGTAATAGATGATCTGGATGCACAGAGCTTAAAAGCTGTTTTAAATTATAGAGCTCCGTGCAATAGCCAAATTGGGAAGATAACGTATCTGCCTGGTTTTGGGTTTTCTCTGTTTTGTATTGATTTATTTGGTTCCGACTCAGGCAGCGTCCTGTAAGGCGATATTACTTTAATCATCTTCACATCAATATTTATGAAGTAGCCGCAGGTGCCTCATCATGAATTGGAGTTAATTGTACATTTATTGGCCAAATAAACATCTAATGGTACGTATGTATTTTATATGACCGACGTTTTTTAAAATCGTTTTGTATTCATTACCTGTGCCTAACATAACCAGTATTCTTTGAAGTTTTTGTATTTATTTAATAGTGCAAAATAATTTTATAACGAATCACTGAAACATTGTTGCAAGACTTGTTCTAATTTCCAGTAACTATACTTGCCAGACAAATCATCATAATTTTAGAGTTAAATGGGAGCTCAGAGGTCAGCCACTCCTGAGTGCAAAATCTGAAAATGTGAGGCTGGTGGAAAAACATTTTTATTATAAATATTAAAAACAAAATAAATTTTATACCAGTGACTGAACTAGGAGCAAATAATCAAAATATTAAATAGCAGATGATTTTTAGATAATGCCAACGTTGAGATTTCACTGTGATTCATTTATACTTAAAATTTTTTTCTTTACTTTCATTGCTTACCTTTTCCAGTACTCACTGTGCCTCCTTTAAAATTTTAGTTTTGTATTTAACAGGAATTATATGAGGTGTGTGTAAGACTTAACTGTCTCTGTAAGGGAAAGATTTCCTCATGTGAACTGGCTTTTGTTATATAATAATATCCTTAGTCCATTTATCCATGTTGTCTGTTTTTCAGTCATCCTTAAAGTTTTTCTTTCTGAAGTCAAACTTCTGCTTGGACCCAATATTTACTATCAAGACATTGTCACTTTCTTTATAACTCATTATTGTTAATAACACATTATTATTTTGGCATTGTTGATTTATTTGCTAATAACACTATAAGCTTTTAAAACTATTTGCATTAATAGTTTAGATTTAAAAATAAAAGACAAACTACTGTCATACAAATAGTGTCATGAGCCAACATTATATCATATTTCTTTCAAGAAATTTTTTTAAGATTTATTTATTTATGCATACAAGAAGTGGAGTACAGGCCAGAGATGCGGGGTGGGGAGGGTGAGAGGATTCACCAGAGACAGAGTGGGGAACAGAACAGGCAGACTGACCTAGGTACACTGCTGAGGGGAGCAGTGGGCGAGATAGTAGAGGTCTGCCTCGCCATGTGGGTTGCTCCCTGGCCGGCCTGGGATCGAACTTGTGCTGCAGAGGCTGTGGATTTCTTCATAGTGTGGTGCTTAACCCCTTGCGCCATCAGGGAGGCCCCTCTTTCAAGTATTTTTTAAATAAATAAATTTCCAACAAAGCTAAAGTTTTTTTTACCCTACAAACTCTCTACTGTCTACCTAATATTACTCATTCATATTTTTCTTTCTTTCTTCATCAGCCTTGCTGGATGCTTTTCCATTTTACCAATTTTTTCAAATGAACCAGCTTTTGACTATTGAGATTCTTTATTATGTACCTGTTTTCTGTTTCAGATTTGTACTCTTATTTTTGTTATTTTGTTTTTGCTACTTTGGATTAAGTTTGTTGCTTTTCCTGACTTGTTAAGGTGGAAAATAATTGATTTTTATACCTCTTTTCCTTTCACTTAGGCATTTAAAGCTATAAAATTTTCTCTAGTTGCACCCATAAATTTGGTTGTTTTCATTATCACTTAAACTGTTGTAAAATTTCTCCAAGTTTTTAATCAATTTATCATCCTTAGCATATGGTCTTTCTTGGTGTGTGTACAAATTACCCTGGGACAAAAATGTGTATTCTGCTGATTGTGGGTGGAATGGATATAAATATCAATTAGGTCAAGTTGGTTAAGAATGTTGTTCAGACTTTTTACATTTTCACATTTTTTATGTCTCCCTACGCTGTACTGAAAGTACAGAGAGAATACTGTCACTCTGGGGAAGCATTAAATCATTGATTGTGGATCAATTTTCTGTTCATCTTTTCTTGTAATTGTTGGCTGTGTTGATAGTCACATACATTTTTAAGATTTCAATGTCTCTCTGATAAAGTGACTTCTTATTGGAAACAGCCATCTTGTCAAAAATATTTTTTAATGTGGAATCCTATTTTGTCTGACAATAGGTACTAATCTCCAAAAAATACTCTTTTCTTTGAAGACTATTTTTTAATATTAATATGTGCTTAATGTTTGCCTTGTGTATCCTTTTTATACTTTCCCTTATAGCCCATCTGTGTATTTATGTTTAAAGTGTGTTCTTTAAAAATGACACATATTTGGATTGTAATTTCTGCCTTTTAATGTTATAGTTTTGCAGTTAATTTATATTTTTGTTATTTTAATGTTATGTTTTTGTAATTATATGTCTGTAATTTTCTTTCACATTGTAATTTTAGTCACAATGGTGTGGGGGTTTTTTGTTTATTTTTCTGTTTTCCCACTTTTACTCTTTGTTCTTCTTTCCTGACCTTTTTTGGGTGAAGTGAGGTTTTGTTGTTTGTGTTTTTTTTCCACCTATTCTAATTTTTCTACTCTCTTGATTTTTTAATTTTGCCTTTTTGTGTTTTTTTTTTTTTTACTGACTGCTAGAGATTGCAATATGCATCTTGAACTTATCATAACCTATTTTCAAATATATTTTTCATAAGCAATGTAAGAATCTTACAATTTGCATTTCTAGTTATCTTTTACCTTTTGTAGTGTCACATTTTACTTCTATATATGCTCTATTATTTTAATTAAAAGAATCAGTAATCTAGTCAAATTTGAAGATGTATGTGTATATGTAATTTTAAAAAACTCCTCTGTACTTAACAATATACTTATCCTTTTGATATCTCTTAATTCTTGGAATTTCTATCATTTACCTTTACTCTAAACAATGTTTAGGAATTTTTGTAGTGCAAGTCTTTTTGAAATAAATATTCAGTTTTTATCAGTTTGAGATTCTATTTAGCTTTTATTTTTAAAGGGCATATTTGTTGGATATAGAATTGTCTGCTGACTTTCCCCCAGGACTTAAAGATAAGTTCCCTGTCTTATGACCTCCACTGTTTTGATGAACAGTTTCCTCCTCCTCTTAATGTTCTGCCAGGGATAAAAACAGCTTTGAGTCTCTTCAGTTCCAGATTTTAGTTCCTTAGCTTTTTGTTTTGCATCTTCAGTGCTCTGATGGACTTTAAGAAAAATATATACTTTTGGGGGCCTCCCCAGTGGCACAGCGGGTTGAGCGCAGCGCTGTGAAGCTGTCTGCAGCCTTTGCAGCGCTAGTTCGATTCCCAGCCGGCCAGGAAGAGTCCCACATGGCGCAGCAGACCTCTCCTGTTGCGCCCACTGCTCCCCTCAGCAGTGTATTTCAGTCTATCTGCCTGTTCTGTTCCCTGCTCTGTCTCTGGTGAATCCTCTCACCCTCCGTGCCTCTGGCCTGTACCCCAGTGCTTGTATAAATAAATCTATTAAAAAAAATACATTTAAAAAAAACCCAAAATTTTTTTATTTAAATTTTATTTTTATATTCCCCATACAATTACAACCCCCTTATTTTGACCCTAATCCCTCCTTTCCCCGCCCCCCACCCTCCATAGAGTGTCTCTGGTTCATAGTTGTATGTTGATTTGGATATTTTCTTTCTTACAGTTATTCTTTTTCCTGGTCCCTTATTTAAGTTTTCTAGATTCCTGCTATGAGTGAGACCACCCGGTATTTTTCTTTTTCTTTCTGGCTTATTTCACTGAGCATGATCCCTTCCAGCGCCATCCATGTTGCTGCAAATTGCATGTGTTTATCTTTTTTGAATGCTGAGTAATATTCCATGGTGTATATGTACCACATCTTCTTGATCCAGTCATCTATTTTTGGGCATTTGGGCTGTTTCCAAAGCTTAGCTATTGTAAATAGTGCTGCTATAAACATAGGGGTGCAGGTGCTCTTTGGAATTGATGTTTCTGTGTCCTTTGGGTAAATTCCTAGGAGTGGAATTGCTGGATCATATGGAAGCTCTATGTTTAGTAGGTCCAGAAATCTCCACACAGCTCTCCATAGTGGTTGGACCAGTTTGCACTCCCACCAACAGTGCAGAAGAGTTCCTTTTTCTCCACACCCTCGCCAACATTTGTTGTTGCTAGTTTTTTTAATATGTGCCATTCTCACTGGTGTAAGATGGTATTTCATTGTAGTTTTGATTTGCATTTCCCTGATTACAAGTGATGTTGAACATTTTTTCATATGCCTGTTGGCCATTTGCATGTCCTCTTCAGAGAAGTTTCTTTTTAGCTCTTCTGCCCATTTTTTGGCTGGATTATTTTCTTTGTTTTTGTTGAGTCTCATCAGCTCTTTGTAGATTTTTGTGATCAGTCCTTTATCATTAGAGTTGTGTGCAAAAATGTTCTCCCAGTCGGTGGGGTTTCTCTTTGTTTTTGTTATTGTCTCTTTTGCTGTGCAGAAGCTCTTTAATTTGATGTAGTCCCAGCTGTTTATCTTTGCCTTCACTATCACTGCTTTGGGTGATGTGTCTGTAAAGAAGTCTTTGATGTGCATATCATGTAGTGTTTCCCCTATATTTCTTTCTATGTATTTTATGGTTTCAGGTCTTGTGTCTAGTTCTTTAATCCATTTTGAGTTGATTTTTTGTGCATGGTGTTAGGTAGTAGTCAAGCTTCATTCTTTTGCATGTAGCGATCCAGTTTTCCCAGCACCATTTATTGAACAAACTTTCTTTGCTCCAATGCATATTCTTTGCTCCTTGTCAAAGATTAGTTGACCATAAATCTGTGGGTTTATTTTTGGATTTTCTATTCGATTCCATTGGTCTGTGTGTCTATTCTTGTTCCAATACCATGCAGTTTTGATGATTATGGCTTTGTAGTATAGTTTGAAGTCTGGGAGTGTGATGCCGCCATTCCCTTCTTTTTTTTTCAGGAGATCTTTGGCTATTCGGGATTAAAAAATACCCAAAATTTTCAAAGCAAAAAAAAAAAAATTACTGCTTTTGCTGTCATAGGTTCTGGTAGGTAGTGTCTTCATTTTAATTTGTATACAGGGATTTTTTTCTTTTTTTTTTTAAAGATTTATTTATGCATACAAGAATGGGGGTGTAGGCCAGAGGTATGTGTGTATTGGGGGAGGGGGTGAGAGTTTTCACCAGAGACAGAATGGGGAACAGAGCAGGCAGATCTACTGAAATACACTGCTGTGGGGAGCGGCAGGCAGAACAGGAGAGGTCTGCTGCACCATGTGGGTAGCTCCCTGGCCGGGGAACAAACTCATGCTTCAGGAGCTGCCTATAGCTTCAGAGTGCTGAGACTTAACCCCTTGAACTGCTAGGGATTCCCCTATCCAGGTATTTTTTCATTTCTTCTTTGATTTCCTCATTAATACAGTAGTCACTCAGTAATGTGTTGTTCAATTTCCACATATTAGAGTTTTTTCCTGCTGTGTGTGTGTGTGTGTGTGTGTGGTTGATTTCTAATTTAGTGCCCCTGTGGTCAGAGAAGATATTGGATAGGACTTCAGTCTTGATGAGTTTATTGACACTTGTTTTGTGACCCAACATGTGGACTGTCTTGGAAAATCCCATGTACACTTGGGAAGAATGATTACTTAGCTTTTGGGGGGTACTTTGATAAGTGTCTACTAAGCCCATCTGGTCACTTCTTCATTTAAGGGTATTGTTTCCTTGTTGCTTTTCTGTATGGTTCATTTGTCCATTGATGTGTGGTGTTGAGGTTCTGCCACGATTGTGTTGTGGTCAGTGTCTAGTTTTTGGTCTGTTAATAGTTTTGTTCAATGTGGCATGAATCTCTTTAGTGTCAGCTCTGTTGAAGTCTGTACTGCTCTCTAATGACCAGGTGACAGTCAGTTCCACTCCTAACAGACAGTGTCTGTCTGAATAATGTCCCCATGGCTCACTGCTCCAAGAGTGCAGCTATAGGGACCAGGCCCCGCAGTTTCCTCTGCTGTGGGCTGCCACATCTGCTTCCCTTGGCAGGGCCTGCTCGACTGCTTACCTTGACCTACCTAGTATGGGTTGCTTCCAAGACTCTCCTGGAACTTGTGGGGATCTGTGGTGTCCTCTTGTGGCAGGCCTGCTTGCTGGTCCTGTCCTGGGGTTCACTGAGGTCTGCAAGAATCTCCCATGGTAAAGGCTGCTTCCAGCATCCTTGTAGGGCTTGCTAGGTTCTGCAAGAGCCATACTACCAGAGGGTCTGCTTCCAGGAAACTCTGAGGCTCACTGAGGTTTGGACCAAGTTTCCAGGTCCTGTCCCAGGGCTCACTCAGTTCTGCTGAAGGCCCTTACCATTGGGGCTGCTTCCAAGACCTGACCTGGAGCTTGTCAAGGTTTGTGCCAATGTCTATGGAGGCCTACTGTGATAGATCTTGCTTCTAAGGCTCTTTCCAGAGGTCGCTGAGGTCTACTGAGGGTTATCATGTAAGGGCTTTGCCAGTTCCACTCTGCTGCTTGCCAAACCTACTGGGCCATGTGGCTCACCTCATCCACGCAGGCAGGCTACTGGCTTGGCCATTTCACTGCCCCTGGAGTCCGCCTCCTCTTGAAGTTACTCCTGATTAGCATTCTGTAATCATCTGTTTTTCCTTCAGGAGTGACTGACTTTGTTCTGTTGCAATCTAGCTGTGAGTATATAGAGGAGTTGAGCCCAGCTTCACTTTGCTGCCATCTGCTCCTAGTAATTTAGAAATTAAACATCCTATTTTTATTTAATTAGTAATTACTTCAAAATAAAATGAAAGCAAACTTCTATTTCCTTTCCAACATTAAGAATACATTAGTATCTACTGATTTCCCTAGAAATGATGAGTCACATACTTTAGTACCTTCCTTTGTTCCTACCTCCCACAATTTATTTGAATAATTGGTTTTTTTTTTTAACTTTCATTATTCTTTCTCCCTTTTTTTTATATCCCCTTAAGGAACACTTTTCATGTTTGCATTTCCATATATAGCCATGTTAAAAACAACTACTTAGACATCAATTTTTAAGTTTATATGTTATAGTTCTCATCTTTATTTCTTGTGTAATTTATTCCCCTTTATATCTAAGACCTTCATTTTTGTATGTTGAATATTAAAGTATTTCTTTGTGATTTTTAAATGTTTATTGTTCTGACTTAGTAAATATATTTACACACAAAGATGTGTGTAAAAATTTGTTCATTTTGTAGTATTATTACAGAAGCAAAAATTAGAAACTAACAAATGTCTACAAATAGAGATTGATGACATAAAATATAATTATTTGCAGCTATAATTGCAAAATCACAACAGTTTTATCACCTTGATCACCTAAGTGAAATTAATAAAAGTATCATTAATCTTCTGTTCTGTTTCTTATGCAGGTTATAACATAAATTTTGACCATAAAAGCTAAACATTAGCATGATTATCATTAACATTAATATTCAGTTTTTTGACTAGACAAAATATTGGCAATATATTATTGAAAATATCTTGTAAGAAATTTAATTTTAACCTATTCCTCAGAGTCAATCCATGGATTCCTTTGGGCAACCCAGATCAGAAGATAACCAGTCAGTAGTCAGCAGAATGCAGAAGAAATACTGGAAAACAAAACAGGTCTTTATTAAAGCAACAGGAAAAAAGGAGGATGAGCATGTTGTAGCATCTGATGCTGAACTGGATGCTAAACTTGAGGTAAATTTGAGGATCCTGTTTATTGCATATAACCAATTATTATCTGGGATGAATAGGAGGACTAGGGCAAGCTTTAACACTGAAGAATTTATGGGAATATATGCAAATTTGATAATAGAATATTTAAATGTACCCCCCTGTCAATCAGATTTTCTGGGTAGTCAGTCACCAATCTCACAAATGCAGAATTGGTATTCATAAATTCGGTAAGTCATGAATAAATCATTCCTCTAGCATAAGTACTAGAGTTTATAAACTAAACATTATTGGGTGATTTATATTCTTAATTGGCACCACATATTCATTATATATTATGTCATAATATTTTGTACTGTTTTAAGTGAAGTCTTATAGCTTACTGAAATAAATTAATTGAAATCAAGTAAGGTTTTGTAAGTTAGAGTTTGTTTCCATTATTAAGGGGTAGGGTTGTTGAAGTATTTTTGTAATGTGTTTACTGGCTCTTTTTTATTTAAAATAATATCATGAAACAACTCAAATATATGTGCTTTGTATTGTTAAGTAATTAAGCTAAGTGGAGGAATTTCTCATGTAAATTAATGAAAAAGTCTGAATCTTTGAATGCAAATATATTAATTCTACATACATACACTAATGTAAGATAACTTTTTTAAAAAAGATTTATTTATTCATACAAGAGCTGGGGTACAGGCCAGAGGTGTGTGTGGGGGCGGGTGAGAGGACTCACCAGAGTAACTCACAAGAGAGTAGGGAACAGAACAGGCAGACTGACTGAAATAACACTGCTGAGGGGAGCAGTGGGCGAGACAGGAGAGGTCTGCTGCGCCATGTGGATATCTCCCTGGCTGGCTGGGGATTGAACACATATTGCAGAGGCTGTGGATTGCTTCATACTGCGGTGCTTAACCCCTTGCACTACGAGGGAGGCCCTAATTTAACTTTTACAAATATTTCCAAGCAGTGATTCTGTCATGCTTATATATATCATGTGTTGGGATATTTTAAAAATATAAGTTTAATTAAATAGGTCTTAATGTACTAAGTATTTTGTTCTACAAAAAGTAAAATTTTGTCAATGCCATAACAAATATAGAAATAATAAATTAACAAACTTTACTTTTGTTTTGATAAGTATTCCTCTTGGGATTTAATTAGGATTAGTAAATGTGGAAAAATGAAGAGACTTTATTATAAGTAATATGTCTTTAACACTAATGAAACTCTTCACCATTACCACATATGTTCCCACAGTGCAGATATTTTTGTATTTTACATCATTAGGTAATCTGTGAGTTATATATTTCATATTTAACATCGTGAACATTAGACAAATATTTGGAATCAACCAAGAAATTTTCCCCACATTTATAAGGCTTATTAAAGATAAGGAATATTTTCATTATACATATACTTATATCAAACCATCATGTTGTACACTTTAAATACATTACGGGCCTCCCTGGTAGCTCAAGGGGTTAAGCACTGCACTATGAAGCAATCCGCAGCTCTGCAGCAAAAGTTCAATCCCCGGCCGGCCAGGGAGATACCCACATGGCACAGCAGACCTCTCCTGACTCCCCTGCTGCTCCCCTCAGTAGTGTACTCCAGTCAATCTGCCTGTTTTGTTCCCCACTCTGTCTCTGGTGAATCCTGTCCCCTCACCCACCACATCACATCTCTGGCCTGTACCCCAGCTCTTGTGTGCATAAATGGATAGATCTTTTTAAAAAAATACATTACAATTTTGTTTTTTAATTTATTTTCATTTGTGAAATTAAACCTCACAAAAATTGAAAAAAATCTATCTTTAATCATTTCCTCATAGAACTATCATTTTCGTGTTCTCTTCTAGTCTTCTTCCATATAGATTTAAAACCACTTTTTAAATTGCCAAATCTAAATACCAAATCTAATTCAAACATACGTAAACTTTTATGGAAAATTGATGAATTTGATTATCAAAGTATTACAGCCTAATATACCACAGTGCCATGGTCTTTTTGAATTTAAAGTCTCATAGCAATTTAGCTTAGGACTTTGTGAGAAGGAGGCTGCACCCTAAAGTCTATGCCCATTTCTTTTTAGGGAAAACAAATTTATAAATACATGTGAAGAGTTTACCACACATGTAGAATGAGCCCAACTCTCAAGCTTTCATGTGCTACTTTGAATTGGGAGTCCCCTGGATGTTTTATTTTTCTATTAACTATTACAAAAAGTAATAGTGAATCAATATTTAATGGAAATTCTGAACACAAATAATTTAAAAGAAATTTAAATTAGTAAATTTAAAAGTAATTTCTTTTTGATGTTTTATAATTATAATATGTTTACTGATCTGTTTGCTTAGGCCATTCTGAAGAAAAACATTTTCATCTGTGGTTGGCAATTTTTTGGGGGGTGGGGTGCGGGGACACTCGCTGGCGGCCAGGGAATGAACCGGTGCTGCAGAGGCTGCAGGCAGCCTCACAGCCCAGCGCACAACCACTGCGCCACCAGGGGAGGCCCTGTGGTTGGCAATTTTTAATGCAGTTTATATTGGATTTACCCTTTTGCTTTTTAGATGTTTTGGAATTGAGTGTGATAAACTCCAGAGTTAGAAGTTTTTATTATCTCCCATGAAGTTACCATTTTTTCCAACTCTCAGGAGGGAAATCTAAACCAAACTGAAGTACATCAAAGTTCAGGAAAATAGATATATTTATAAAGCAAGTATTCTGATTTTGAAATACTTGTAAAAGATATTTTATATTTGTTTATGGGTTCTTTAAATTGTCCTAATAATATTTATATTTCAAAGGTTTTTCACTCCATTCAAGAGACATGCACTGAACTTCTGAAGATAGTTGAGAAGTATCAGCTAAGACTCAATGGTATGAAATCATGGAAATCTATTTGATAATTACCATTTAAAATAAATATTCATTTGCATTTCAATGAAAGACAATATGCAAATAGCAGTTTATTGAACTATTTTGTGAATAGTTTCTTATGACAATTATGAATATTTATAGTGATCTGTTCTCAAAGCCCCCAGTGTCAATCTTAATACACAAATACTCTGACACAGATTAATTTTGCTGAGTTGACTTTTCCTGCCCAGAATTGTAAGTAGATTTGCTCCCATCACTTAAAAACTCTCTTGATGCCCACTTTCCTTGCAGTTACCATCCCAGTCACTGCTGATCTCAATAACAAATTTGACATAATTGTCTGCATGGGCAATCTGTCTCTATTCCTTTCCTTCCACTTCACTTGTACTCACTCCAGTGAAGTTTTCATCCTGATTCCACCACCAAATTGCTTGTCATAGTCACAAAAAGCTAAATCCAATGACCTCCTCTCAGTACTTGTCTTGTTTATCACCTGTTTAAAAAAAATACAGTCGTTTATCCTGTCCCCCTTGATAAACTCGTCACTTGGCTTCCAGGCATCAGTTTCCTGGATGCACTCCTGGTCATTTCTATTTTTTTTTTAAATAATTTATTTAGTTATATATATTTTACAGTCTGGTCATTTCTTCTCAGCAGGCTGTCTTTTCTGGATTTCCCTCTTTTCTTGATCTTTTCATGTCGGAACTCAATCTTTGTATCTCTTCTCCTGCTTTAGCTACAGTAGCCTAATGAACATGGCCACCCTTCTGATCCTGGTTAACTCTCCGACCTCACCTTTTAAAACTCTCTGCTCTTTAGTCATATGGATCTCCTTCCTAGTTCCCCTGTTTGCATAGTGGACTCCCTAACTTCCTTTAGATATTTCAGTCAAATGTCTCCTTTTTAGTGAGACCTTCCCTGACCTTACAGACATCTGTGGGTCTGGAATACAGAACTTAGGAACTGAACCCAGGATGAGAGTCAAGGAAATAAATTCTTCGTAAGAAGCAATGATCCTAAAATGCATTTCTGCACATTTGAAAATGCATTCATTTGTAGTTTTGTTTCATTTTGTAGTTTTGTAAATTTTTTTTATTAACAATCACTCTATCCCAAAGTGAGGTTTATAGATTTACTATATCAAAATCATCTGGAGAGCTTATAAAAATAAAAAAAGGGCAGATTCCCCAGACCTATATAATCAGAGTCTCTGGAAATGGAGTCCAGGAATTTGCACCTTTAAAATAAGTTTCTCTTATTCTTCCCCCAAATAATTCTTATGTATAGAGAGTTATTGCTGTAAGAATTTTAGTTGTGTGTGTGTTTAAGACAATGATAAAATGAAGCAATTAACTCTACTGAAATTTTTTCTCTAGTTATATCAGAAGAAGAAAATGAGCTTGGGCTCTTTTTGAAGTTTCAAGCTGAACGGGATGCAACACAAGCTGGCAAAATGATGGATGCCACTGGCAAGGCACTCTGTTCTTCAGCCAAGCAAAGGTTTACCATGGTTTTGCACTATCCTCAGATCTATAGTCAATAGGACATTTTGACGATGTACCTAAATTTGCTTATCTATGAAGTTACTATTCCAGTAACGGGTTTAAAGAGAAATATATTACAGTATATAGCTGATTTAATGTCTTTTATTTATGCTTTACAAATAAATATAGGGTCTCTTTTATCCATAGAAATCTTTATATATGGTAGATTTCCTTGGCAGGTTATTTATATATAGATTAACATTTAAAATGTTGTGTAAAGTATATAAATAAAATTATATAATTCCTAAAATAAGAAAAGGGAAAGATACCTTTTTTAATAATTCAAACCTGGATGTATGATCTTTATCTGCTTTATAAAGTTCCTTAGGCATTTTAATAATTTCCTATTTATAGGTTCATCCCAATAAGAGATAACGCTTTATGCTTGTTTTAAACATTTGTTTTGTTTTGCTCATGGGATGACCATCACTCTGATTGTTACCTCTCTGCCATTAGATTGGCTCTATGTACTCCTCTGTCTCGTCTAAAGCAAGAAGTAGCAACATTCAGTCAAAGGGCAGTATCTGATACCTTGATGACAATTAATCGAATGGAGCAGGCACGCACAGAATACAGAGGCGCTCTGCTGTGGATGAAAGATGTATCCCAAGAACTGGACCCAGAGACCTTAAAACAAATGGAAAAGTTCAGAAAAGTATGAAAATACATTCTTTTTCTTGTCTTGATAATAAATCCATTGAACTTATACAGGATCATTTAAAATCATAAAATGTCAGATTATATTATAAATTCTTGATTGTTTGGAGATCTTTGGTTGTACTATTAAAGGTTGTCACACTTCCTTTTTCACCCTGAGTAACATTCCTAAGCCCCCATCAACCTTTTCTATTATTTTTTTTAATCTCCCTCGTAATAGATCTAACCACCCTTTAAATGTTGCTTACCTGAATTTTTGGGATTATAGAGGAAAAATACATAATTTAAGTAAAAATTCATGTAAAAAGACTATTAATTAGAAGGAAAAGTAACATCAAATTTTTCATTCTCTGAACTACATAGTGTGTCCACAACTTTTAAAGCAATTATCTACGTATAGGTAATTTTTTTTGCTAAATCAACACCATATTACAAATTCTATCTCCTGAATTTACCATAATAACAAGTCATTCACTCCATTTGATATGTCGAGTACCTATAATAAAAATTATGTTTTAATATTGATCAACCCTTTATTGTATTGACTGTTTAAGTGGTTTGCCTGATTTATTACTCCCAGCAAATCTGAGAAATAGGTTGGCACATGACCTCAGTCAAAGCAACCTGTTATTCTGTCCCCTTTACAATCTTTGACAATTACAACCCGAGGCAGTAGTCACACAACATTGAATAAGATGAATGCTACTGAAGTATACATTTTTAAAATGGTTATGTGTATGTTATGTGACTTTCACCTCAATATTTTTTGAAAAAAAAAAAATATGATGCAAACCTCATGTCTGGACATAATTAGCCCTGCAGTGTCCTGGTCCCTTGGTACCCTTATCTTGAACTTTTTATGCCCCAGCCTATGATTTGGAAGGATGATTTGAAAGGAATATGCTCTATCCTGTGGTTTCCTGTTCTGCAAACATGAGAAGCTCTTCACTCATCTCCCATGCCTAGGACTTCTGTCTGCTTTTCTCTGAATCTGGAATACTTTCCTCAGGGTCTTAGCATATCCCATTCATCATCTTTATTTCCCAGTTCACACATCATGCATGAACTCACCAAGGGCTTCCCCAGATATCCTATCAAAAGTAGTTATCCATTTTTGTTCACTTACGTTAATCTTTGCAATTTGAGATTATCTTTTATACTGTATTTATATATTTCCTTTTTTCCTGCACCTCCCTGCTCAGGAATGATGGGAAGAACATTGTTTTATTCACAATATCCCAGTGCCTAGAACAGTGCTTGGCACATAATAGATATCTTATAAACATTAGTTGGATAAATGAATGTGAATATTTAAAAGTTCAGTACTTACTGAACTTCGAGAATTATGATTCACCTTTTGTATAAGAAATATAATAGGCCTGTATTTAAACTTATAAATTTCCATGATTTAGAATTATTGTTTCACAATACCTTTCTATTTATTCTTCTATTCTTAGCTAAATACTATCCATCACTAGTTATGAGTATTTCTTTGTATTTGGAATCAGTGAGGTTTTTTCTTCTTAACTATACATTTTCCATCTCTCATTTCATATGTTATGAGCATAAAAATACCTGCTAGAATCTCCCACAATTACTAAAAATAACCAAAATCTTTGCCTTTAAACATGAACCAATAATACAAGGAAAGGGAATTAGGCTTCTTTATTACAATTTCATGTATCTGAAAATATGTACCATGAATCTGTATAGTATATTTACATCTGTATTACCAGTAATAATGGTCAACATTTGTGTGGTTGCAGGTACAGATCCAAGTGAGAAATAGCAAAGCTTCTTTTGACAAGTTAAAGATGGATGTTTGTCAGAAAGTGGATTTACTTGGAGCTAGTCGCTGCAATATGTTATCTCATACACTCACTACCTACCAGGTACCCACCTCCATGGTCAGCATGTCCTTGCAGTAAAGATGAGTGGTGAGATTCCTTTTTAAAAGTTGTCTGTCTAAAGAGTGTCAAAAAAAAAAAAAACTGTATAATTGATCAGATGCCTTTGGCTTTGCTAAAATTGACTTGAGGTTCAAATAGAATCATAGAATTCTAGACTGAAAAAGACCTTAAGGATTGCCTACTCCCCTAGCTTCACATTATTCTCATTGGTATCTAGAAAAGAGACAGGCACCATCTCAGGTTGAGGGGACTGTTGAGGAGGCAGGTTGCAAAGCCCAGTAGTCCCAGTTCCCCTAGAGTCATTCCACTTTGAAATTCTACATAAAATTTCATTTGAAGCAATGATGCTGTGGTGCAAAGGAATTAAAAGGTTTCTGTTATTTTACAAATGAAGACAGTGAAACCTATGTGAATTCAAGTAAATGGCATTGTAGTGCTTAAAGATCTGTTTTCTAATTCTAGTTCATATACTCTTTTTGTTCTGGCAAGTTATCATGCCACACTGATTGTAACTTCAGAAAAGCCACTTGTGTTTATATTAACCCAAATCACACATAAATAGTATACAGTGAATAAATTAGATATTAATAAGTACCAGTTACTAATTTTAACATGTATTTATCAATGGCAAAATAGAAGAATAAGCTGTATTTACATAGGAAAGAAAAATAAACTAAAGGGAATGAACATCCACTGCTGCTTTTAGGGAATCCACCTAATTTCAGGTGTTAAAAAATATGCACTTGAAAATAGAAGGACATGACAATTCATGTAGCATAATGCCTGAAACACAATAGCAGTTAGTTCGATTCTCCTTTATTCTCTTTACTCACTCATCCCTCTCACTTTGAATAAAAACATTGAAACAACAAGGAAAATCTTAGATGACTTGCCTTGAAAATAAATTTTTTTTTGGCACAACTAAATGAAAGACCAAATTTGGTGGTATTCTTTTTCACTAATTAATGAAAGCCTATATATGCTCACCAAAATAAATATTTACCCCTAATACAAACTAGATATATTTGTGCTTTTAACATTTCTCTTTCCAATTCCTTAGAAAGTTTTTCAGTTTACCAGTTTAATTCTGGTAGCTACAGTCACTCTTGGCTCCAGTGTACATTCCAGTGCTGATACAGTCACATATATACATCTAGACAACAGATGCCAGTTCTTACATACAATTACTATTTATAATGCTTTCTGGTTCCCCAAACTTGAAAATTGAATTTAGTTCCTGCTTCTTATTCTGGGATTATTCACCTACTACACTAGTGAGGAAAACAGCACTAAAAAAAAATCATGAAGAAGAAGCAGAACTGTGGTGTCAACTTTTCTTTTTCTGCAGAGAATACTCCTTGGATTCTGGGAGAAAACAGCTCAAATAATGTCCCAAATCGATGGGACCAGTATTGGCTTTCATCCTTATGGCTTTATAGCTCTCAAGGTATATTTCTGTGTTCTTTTGTTAGATATGTTTTAATTGATTTGGATAACACTGAAACTATTTTTTGCTAAGCTTAACTTGTAGAACATTTTTTTACACTTCTTCAGCCAAGGATCAGCACTCCTTCAGCCAGTCATTTTTCTGTACTTCCCTGATTCCAAATGCTACATGCAACATGAAACAGATACTTGGGAATATGTTAGGCTGTTCATGATATTAGTGGGGACAAGGTGACAGGGAGAAAGTGAAAAGGAAATTAAAACACATGAAAGATAAGAAAGGTTATGGCAAGGAAAAACTTTAGAGAAAGAAATGATGAAAAGTAATCATCTGTTTTCAAAAGTGGCCATATTAGCACAATAAAATTAGAAGTTAAAATTTTCATTTTTCCTTTACAATTTCATTGAGGCTAATCATGATATAAAAATTATGCCAGTTTTGGTCATGTACATGTGTGATGTACTGCTTTAGATCAGTTCTTTCTGTAACAGCTACTGTGAAAGGTAATCTTGGGTTATGGTTAGAATACTTTTAACATTTCCATGTATTGCCCTTAACTTTCTTTGCTTATGGCTTATCTAGTAGAGTTGCACCATGATAGTCATTTCTTCAGTTCTTGTAGGCTAGGTTTTCAGTACCTTTGAACTTATCAGTAGACCTTGAATTCATTGGTGAGTTCGTTCAAGCTAGATGTGGAATCTTTGATGGGTTCACACATTTCTACTGTATATTTCTGGAGTTGATATGGGTTTTCAAGATATGTTCTTCCAGACCAATAAATACCCTTATATGAGGGTTTTTTGGTTTTGGTTCTTTTGTTGTATGTGTTTTGTTTTGATTTTTACTTTTTCTATATTACTGCTTCTATATTACTTGAGAGCATAATGCATATTTAGGTAAATTTAATGTCTAATTTCTGCTCAGAATTGATGTGAAAATCTTAGCTGTATTGACAGCATTGTAGTTCAGGCTAGTAACACAGTGTATGTCTTCTGAGATATCTCAAATTGTAAACCTAGGGGCTATGCCTCTTTAGTGTGTGCACTTGCCACAGGCAGCCAAGGTAAACAAAGACATAAGTTCAGTTTAAATTACGTCAGCATACATTTCCCGTATCTCTCATTCCCTACCTCAGAACTACTCTTATTTAATATTGTTGTTTAGAATTTTAATTCTCATTTTGTTTGTACAAAGAAACAGATTCTTTCCATCTACTTAATGTTAAATTTCTTATCCTTAGCAACAAGAAGACTCTCCAAGCAAGCTTACTGAAAACAACAAGGAAGAAAACGGTTTTCTTACTGAAAACCTCAATAAGTAAGCAGACAAAAGTTATGAAAGACTTGAATGCCACTGTATGATACGCGTGAAGAGTTGTTTCCTCTCTGGTTGACATTTGTTTTGAAGTCTTATTCCCTCATTTTTATCATATCAGGCAAATGAGATGACAGTAGTACAGACCATTTGGGGGTGATAATTTCAAATTATAGTTTGGGAGACTCAGCCCTGTACCTCTAACAAGTGACCACCAGTGGAGGCAGCTAGAAGAAAGTGACAAGTGCCCACAGCAGTGAGTCAGAAGCTATTAGGTATCTACCTCTGAACAACACAAGTGAGACTGTGGCTGGTTATCTGAAAGGGGCTTTTGAAAGGCACATCCTACTTGCTGCCCATTTCCTTTGTATAACCTCTTACCCTTATTTTCCTTTGAGAGCGGCCACTTAATTCTCATTTTAACCAGTTTATCCTGGATATATTGATACAAATTGTACTTGGTATAATAATAAACCTGGAAATATGGCCCAAATAGTGATAAACTATATACTATTAATTGGAAGGTAATCCGAAATACAAGCATTTCCCTATTTTCTCCATGGAACAATTCAGACCAATTTTTTTTTTTTTGCTAACTTGAATATGTAAATATTTTATATTTATATTTATATTTCAAATTATATTATATTTCAAATTATAGGTATAAATTAAACTTACTAACTTAATTATACATTGACATTTTAAATCATGTTACATTAAATATTTTCCATTACATTTCTTGAAAGTTAGATTGACAAACTTCTCATATATCTGCAATGTTATTAGAGCTACTTTTTGAGTTAACTAACATATTCCAGAGCATTCATTTTCTTTTCCATCCAGATCACTTAAAAAACTATCTATGTATATTGTCATTGAAGATTTCATCCCAAGTCGCAAATACATATTTGCTCCAGGGGTTTATTTTTGTGGTATTTGCAAATATTGCATTGCTTTATAAGTATCTGTAAAGACTTACTAAAAACAAACTCCAATATTAGAATTATAAGGTATCTGTCTCTTTTTTGATGATTGCATCAGGTGGATGATAGAAATATTTGTCTTTTGCAAACATACCTTGTTTTTCAAATAGAGTAGTACCCTTTTTTCCTGGTATTCTTCATTCCTTCTATTAAGCCCGCAAATATTTTTGAGAAAAATCCTGCAATGCATGAAAACTACACTTCATACTTGATGGATCTGGAAACAGATGTTGTGTCTGATAAAATACTTAGCATAGTGCCCATAGTGCTGAACAAAGTGCCTGGTACTTCATCAGTATGAGTAAATGTTCATTGAGAGAATAAGGAGCAAAAGGATATTTCAAATTCTGTGTAGAACTGTAGAAGATTTACCTCTACAGTTCTACACAGAATTTGAAATATTGTTGAAATGTTGTCTCTTTGTTATGAAAAAAAATTTAAACCATACTAAACATTGTAGAATGAGTCCCAAATATATTTTAACCAAAATCTCTGTATTTTTGGTTTTTACTTTAGGTTAGTTTTATCAGGTGATGAAATAAGCTTGGGAAGTGAACCAGGTAAGAAGATAAAATTATTACTTTGAAACAATCACATTTTTAAATGTCAAGGCAGTTTATCACAGGCTTTTTTTTTTTTTTTTGGTGGGACCCTCGCCAGCTGCCGGGGAACAAACCGGCGCTGCAGAGGCTGCGGGCAGCCTCGCAGCCCAGCACACAACCACTGCGCCACCAGGGGAGGCCCTATCACAGGCTTTTAAAACTGATGTGTTAATATACATTCAATTTAAAAAAACATGGTTAGTCACTTTTTAAGTTTCTTCTACATAGGCATTTAAGTTTCGATTTTTTCTATCTTTAGTGAGTTATAATTGATATATAATACTGTGCAAATTTAAGGTATACAATGTTATGATTTGATAATTGCATATATTGTAAAAAAGCTATCACATACAATAAGGTTTGCTAATTCATCACCTCGCATAGTTATCATATTTATTTTGGGGGTAAGAATATTAAAGATACTCTGTATCTCGGGCCTCCCTGGTGGCGCAGCAGTTGAGCGCTGGGTTGCGAAGCTGCCCACAGCCTCTGCAGTGCCGGTTCGATCCCCGGCTGCTCCCCGGCCACCGGAGGAGGGTCCCACATGGCGTGCAGACCTCTCCTGCCGCCCGCTGCTCCCCTCAGCAGTGTACTTCGGTCCTTCTGCCTGCTCTGCTTCCCGCTCTGGCTCTGGTGAATTCTCTCACCCTCCCTCGATTCTGACTGTACCCAGTGCATGTATAAACAAAAAAAAAAAAAAAAAAAAAAACCAAATAAAATAAATTAAAAAAAAAAAGATACTCTGTATCTCTACTAATACTCTATTAGCTACTGTCAAGCATATAATACATTATCATTAACTATACTTACCATTCAGGAGAGTAGATTTCCATTATAACTTCCAGTTATAAGATGGATGTGTTTTACAGATCTTCTCTCTTCATTTCCCCTACGCACACAGCTCCCTTGCCCCCAGACCCTGGCAACTAATGAAAGCCTATATATGCTCACCATTTCTATGACTTCAGTTTTTTGAGATTTCACATATAAGTGAGATCTTACAAAATTTGTCTTTCTCTAGATTATTTCATTCAGCATAATGCCCTCCTAAGTTCACCCATCCACATTAGCTCAAGTGGTAGGATTTCCTTTTTTATGACTGAATGCTTTGTTTTCTAGAAATATTTTCTATATATTCTACGTTTCTGTAGATGATATATCACATTTTCTCCATTCATCTGTAATAGACACTTGTATTGTTTTCATATCTCGCATATTGTAAATAATAATGCAATGAATGCATACAAATACATTTAAAAAATTTATTTATTATGCATACAAGAACTGGGGTGCAAGCCAGAGGTGCAGGAAGTGAGAGGATTCACCAGAGGCAGTAGGGAGCAGAACAGGCAGTCTACTGAAATACACTGCTGAGAGGAGCAGCAGGCGAGTAGAAGAGGTCTGCTGCACCATGTGGGTTGCTCCCTGGCCAGCCGGGGATTGAACTTGTGCTGCACTGGCTGACAATAGCTTGATAGTGCTGTCTTTAACTCCTGTGCCACCATGCAAATATCTTTTAAAGATAGTGATTTCATTTCCTTTGGCTATTTACCCAGAAGTGGGATGCTGGATCATATGCTAATTCTATTTTTTTCCCCCAGGGTAACTTTATTTTTTAAATTTTTTTATATTTCTTACATCATTTTTCATTTTTGCACAATATATGCATTCTCATCTTGGTTATAGTCCCCATACAATTCCCACCACCTTTGTTTTGATCCTATTCCCATCTCTGCCCCCATAGTGTGTCCCTGGTTTATAAAGGCTTGTTGATTTTGATTTTTACTTTAGTATAATTAGTCTTTTTCCTGGTCCCTTATTTAGGTTTAGACCATCCGGGATTTTTCTTTTTCTTTCTGGCATATTTCACTGAGCATGATCCCTTCCAGTTCCATCTATGTTGCTGGAAATTGCATCAGTTATCAATTGCTGAGTAATATTCCATTGTGTATATGTACCACATCTTCTTGATCCAGTCATCTATTTTTGGGCATTTGGGCTGTTTCCAAAGCTTACCTATTGTAAATAGTGCTGCAATAAACATAGGGGTGCAGGTACCCTTCTGAATTGTGTTTCTGTGTCCTTTGGGAGCTTCCATATGATCCAGCAATTCCACTACTAATTCTATTTTTAATTTTTTGAGATACTCCATAATATTTTCCATACTGGCGGAACCAATTTACATTCCCACCAACAGTATACAAAATTTCTCTTTCCTCCACATCCTTATTGACACTTGTTATTTCTTGTCTTTTTGATATTAGCCATTCATTTTAATCACGAGATGATATCACTGTAGTTTTGATTTGCATTTCCATGATGATTCATGATGTTGAACACCTTACCATAAGCCTGTTGGTCATCTGTATGTCTCCTTTGAAAAATATCTATTCAGGTTTTTTGCCCATTTTAAAATCAGATTGTTTTTATACTATTGAGTGTTAATTGAGTTCCTTCTATTTTGGGGGTATGAACCCTTTATCTGATATATAGCTTACAAATATTTTATTCATTCTGTCAGTTGCCCTTTCATTTTTGTTACTTGTTTGTTTTTCCGGTGCAGATTTTTAGTTTCATATAGTCCCACTTATTTTTCCTTGTTGATTGTACTTTTGAAGTCATATCAAAAGAAATCATTGCCCAGACCAGTGTCAAGAAGTCTTTTCCCTATTTCTTTTTTCTTGGAGTTTGTGGTTTCAGAAATTACATTTATTTAATTCATTTCAAGTTAATTTTTATGGGTGGTGTTAGATAGGGGTCCTGTGTCATTTTTTTTTTTTGCATGTGAATATCCACTAAGTCTAGCATTTCTTTTCTCTGTTGGTTACCATTTGTTGGAATATTTTTCTATCCTTTTACTTTTAGCATATGCCGATCCTTAAAACTAAAATGAGTCTCTTGTAGACAACATTATCATTGGATCTTGTTTTTTTTTTAAATCCATTCAGCCATTCTATTTTGATTTTATTGAAAATAATTTTTTAAAATATTTATTTATGCATACAAGAACTAGGGTACAGGCCGGAGGTGTGAGAGGATTCACCATAGACACAGCGAGGAACAGAACAGGTGGATTTACTGAAATACACTGCTGAAGAAAGCAGCAAGCGAGATAGGAGAGGTCTGCTGCACCATATTTTTTTTTTAAATAATAAATTTTATTTTTATATTCCCCATACAATTGCAGCCCCGATTCTGACCCCAATCCCTCCCCTCCCGCCCCTCACCCCCCAAAAAGTGTCTCTGGTTCATAGTTTTTTGTTGATTTTGATTTTCACTTTCTTATAGTTATTCATTTTTCTGGTCCCTTATTTAAGTTTTCTAGATTCCTGCTATGAGTGAGACCATCCGGTATTTTTCTTTTTCTTTTTGGCTTATTTCGCTGAGCATGATCCCTTCCAGCGCCATCCATGTTGCTGCAAATTGCATGTGTTTATCTTTTTTGAATGCTGAGTAATATTCCATGGTATATATGTACCACATCTTCTTGATCCAGTCATCTATTTTTGGGCATTTGGGTTGTTTCCAAAGCTTAGCTATTGTAAACAGTGCTGCTATAAACATAGGGGTGCAGGTGCTCTTTGGAATGGATGTTTCTGTGTCCTTTGGGTAAATACCTAGGAGTGGAATTGCTGGATCATATGGAAGCTCTATGTTTAGTAGGTCCAGAAATCTCCACACAGCTCTCCATAATGGTTGGACCAGTTTGCACTCCCACCAGCAGTGCAGAAGAGTTCCTTTTTCTCCACACCCTTGCCAACATTTGTTGTTGCTAGTTTTTTTAATATGTGCCATTCTCACTGGTGTAAGATGGTATCTCATGGTAGTTTTGATTTGCATTTCCCTGATATCAAGTGATGTTGAACATTTTTTCATATGCCTGTTGGCCATTTGCATTTCCTCTTCAGAGAAGTTTCTTTTTACCTCTTCTGCCCATTTTTTGACTGGATTATTTTCTTTGTTGTTGTTGAGTCTCGTCAGCTCTTTGCAGATTTTTGTGATCAGTCCTTTATCATTAGTGTTGGGTGCAAAAATGTTCTCCCAGTTGGTGGGGTTTCTCTTTGTTTTTGTTATTGTCTCTTTTGCTGTGCAGAAGTTCTTTAATTTGATGTAGTCCCAGCTGTTGATCTTTGCCTTCACTATCACTGCTTTGGGTGATGTGTCTGTAAAGATGTCTTTGATGTGCAAATCACGTAGTGTTTCGCCTATATTTCCTTCTATGTATTTTATGGTTTCAGGTCTTATGTCTAGTTCTTTAATCCATTTTGAGTTGATTTTTGTGTACGGTGTGAGGTAGTGGTCAAGCTTCATTCTTTTGCATGTAGCGACCCAGTTTTCCCAGCACCATTTATTGAACAAACTTTCTTTGCTCCAATGCATAGTCTTTGCTCCTTTGTCAAAGATTAGTTGACCATAAATCTGTGGGTTTGTTTCTGGATTTTCTATTCGATTCCATTGGTCTGTATGTCTGTTCTTGTTCCAATACCATGCAGTTTTGATGATTATGGCTTTGTAGTAGAGTTTGAAGTCTGGGAGTGTGATGCCTCCATTCCCTTCTTTTTTTTTCAGGAGAGCTTTGGCTATTCGGGGTTTTTTGTGATTCCATATGAATTTCATCAATAATTGTTCTATTTCTTTGAAGAATGACATTGAAATTTTGATTGGAATAGCATTGAATCTGTATATTGCTTTTGGAAGGATGGCCATTTTAATAATGTTTATTCTTCCAATCCATGAGCAGGGGATGTCTTTCCATTTCTTTGTGTCTTCTTCTATTTCTTTTAACAGTGTTTTATAGTTTTCTTTGTATAGGTCCTTTACCTCTTTTGTTAGATTTATTCCCAAATATTTGATTTTTTTTGTTTCAATAACAAAAGGGATGGTTTTTTTGATTTCTTCTTCTTCAGATTTATTGTTTGTGTATAGGAAGGCTACTGACTTTTGCGTGTTGATTTTGTATCCTGCCACTTTACTGAACTGACTGATGAGTTGAATTAGATTTTCCTGTGGAGTTTTTGGGGTTCTCTATGTATAATATCATATCATCTGCAAATAGTGATAGTTTGGCTTCTTTTCCTATTTGGATTCCTTGGATGTCTTTCTCTTGTCTTATTGCTCTGGCTAGGACTTCCAGTATTATATTGAAAAGCAGTGGTGAGAGTGGGCATCCTTGTCTTGTTCCAGATCTTAATGGAATTGCTTTCAGCTTTTCACCATTGAGAATGATACTGGCTGTTGGCTTGTCATAGATGGCCTTTATGATGTTGAGGTATGTTCCTTGTATCCCAAGAATTTCAAGGGCTTTTATCATGAATGGGTGTTGCACTTTGTCGAAAGCTTTCTCAGCATCTATTGATATTATCATATGGTTTTTATATTTCTTTTTGTTGATGTGCTGGATAACGTTGATTGATTTTCGGATGTTAAACCATCCTTGTGTCCCTGGAATGAATCCTACTTGGTCGTGGTGAATTATCTTATGGATACATTGTTGGATTCTGATAGCTAAAATTTTATTGAGGATTTTTGCATCAGTGTTCATTAGGGAGATTGGCCTGTAGTTTTCCTTTTTTGTGTTGTCCTTGTTCGGTTTTGGTATTAGTGTAATTTGGATGCCAACCAAGAATACTCTATCCCGCAAAGCTCTCCTTCCTCTTTGAAGAAAGAATATGGACCTTCTCAGACAAACAGAAACTCCGGAATTTCATTACAACTAAACCCCCACTCCAAAAAATACTACAAGGAGTCCTAAAGCCAGAACCTCAGAGGGATGAATAACAATGAAAGAAGGCCAAAAAAAAAGGTTATTAAAAGAATAAATAAATAAAATCAAAGGAAAGACAAACACAATGGCAAATACAGATGTTAACATATCAATATTAACTCTAAATGTAAATGGACTAAACTCTTCAATAAAAAGACACAGAGCTGCAGCCTGGATTAAGAAACAAAATCCCGGGCCTCCCCGGTGGCGCAGCGGTTGAGCGCTGGGTTGCGAAGCTGCCCGCGGCCTCTGCGGCGCCGGTTCGATCCCCGGCTGCTCCCCGGCCACCGGAGGAGGGTCCCACATGGCGTGCAGACTTCTGCCGCCCGCTGCTCCCCTCAGCAGTGTACTTCGGTCCTTCTGCCTGCTCTGCTCCCCGCTCTGGCTCTGGTGAATTCTCTCACCCTCCCGCGCTTCTGACTGTACCCAGTGCATGTATAAACAAAACAAACAAACCAGCAAACAAATAAAAAAAGCATGCCTCTATAAAAAAAAAAAAAAAAAAAAAAAAAAAAAAGAAACAAAATCCAACCTTTTGCTGTCTCCTGGGCTTTTGTTTTTGGGGAGGTTTTTGATTACCATTTCAATTTCGCTAATTGTAATTGGTCTGTTTAGGTGTTCTATTTCTTCTTTATCTAGCTTTGGGTGATTGTAGAGTTGTAGGAATTTGTCCATCTCCTCTAGATTGTTGAACTTGTTTCCATATAACTGTTCATAGTAGTTACTGATTATTCTTTTGATTTCTGCTGTATCTGTTGTGATTTCTCCTCTTTCATTTGTGATCCTGTTTATTTGTGCTTTCTCCCTTTTTTCCTTTGTGAGCCTGGCTAGGGGTTTGTCTATTTTATTTATTTTTTCAAAGAACCAGCTCTTGGTTTCATTGATCTTTTGGATTGTTTTTTTTTAGTTTCAATTTCATTTATTTCTGCTTTGGTTTTTATTATTTCTTTTCTTCTACTGGTTTTGGGGTTTTTTTTGTTGTTCTTTTTCTAGATCTTTGAGCTTCGAGATTAGGTTGTTTCTTTGAGTTCTTTCTTGTTTCTTGATGTGAGCTTCTATTGCTATATATTTTCCTCTTATTACTATTTTTGCTGCATCCCATACATTTAGGATATTGGTGTCCTCCTTGTCATTCAATTCAAAGAATTTTTTAATTTCTTCTTTGATCTCCTCATTAGTCCAGTGGTCTTCCAGTAGTGTGGTTTTTAATCTCCATGAGGTAGGAAAGTTCCTTGCCTTCTTTTTATGGTTTATTTCTAGTTTGATGCCTTCATGGTCAGAAAAGATGGTTAATATGATTTCAATCTTGGTGCTGCACCATATTTTAAGTTATGGTGCAGGGATAGAACTGGCCAGGGATAGAACTCAGGCCATAGAGGTGATAGCTCTGAGACTTAACCCCTTAGGCCACCAGGGAGGCCCTTTAAAAAGCAATTTTTGTTTATGGCTATTTCAGTTTGTATTTCTTTTTTTTAATGTTAGAAGCATTTTAACACTCATATGCTTTCTTTTAGCACATTTATTTGATTTTTCTAGTCATATGAAAACAAGACTGCTTTCATTCTAGAGTGAAAATTGTGAAGATGCACCACTCTCAGAAGAATAGGGCAGCTTTTTTTTTTTTTTTTTTTTTGGTGGGACCCTCGCCGGCAGCCGGGAATAAACCAGTGCTGCAGAGACTACTGGCAGCCTCGCAGCCCAGTGCTCAACCGCTGTGCCACCAGGGGAGGCCCGAATAGGGCAGCTTTTGAATTAAAAGTAAACCATACCCAATCATTCACTCATTTATTCATTTAACATAAAAGAATATCGGTTGTACAAGAGACAGGGAGATTAGGCAGAACAAAATTAGAATGACCTTTCAGAAACTAAGAATGAGAACAGGTCTACCAAGAAAGGAAATAAGCTTAGGAATGTGAAAACTTTTAAGTTAAAAGACCTGAATACAAAGAAGACCTGAATACAAGGTTATTTGTGTTTTATATATATATATATGTGTGTGTGTATGTATATATATGTATATATGTGTTATATATAACTATAGTTACATAGTTTTTTTTTTAATGTATTTCTTTTTTTTTTTAAATTTTTTTTTAAAGAGGCACGTATTGTATTTATTTATTTGTTTGTTTGTTTGTTTGTTTATACATGCACTGGGTACAGTCAGAAACGCGGGAGGGTGAGAGAATTCACCAGAGCCAGAGCGGGGAGCAGAGCAGGCAGAAGGACCGAAGTACACTGCTGAGGGGAGCAGCGGGCGGCAGGAGAGGTCTGCGCGCCATGTGGGACCCTCCTCCAGTGGCTGGGGAGCAGCCGGGGATCGAACCTGCGCCGCAGAGGCCGTGGGCAGCTTCACAACCCAGCGCTCAACCGCTGCGCCACCGGGGAGGCCCTAGTTACATAGTTATATATATACACACACACAAATGCAATTTTTATATATGGTTCTTTAAATTATTACATCTCTCTTTCCTATATATATTATAATCTCATTTGGTCAATTGACTACTTTGGCCTAATTATAAAATATTAAAGTAGATAAGCATGCCAGATTCTTTTTCAACTTCAAGGTAAGTTTGAACTTTTATGTGCTTTTGTTGCAGCAATCAAAGATCATAAGGAAAAGCATTTTCAAATAAGGGATACTGAAGCACCTCAGTTCTCTAACTCTGAAAATGGTATGAAATTATAATTTCACTTTCACTGTCTATAGAGATAATTTATTTTCTAAAATTCCTTCCTTTTTATTTAATATATATTTCCTTGGGTTTATTTCTAAGTATTTTATCTTTCTATAAATATTCTTTTCTATTATATCTTTTAACTGGTATATATGTATGCTATTGATTTTTGCATGTTAATTTTATATACTGCTACCTTGCTGAATTCTTTTATAGTTCAGACTAGTTTTATCATTGGTTTTCTCAAGTTATCCAAGTGTATCATCATGTCATTTGCAAATAATAGTCCTGTGTTTTTTTTCTTTACAAATTCCTATGACTGTAATTGATTCCTCTTACTTAATTGCATTGGTTAAACCCTCCAGAACAATGTTAGATAGTAGTGGGCATTTCCTGATCTTAATGAAAATACTTGTTATGTTTCTGAATTAATTAAGATGTTGGCTTTTAGACTGAGGTATATATTTTACAATGTTTAGGAAGTATTCACACATTCTATTTTCTCAAGTATTTTAATTAGTAATGGTTGTTGAATTTTGCCAATAACTTCCAGCATCTACACCAGCAATTATTTGATTTTTCTTCTTAACAATGTTAATATGATTAGCTATACTAACTGGTTTTCTGCTATTACACCAATTTAAGTCCAGCTTTGTCATTTTACACTAGTCTACTTGCTGATAATTTATTTACTACTTTTGCATTGCTATTAATTTTCCTGTAAAAGCTTCTAGGCTTGGTGCTTTGTGTTTTCTTCTCTATGGAAATTCATCTAAACTTACTATCTTTACTGGGATCTATTTTAGTAAATTATATTTTTCTCAATCATTCACTATTCCTCTCAAATTATACTCAAAATAAGTAATTGCATAGCGTTATGCAGTCTTTTAACAGCTTTATTGCCATTATAAGTTTCCGTGATTTTTAGCAAATTTAGGAGTTGTGCAACCATCACCACAATTGAGTACTAGAAAATTTCCGTTACTCCCCAAATTATCCAATTCTTATTTGTAATTAATCCTTGTTCCCACTCCCAGCCCTAAATCACTAATCAGCTTTCTGTCTACAAATTTCCTTTCCTGAACATTTCATATAAGTGAAGTCAAACAAACGGCAGTTCTTTATGTCTGGTTTTTGCTGTCTTCCATTAAAAATAATGTTTTATAGATTCACCCATGTGCTATATTTAGCAATAGTTCCTTACTTTTTTCCCCTCATATTTTATTATTGTGATGAAATACATATAAAATGTCATTAACCGTTTAAGTGTACAGGTCTATTAAAAATAGTTAAAATGTGCAACTAACACCATCATTCATCTCTGTAACTCTTCATTGTGTAAAACTAAAATTCTGTATCCATTAAACAATAAATCCCTATTACCTACCCTTTCCCTAGCCCCTGATGCCCACTATTCTACTTTCTCTCTCATGTAAGTGAAATCATACAGTATTTGTCTTTTTTTGTGACTGACTTATTTCACTATATTGTCCTCAAGGTTCATACATAAGGCATATTACAGAATGTCCCTCTTTTTTAAGGCTGAATATTCCATTATATGTATATGCCACATTTTGCTCACTAGTTCATTACTTTATTGATGAATAGTATTAATTTGTTTGGCTATACCATATTATGTTTCTCTGCCAGTTGATGGACATTTGGTTTACACTTTTGGGATATAATAATACTGCTGCTATGAACATTCAAGTACTCCTTTTATAAACACATGTTTTCATTTTTTCTGCTTAGATTGCTAATGAATGGAATTGCTAGGCTATAATGATAAATTTGAGTTTAACTTGTTAAGGAAAAACTGATTTTTAAATGGTTGTACCATTTCATTTCTACTAGCAGAGTATGAGGGTACTAGTTTCTCTCCATGTGAACTAACATGGAGAGATGATAGAGAGGTGGTGTCTGTCTTTTTAATCATATACATTGTAGTGCTTTTGGCTTGTGCTCTTAGTTTGCATTTCTCCAGTGACCTATGATGCTAAGCATCTCTTCATGAGCTTATTGGCCATTCATATGTCTTCTCTGTTGACAAATCTATTCATATCTATTGCCTATTTTTAAAATGAGTTATTTATCTTATTAAGCTGCAGGATTTCCTTATATATTCTTGATGCAAATTCTCTGTCAAATACATGAATTGTAATTATTTTATCCTAGATTTCTTAAATTTGCCTCTTAAAAAATTTTTTGAAGTCCAATTTATTACTTCTTTTTTCTTCTAAGGATTATTCTTTTGGTGACATATTTAAGAACTCTGCCTAGCACAAAGTGACAAAGATTTTTCTCCTATATTTTCTTCTAATCTTCTATTTAGGACTGTGATCATTTGGAGTTAACTGCCTGTGATTTTTTATATGTGCATATCCACTTTTTCTAGTTCCATTTGTTGAAAATACTCTCCATTGAATGTTTTTGGCCTTTTTGTTGACATCAAGGGAATAAAAAATGTTAGGGTGTATTTCTGTATTATAAATGTGTCCCACTGATTTGTATACCTATCCATGGCCAGTACCATACTATCATGATTACTGTGACTATAGTGAATTTTAAATTAGGTAGTGTTAAGTACCACATGTGTCTTCTTATTTCAAAATTGTTTTGGCAATTCTAAATCCCTTTGTATTTTCATATAAATTTTATAAGCAACTTGGCAATTTCTACCCCCAAAAAAGGCTATTGGGATTTTGGTAGGTATATGTTGAATTTATGCAACTATTTGGCGTGAATGGCCATTGAGTAATATATATCCTTCCAATTCACAAATATGAGGATTTTCTCTTTATCTTCAGCTTTCAAAGAGATACAGATCTCTTTATATTGATTCTACTTGGGTTTTATTAGTCTTGTTTGGATGAGTAGCTTGATGGTTTTCATCAAAGTTGGGTTGTCTATTATTTCTTCATATTCTATAACCCTTCTCTCCTTTTTTTTTAAATTTTTTTAAAAGATTTATTCATTTATTTATTCAAGCACTGGGTACAGTCAGAAGTGCGGGAGGGTGAAAGAATTCACCAGAGCCAGAGTGGGGAGCAGAACAGGCAGACTGACGAAGAAGTACACTGCTGAGGGGAGCAGCGGGCGGCAGGAGAGGTCTGCACGCCATGTGGGACCCTCGCCCAGCGGCCGGGGATTGAACCGGCACTGTAGAGGCTGTGGGCAGTTTAGCAGCCCAGCACTCAACCACTGCGCCACCAGGGGAGGCCCTTTTTAAAAAATTTTTTAAAAAGATTTATTTATGCATACAAGAACTGGGGTACAGGCCAGAGGTGCAGGGGTGAGAGGATTCACCAGAGTGGGGAGCAGAACAGGCAGACTGAAATACACTGCTGAGGGAAGCAGTGGGAGAGACAGGAGAGGTCTGCTGCACCACGTAGGTAGCTCCCTGACCTGCTGGGGATCAAACTCATGCTGCAGAAGCTGTGGATAGCTTCATAGTGCTGTGCTTAACCCCTTGCGTCACCAGAGAGGCCCCCCTTCTCTCCTTTTGAGAGTCTTATTATGTACATGGTAGTACTTTTGATCATTTCTCTTAAGACTCTATTTTTTCTTCATTATTTTTCCTTTCTGTTCTTTGGGTTGCATAATCTCTGTCAATCTGTCATTAAGTTAGCTTATTCTTTCTTAAATTAGTTTAGATTTGCTCCTCTAGGAAATATTTTATTTCAGTTATTGTACTTTTCAGGTTTTCCTTTTGGTCTTTTACATATTGATATATATAATTTCTAACTATTGATATTCTGTATTTGAGTTATCATTGTTAAACCTCCCTTTGATTTTTTTTAAAGATTTATTTATGTATACAAGAACTGGGGTGTTGGTCAGAGGTGTGGGGGATGAGAGGATTCACCAGAGAGAGTAGGGAGCAGAACAGCGGATAACTGAAATACACTGCTGAGGGGAGCAGCGGGGGAGACAGGAGAGGTCTGCTGCGCCATGTGGGTCAGCTCCCTGGCTGGGGATTGAACTCATGTTGCAGTGGTAATAGCTTGATGGCACCTTGTCTTTAACCCCTGCACCATTAGGGAGGCCCATTCCCTTTGATTATTTTTAAGGTGGCTTTAAAATCTTTCCAGCTTTATAGAGGTATAATTAACAAATCATAAGACATTTAAAGTGTACCTCAAGGTGATTCTATATACATACAGTTGACCCTTGAACAACACAAGTTTGAACTGCATGAGTCCACTTACATTCAATTTTTTAAAATAAGTAATCCTAGAAATTTGTTTCTGGAGTTTTGCAAAAAATTAAGAAAAATTATGTCACAAATGAATAGATTATGTACAAAATTTTATCATTTACTACACAAAATACTTAGAAATCTGTTATAAAAGATTATAATTTATGAAAGCATTAACACTTGACAGCATCATTTGCAGTAAAGAGAAGTGTAAACAAATGTAAAAATGCAGTATGAAATCATAATTGCACACTGACTGTTGTGCATACTGTATTACTGCGATAATTTCATTAGCCACCCCCTATTGTTATTGGGGTAAGCTCAAGTGTTGAGTATCTGCTTGAAATGCTGTCTGACATTAATCATCTCTGCATGAGCAGTTCATCTCCAGTAAATTGTGTTTTGCAGTAAAAAGTGATCTCTGTGATTCTCATGTGTTTTTTCATCAATACTATAAACCCTCAGTAACACCATAGGACCCAAATGAAGTGCCCCCCAAGAAACAGAAAAGTCATAACAAGAAAACAGTTGAATTACTGGAAATGCATCATAGATTTGAGGTCTGCAGCTGTGGTTGCCTGCCATTGCAAGATAAATGAATCCGGAATATGGAACATTGTGAGAAAAAAGAAAGAAAGAGAAGAAATGAAGCCATTGCTGCAGCTAAGTCAGCAGGTGTGGAAACCTTGTACTTTTTGCACAATATCTTTTTATTTGTATTGAAAATTCAGCTTTTATGTGAAACACTAATATGAAGGGATATATGCTTGCCTGTGTTCACTGCAGCACTGTTTACAAT